CACGAGCCATCTGAGCCCCTGCTCCTCTCTCACCGAGGCCCTCGCACTTGGTTTTGGTTTCTACCTAGTGGCACGACTTCTTGAGCCCAGCTCTGTGAGCTCTGGCTGCAGGTGACGACCTCACCTGTAGAAAGGGCACTGCCCACCTGAAGTGCGTGACCTGCCCCTTGGCACGGGATGACACTCTTACTAATAATAACAAGGGCTACCACATAGTCCGTACACTGGCATGTCCGCTTCTGTGACTGACAAATATGAGTCTCTTGACAGTGGGATCTAAGTGAGTATTCTTTTTGGGGGGAAAACAAGAGACATCATCAAACATGACCAAACTCTGAAACCAGGATTTAAAGTACGGAAATAAAAGCGTAGCTGGAAAGTCTGTAGAGTAATAAGTAGCTCGAAATAAGCAAGTCTGCATAAGAAAAGGGTGAAACAGGAAAGCATTAAAAACAAACCGTGAACCTCTTCTTTTCTCCATAAACAAAGTGACTGTCCTCTACAGGTTCAGCCCTATTGCTGGGACAGCCGATGAGGCCGAGGAGGGTGTGATGGGTAGGTGGGCCTACCCTGGAAACATTCTCTCTGTTGAAAAGCTTCAGTCTATACAATTTAACTGCCAGACAACTGACAGAAATTAATATTAAGGTCAGCTACATCAAATTGAGACTTTTTTTTTTTTTTTTTGAGAGAGAGAGAGCGCTGAGCAGGGGAGGAGGGCAGAGAGGGAGAGAGAATCTCAAGCAAGCTTCATGCTCAGCACGGAGCCCAGTGCAAGGCTCGATCCCATGACCCTGGGATCGTGACCTGAGCCGACATCAAGAGTCAAGATGCTCAACCAACTGAGCCACCCAGGTGCCCCGAGACTTTTTAAAAACAGATACAATAGTTATAAATTTCTCCAGCCAGTTCTCCTGGACGGAGGGAACTTACAGTGACCTACAGAGAAGGTCTGAAAGAGCCAGGCAAACTAGTAGCCTCCAGCAACAGGGATTGGGGATGGGAGTATAGACTTCGAAAAAATTCTTATACTGTTTGAATTCTTAAATAATCTCATCTTATACTTGGTGTTGTTACTATTAGAATATTAATAATTTGATTAGCACAATCTTGAAGAGATGGAGTCCAAGTGGCAATAAACACTTACAAAGCAGGGAATGGATGGAGTATGTGCCACAAGTAATGCACAGAATAGAAAGAATTTCAGTTTCTCTGCTTTCCAGGCAGATGCCTGGGATTCCCAGGCCTGCTTCCTCATCTGAAAATACTACTACTACTTGCCTTAGAGGTTGGCTTTAAGGATTAGAGAGAGCATATATGAGAGACTCAACTCAGGATCCATGCTCAGTAGATGCTCAGTGAATACACATACCACTGTTATTGCTTCCAGATATAAGAATAAAAGAAAAACACAGAAGTTTCCTGTAATACCCAGGATAAGCAGATCATCAGAGTATTTGAAGATAAAATATAAGTAACATTAAAAATGGATGGGAAAGGGGTATCTGGGTGGCTCAATCAGTTAAGCAGCTAACTCTTGATTCCAGCTCAGGTCATCATCTCACGGTTTGTGAGTTCAAGCCCCATGTCAGGCTCTGTGCTTGGGATTCTCTCTCCTCCTCTTTCTCTGCCCTTCCCCACTCATGCTCTCTCTCCCCCTCAAAAATAAATAAATAAATACACATTTGAAAAAAAAACGCTTTTAAAAAAATGGATGGGATTTTTAAAAAATTTATTTCTGAGACAGAGAGACAGTGTGAGAAGGGGAGGGTCAGAGAGAGAAGGAGACACAGAATCTGAAACAGGCTCCAGGCTCTGAGCTAGCTGTCAGCTCAGAGCCCGACGCAGGGTTCGAACCCACGAACCATGAGATAGTGACCTGAGTCGAAGCTGGCTGCCCAACCAACTGAGCCATGCAGGCGCCCCAACACAGGCCATTTTTGAATATACAAATCATTTATGGTTGGCCCCACTTACATTCTCAAGGCTCCTTAAAATGCTTTTATTTATTTTTAATTTTAATTTAATTTTTAATTTAAAAAAATTTAATGCTTATTTTTGAGAGAGAGACAGAGAGAGTGCACAAGTGGGAAAGGGATGGGGAGAGAGAGGGAGACACAGACTCCAAAGCAGGCTCCAGGCTCCGAGCTGTCAGCACAGAGCCCAATGCAGGGCTCAAACCCACGAACTGCAAGATCATGACCTGAGCCAAAGTCGGAAGCTTAACTGACTGAGCCACCCAGGCATACCTATTTTTATTATTTTTAATATTTATTTATTTTGAGAGAGACAGAGTGTGAGTTGTAGGGGGAGGAAGAGGGGGAGAGAGAGCAAGAGAGAGAGAGAGAGAATCCCAAGCAGGCTCCACACTGTCAGCACAGAGCCTGATGTGGGGATCATTCCCACAAACCATGAGATCATGACCTGAGCTGAAATCAACAGTTGGGTTCTTAACTGATTGGGCTGCCCAGGTGTCCCTGTTTCTAGACTTCTGTACCCATTTTCTCAGACGACTGAAGAGGATGTCCTCATTCTCTATAAACTCTTCCCTGACTCCTGCCTGCAACCCTCAAGCACAATTAATTGCCCTTCCTCTGATTATACTTACTGTTCATCCAAACTAAGCATCACCAAGACTGAACTGTCCCTTATTTCTCCCAGGTAGCTAAGATTTCCCCATTCCGGGGGCATCTGAGGGGGCCCAGTTGGTTAAGTGTCTGACTCTTGGTTTTGACTCAGGTCATGATCTCCCGGTTTGCAAGTTCGAACCCTGCATTAGGCTCTGTGCTGACAGTGCAGAGCCTGCTTGTGATTCTCTCTCTCTCTCTCTCTCTCTCTCTCTGCCTCTCAAAATAAACTTTAAAAAAAGAACTAAAATATATATGTAAAAAAAGATTTCCCCATTCCTACCTTACGTAAGTTCAGAAGTGCTTACGTCATGCACTGTCAACCCTGACGGGGGAAGACACCCTGTCAACAATACCAGTTAGCGCTGCTTTTGTGACAACTTTTCACAGGGGTCCCGAGGGCAGAGCACACCACTAATGCACATTCCTTTCAAGGAAAGCCCACCTTCTCATGCGTCGGTGTGTACTTCTTAAAAATGAATTTCCCCTTCATTCTCACTGCTTTTAAACAGTTATAGGGGCGCCTGGGTGGCTCAGTCAGTTGAGCGTCCGACTTCAGCCAAGGTCATGATCTTGCGGTTCATGAGTTTGAGCCCCACATTGGGCTCTGTGCTGACAGGCTGTCAGCACAGAGCCCACTTCGGGTCCTCTGTCCCCAACTCTCTGCCCCTCCTCCGCTTACACTTGCGCCCAAATAATACATATTTAAAAAGTAAAAACAAACAGTTCTAGGGGTAGTGATGCTCTTTGAAGTATACTCTGTACAGGTGCCCTGGGCCTAAGGCAGGATTCCAACACTTCTATTACCACAAAAGAAAATAGTTTTTACATCACTTCTGAATGTTCGGGGAGCCACTTAAAAATTATGAACAATGAGAGAAACAAGCATACAGGTCAGGAGTGTTCAGAAAATAACCCAGATCTCAGCTGCACATCAAGGGCAGGATAAACCAAGATCCAGGGCATGAATTAAGACACAAATGTTCTGGGGCACCTGGGTGGCTTAGTTGGTTAAGCGTCCGACTTTCGCTTAGGTCATGATCTCGCGGTTCGTGGGTTCGAGCCCCGCGTCGGGCTCTGTGCTGACTGCCAGCTCAGAGCCTGGAGCCTGTTTCAGAGTCTGTGATTCCCTCTCTCTCTGACCCTCCCCTGCTCACGCTGTCTCTCTCTCTCTCCTAAAAATAAATAAAACATTAAAAAAAAAAAAAAAAAGACACAAATGTTCTTAGTCCTTAGTCCGCAGAAGTCATGATACAGATTGCTGCCGGGACTCCTGAGTCCTGTCCAGACGCCCGTTCTGGAAGGTGGCTGTTACCGTCTATGCTAGTCAGTAAATAAGGGCTTTAGAAGATGAAAAGTTGTCTTCCCATCTTGATGACACATGAGAACCTTGGGTGGAGGGACAGGGAGCAAAGAGAATAAGAAGCAGAGGCAGGAGGGGCGCCTGTGTGGCTTAGTCGGTTAACCGTCCGACTTTTGCTTAGGTCATGATCTCACGGTTCGTGGGTTCGAGCCCCGCGTCGGGCTCTGTGCTGACTGTCAGCTCAGAGCCTGGAGCCTGTTTCAGTCTGTGACTCCCTCTCTCTCTGACCCTCCCCTGCTCACGCTGTCTCTCTCTCTCTCTCTCTCCTAGAAATAAATAAAACATTAAAAAAAAGAAGAAGAAGAAGAAGCAGAGGCAGGAGACAGCACTCTCCCGAGAAGTTTCCTCATGTCTCGGTGCCCAATCTGGTGACATTGTGGCCACCAGCCCCTGCCGGCCCCTGGGCACAATGCCGCAGGCCCGGCATAGACAGAGGGGAGGCGCCTCCTCGCCTTCGCTCACGGCCATCCCTCCCTCCGTCATGTGTGGATGCCCTTCCTTCTCCGTCTGCCTGGTTTTTGACTTCGTTAAGTCTGTAAAGACTTTCCTGGTCCGCCCAGCAGAATGAAATGCCTCTTCTTTAACAGCCTCAGGGCACTTTTCCAGAACCTCCTTCATGGAGCCTGTGTTACTCTCTAGCTTCTTATTCAAATGTCTGTCTACCGCCCCCCGCCGCCCCCCCCCGGCCCCCCCCGCCAAACCTGCCACCCTTCAGAAGCAGAGACCTCGCTTCGTTGGTGTCCATCTGGCACGTGGCGGGGGGTGGGGGTGGGGATTCAGCAAGCGTCTGGTTGAGGATGGATGACGGATGGGCGGGCGGATGAAGAGGGGATAAGTACAGGGTCCCAAAGCGGGGAGAGAGTTTGGAGGTACAAAAAATAAACTCTCCCTCCGCCTATGCACAGGGAGAGGGTAGAAATGGGTAGATGGCCGCAAGCCTCAGCTGTCCCTGTGGGGCTCCCGTGTTGGGGGTGGGGGCTTGCAGACAAGGGGTCTATGTGAATCTTTACCCAGGGAAGCCAACAGCTCATAATTCAGCCGCATCACGTCTCTGTACAGCTCCTTCTGCCGCTTGACTAGCATGCCCCACTCCTCCCGGGTGAAATACACCGCCACATCCTCAAACACCACCGGGGGCTCCTCAAACACCACGGGAACCTCCTCAAACAGCCCTTCTTCAGAAGGATCCTGCAACAAAGAGCAGCAGTCACTCAACACGCCCCGTACGCCGGCCACCCAGCCGGATGCTTTCAAGGTCCTTCTTAAGGACCTTCTCACGGCCCGTCTCTCTTGGGAGGCCTGGATGCACTCAGGCATCAATGTACCCATCCGAAGTCAAAGAAGCAAATCTGCGAGGCCCAGAGTTAGTAGGTTAAAAAAAAAATGAGCCTCAGTCTGATCCTGGGGCCTCCTGAAAGGAATAAAAATACTGAATGAAGAGCAGGGCTCCTGGTAGAGCCTCACGACTACACCCCTGTCTGTAAGGTCCTAAGGGGAGCTGCCTTCTACTCATCTGTGACTACAGCAACCGTCAGCCTCCAGGAGCACCTGCTGAGAGTTCCCACTGTGATAGGAAGGAAGAAGAAGTCGTACAGAAGACGGAAAGATGCTTATGTTCGGTGACTAGGTCTACATGTGCCTTCCTGCTAAAGGAATTCAGGTTATAAACGGTTAGGCCTATTTATTAGCTTCTAATATTGAACACTAGACGGAACACGAACATGAAGAGAAATGAGCTCTGTCGCTTTTCTAGACTCTGGAAAAATCCAAGCTTACTAACTTTGGCTGGGCCCTTCTCAGGTTAGGGATGAAGAACATCTGAGCTATTCTCGCTGGGATACTAGAGGGGTGCTCAAAATGAATTCTAGTAAAATCCCGCTCACGTGAAATAGTTGAGAAATGGCAAAGGACCTGGTTACTCAAAAATTCCAGGGAACACAGTTTCCTTACAGCCAACTTTGCAAAGAGTGAGACACTGACCAAGTGCCCACAAGGTGAGAGCCAGAGTTTTAGGGTCCGCTGGTGCGCGGGGGGCGGGAGGGAGGCCCGGCTGGCAGCCCCACTCGGGCGCAGGTGGACTCTGGCCACGTGAGCCCCGCCTGATGCTCTGTTTCCTCTCAACGAGAGGATTTTAATCTGACCTGCTCCACCAGCCTCAGGGCGGCATCAAAAACCTTACATAAAAGAACGTGTGTGGAGAAAGTTCACACTGTTTCAAAGTGCTGAGTCCAAAGGTAAAGATGAAAAACGTTTAGAAGTTAAGTATTTAAGAGTTCTGTGTTTGTTTTTGTGGTCATGTATTACTTCCTGAGTTCTGTGACTGTTTCAGGTTCCGGATAAAGATTATCTAGATTATAAAGATGTTCTGAATATAGATGTTCTCTTTATATCAGGAGTTAGAATGTTCTGTCCCCCTAATTATGTTTTGTTATCTGCAAAAGGAAATGAGAATAAGAGGGGTGCTATCTTAAATACACGAGATGACACACGGAAAGCACATAAAATTAACACCTAGTACACTATCAGCAGGTTAGGTTATCATAACAGGATAATGTTAGCAGCAGGTGTAGCTACGATAAGTTTTCCATCATCATCATGCAATATATGTTGTCCTAAGTACAGAATCCTTCCCCTGGAGACACAGCAATCATCACAAACACATTACCTGGCCGCGGGGTTCGGCAGCGCCATTACACACAATGTTAACACTTGAGGCGCCGTACACACCATCAGCAATTTCTTTTTGCCTCAATTCAGAAATGCAGTCTAGATATAATGCAGGAATGGTCTCATCCCCTCCGGGGTCCCCCAGTTCAGCCCTGGAGCTGGGCAGGAGCTGGGCCATGTTCTCATAGGCTCCCAGAGGCCCGGGGGGGTACAACATGGGATAATCGGCCGCGAAGAGGTGCTCCGGGTTGGCCAGAACATCTCCGGATTCTTCTCGGATGCTCTGGAAACGGGCTGCCCAGATGGGGTCCCGGGCTGCCAAGGCACTGACGCAGAACCGGTGAGCTTTGCTCTTGGCGTGGTATTTGAGCGTCTCCACCTTGAAAGGTCCCGTATAGCCTTCTATTAACCTTGACCGTTTGTCTCTGACAGACGGGTACTCTCGGCAAGCAGAGCAAAAGAGAGCCGTCTGTTCCTCGTTCATGACTAACCACGGGAACTGCGCAAACCAAGACTTCTGGATCGACCGGGGTTTCAAGGGTTTTTTGCTTTTTCCTGCACAGTCTCCCTCGGTGTTGCCACGCTCCGTGCTGAAGTGGGAAAGACAGGCTTTCTTCTGAGGTGGCAGGTATGGTCCAGCTTCTATGGCCGGACTCTGCCCGCCTGCTTCTTCCATGCAGCCCATCTGGCTTTTCCCTTTAGAGAAAAGAAACCAGGGGAATTTGGTCTGAAGTCCTGTGGTTAGAGCCACTGCCTCCCAGGAAGGCTCTCTGTGTATCAAACGTGAGAGCTGGAAGTCACACCCAAGAGTGACACAGGCCTGCGTGGAATTCTCTTCTTTCAGACCCCCAGCACCCCAGGGCCCACCTCCGCTGCCCGCTGCCCCTAAGAAATCAAATGAACTTTAAGCAACTACCACCCCCCCTGCCCCGCCTTTTTTAATTTAAAAGACAGATATGCCTGGACAAAAAGACCTCTGCAGTTTCATCTCTGCAACCCAAGATATGGGCACAATCTTCAGGAGTTCAAACTTATTTATGGATAAGAACGCTGAATAAAATGTCAGTTAACGAAGATGACTAAAGCCAAATCCTGCATCTCCATGCTCACCCCCTTCCATGGTACCCCAGGCAGACAGGCATCTGTCCTCTGCTGGTGCATCTTTGGGCCCAGGGAACGACCTACCTCCTGACTAGTTTTAGTCCCCAGAGTTTGCCTTAAACCGCAATCCATGTTTAAGTACCTTCCACTCAGGGGTGCTACCTCAGCCCTCCAGAGAAACAAAGCCCTCGCCCACACCACAGCCCTTCCAAGAGGTGAAAACTCTCACAACTCACAAAGATCTTCTTCCTCAAGCTAAACTAGAAGTTTCTTTATTCACTCCTTAGCCGAAACTTGGCTTACGCAGCTCTGAGTCCCCTTGAGCCATTTCTTGTGCATCAAAGTAAATGCATGGGCCCAGTGGCCAGCGACTCCACGGTATTAGCTCCAGGCCGACAGTCCAGTCTACACACCTGGAGCTCACCCAGGGGCACAAGGTGGCTAATAAAGAGTACGCAGGCTCAAAAGTAAGAGTCAAGCACTGGGAAGCGAAATAAAACAAACTCGGGCTCCCTGTGATCCATCGGAGACAGACCGGCGAGGGAGAGCAGGCTCTTGAATTTGACTTCTGTAAGAGCTTGTTCCACCTCCCTTTTCTCCGCCGGGGGGGCTGGGTAACTCAGCCACCTCATACGATGACCCAATGTCACCTGGCCTGGCTCTAGCCAAGCCAGTCCCTCAACAGGACAGGCTTATCAAAGGAGGAAAGCCAAGATAAATCCTAGAATTTAGCAGACATCTGTTCATTCATTCACTGGTTACTGAGTGTGCAATCGCTATGTGCCAGGCACTGTTTTCTGCACTGCGGACACAGGAGTCAATAAGACAAAGGCATGCCTTCATGGGACTTAGAATGTATCATTACAAATCAACATATACTCTCAGGCAGAAATAAAATAAAGAGAAGGGCGCCTGGGTGGCTCAGTCAGTTAAGCATCCAACTTCGGCTCAGGTCATGATCTCATGGGTCATGGGTTCAAGCCCCAAGTCAGACTCTGTGCTGACAGCTCAGAGCCTGGAGCCTGCTTTGGATTATGTGTCTCCCTCTCTCTCTATCCCTCCCCATTCATGTTCCATCTCTCTCTGCCTCTCAAGAATGAATAAATGTTAAAAATAAAATTTTTTAAACATTAAAAAACATTTAAAAAAATAAAGAGAATGTTGGAGAACGATGTTGGGGGAGATATGTATATTTCAGATATGCTGATGGCTGGGGAAGGACAGCAGTCACATGTGAGCTGGCAGGCCGCAGGGAGAAGCCAGGGACAAGACAAGAGTCCTGGCACCTAGCTAAGCAACCCTCCTCCCGTGTGGGTCCACACTCACCTGGGTGGTGGCTCAGGACATTCCTCTGGCCCTGGGCACTGCCTAGCCATGGCTCTGGCCCTCGCTCAAACTTACAGAACAGCTCTGGGTTGGCAATAGTTGGTCCTGAGTCAGGAACAGAGAGAAGCACTTATGAAGCCTTAGATCCTGGTCACAACATTAAGGAAGGGTCTGTCTGTGACAGCCCCCTTTGCACTGTGAGATCATCGGTCAAGGGCGCAGGTAGGAATCTTGATCCTCTAGCGTGGTGGTTTGGAAACTCAGAATGAAACTCAGATATCCATGAGATCCCTAAAAGAATTGGGACCAAGTGAATGCAGTGAGGGGCACAGTGTCCCTCTTTGAGGCTAAAAAGGTTTGAAAACTACTGGCTCAGAACAGAGGCTCATGAGCCCAAATGCTGAGAGGGGCCAGGCTGACAACATAATTGAGGAAACCAGGCGGGGTGGGGAGGCTGTGGCCTCCCATGTGGGGACAGCTGCCGCTCCCCTCCAGGAATTCAGGGTCAGCGCTGCCAGACTGTCCTGCTCTTCAAGAGAAACCAGAAATCATAAGCCCATGTGAAAACCCCCAATGGTTAAATATTGACAAATTAAATACTGTAAAGAAACTGGGGCACCTGTTTGGCTCAGGTGGAAGAGCACATGGCTTTTGATCCCAGGGTCATGAAATTTGAGCCCCACGTTGGGTCTAGAGAATACTTAAATAAACTTAAAAAAATTAAAAATCAAAAACATTGTAAAGAAACCAAGCAAAAGTGATGAAAGCCGAAAAAAAGGCCCATGAGCTGATACTATGTGCAACTTTTGGTTTAAAAGAACCAGCAGTTTTCAGCGAGGATGTGGAGAAACGGGCACCCTCCTACACTGTTGGTGGGAATGTAAATTGGTGCAGCCCCTCTGGAAAACAGTGTGGAGGTTCCTCAAAAAATTAACAATAGAACTCCCCTATGACCCAGCAATAGCACTGCTAGGAATTTACCCAAGGGATCCAGGAGTGCTGATGCCTCCAGGCACATGTACCCCAATGTCCACAGCAGCACTCTCAACAATAGCCAAANCATAGCAAAATCATGGAAAGAGCCCAAGTGTCCATCAACGGACGAATGGATCAAGAAGATGTGGTTTATCTATATGATGGAATACTACATGGCAATGGGAAAGAATGACATATGGCCATGTGTAGCAACATGGATGGACCTTGAGGGTGTTATGCTGAGCGAAATAAGTCAGGCAGAGAAGGACAGATACCATATGTTTGCATGTATAGGAGGATTAGGAGGAACGTAACAGAGGACCATGGGGGAGAAGAAGGGAAAAAATAGTGGGGGAGAGGGAGTGAGGCAAACCATGAGAGACTCTTGAATGCTGAGAACAAACTGAGGACTGATGGGTGTAGGGGGGAAGGGGGAAGATGGGCATGGAGGAGGGCACTTGTGGGGATGAGCACTGGGTGTTATATGGAAACAAACTTGACAATAAACTATTAGTAAAAAATAAAATAAAATAAAAGAACCAGCAGTTTTCAAACTGGTTTTGGCAGGCCTGGGAGAACCAGGCTGTAGCCCCTCAGAGAGCTGATAGGGCTCCCACAGCCTTAGCCGGGGGCCAAGCCTACAGGAAGAGAAAGGCATGGCACGTGGTCATCCAAGTGAATTGAGAAAACAGAACATACGAATTGAGAAAATAGTACATACGTTGTACACGCGTGTTGAATTACGATCCCCTCTGTCCATAGTACAGAAAGTCTACCCAGACGCAGAGACAGGACATTCAGAAAATAGAAAACATGAAACACACCTACGTGGGCACAAAGGCTTCAGTGGTTTTATCTCATCAAGGCTCTACGACAGGCCTACAGAGAAAACCAAGACTTCAAACGTGAAAGTCTGGTGGAAATCACACCAGTGTCATGTGGTGGAGGCAGGGCCTGAGACCAGATTTCCACAGGCCATCGCTCACCACCGCCAGTGCCCCAGGGGCACCTGAAACAAAATCCACAGACCACGGGTGGGGCTTTCCGCTGGCACCATGGGAAACGCTAAGGCTTCAAGGTGCTGTGCGAACCTTGTGCAGTTAGGTTACAGATGGGACTGAGCAGATGAACAGTGTAAGCGGGCCTGGAAAAAAAAAATGGCAGGATTCCAGAAAATTCTCCAGTGTGTCCTAGTTGGATGCGATTTGCAGTGCTGATCTAGACGGAGGAGGTGGGGAAGCGAATGGGGGCCCATACCTACTGGTGCCACCAGCTTGTTAGAACCACAGATGTCCTTCTGTTGCTGACTCAGCAGCATCCATTCCTCCTGAAGCAAGTATACCGTGATGTCGTCAAAAGTCACAGGAGCCTGGGGGGGGGGGAGGGGGGGAAGGATACCTGCTAAGCATGAGCTTCCTCCTCCGATGAGGCTTCCACGCCTGTGTTCACACCACCTGAGGGCTCCTGAGCTCCGGGAACCTGCCAGCCTAGGGGAGGGGCATTGTCAATCTACATATAAGACACCACCCCCCACCCCCCAACCTCCCCGGTCCAAGTCACAGTGGGAATGAGACTCTCTCTTCCAGGAAGGGCCACACACTGACACAAGAGTCATCGAGAAGGCTGACTCGGGAACCCCATCACCCTTTCCCGGCAGGCCCTTCGCCTGCCGCAGTGCCCAGCGTTCTCAGCCAGCCTCGGCAACCACTTAGGCCACATTCTTGTGCAAAATCTTGAACATGGTGAGGAAGGCTTATCTGATTCCTGGAAACAGTCTCAAGTCCTTCAGAACTATGTCTGCCGATGAAGTCAGTGATCGAGACAGGCAGAGCTTTACAGCGGAGAACTACATATCCCATGGGCTTGTGAAGGAGCTCTGTTCTGCCAAAAAGGGGTCTGGGGTTCAGAAAATCTTTTGGGGGAGCTCTGGTGTAAGACAGCGGATTGAAGAAGTACACTGAATTCTGCATCCTCTCTGTGGATTTAAAACACCCTCCCGGCCAAAATGCCCCCAAACCAAACACACACTAGGGTAGGAAACAGAACAAGGAGGGAAGGGGGCTCAAAAGCAATAGGATTTTGGAAACTGAAAAGCCGATGAAAAAGTAGTACCTGAGCAGATGCAAGGAAATCAAATTTTCACCCAGCAGTGGGCAAACTGAGAAACAACCCGATTTACACCACGAAATCCAAAAACAGCTCAGAAGCTGTAGTGCCGAGAACCTCCAGCCTGAGAGTGAAGGAGGTAAGGCTAAGACAAGAATTTGGGGGATGGCTGTTCGCCAAGAAAGCCTGCCCAGATTCACCTGCGAGGCGCGGCGCTGATGAGCCCCCCCTTCCATGGACTTGGGGCTTCCAGTTAGAATTTGGGTTTCTGACTTTTTTTTTTTTTTACTTATTTCTAGGAGAGAGAGAGACAGCGTGAGCAGGGGAGGGTCAGAGAGAGAGGGAGTCACAGACTGAAACAGGCTCCAGGCTCTGAGCTGGCAGTCAGCACAGAGCCCAACGCGGGGCTCAAACCCACGAACCGCGAGATCATGACCTAAGCGAAAGTCAGACGCTCAACCGACTAAGCCACCCAGGCGCCCCGAGTTTCTGACTATTAAGCGTTAGCAAACAGCTGGAGTATCAGACGTAAGTCTGATATACTTTCCTGGTAACAGGAAAGGCTCTCACGGATGGTGGCAGGGAGAGAGGGGGCAGGTAGGAACCGAAGAAATGAACGTGAGGCATGGGGAAGAAAACTGCAAAAACAAAACCATCATCATAGCCCCAGGGAGGGAAGATGCCGCGGCCTTGCAACAAACCGTTATAAAAGAAATCACCAGAAAAGGAAACGGGCAGAAAACATTGCTCCGTTTATCCTTTTAATTTCATACCACCAACAGTTATCGCTTAGTCTGATAAAGAAAACTATTAACAAAATATAAATTCCCCACCGCCAAAGCAAAACATCACTTTGGGAAATGGTATCGTTGGGGGAAGTAGAAGCCCTTCCAGAGTGACAACTGTGAAGGGGACACGATTATTTCCATTTATGACAAATTCTAGTGTATTTGTCTAAAATTGCCTTGTAACTTTATGGTCAGATTTCAAGCACATGAAAAACCCATTTTAACTTCAACAGTCGAAGCTTCTTGAGAAAAACAATACAGATAGTTCTTATCACTCACTGTTGAGTTGTACACTTAAAGAACTAATTCGAGTGCTTTTCATATGAGTTACTCCATGTTCACTGCAGAAAATTTAGACAATGAGCAGAAAAATGTTTTAAGATCACCCACAATCCCCTTACTAAAAAAGAATTACTATTGACACTTTGTATGTAAACTTCCAGTCTCTTGTCTATGTACATGTATGAATGAACAATTTTAAAAACAAAAATAGTTTGGAAACGCAATGGCCCAAAATCTTTGGGACACAGCCAAAGCAGTTCTAAGAGTTTAAAGCAATACAGGCCTACCTCAAGAAACAAGAAAAATCTCAAACAATATGACCTTATACCTAAAGGAACTAGAAAAAAGAAAAACAAACAGATCCCAAAGGAAGGAAATAATAAAGACCAGAGTGGAAATAAATAAAATACAGATGAAGACAAGAAAAGAAAAAGATCAATGAAACCAAGAGCGATTCTTTGAAAAGATAAACAAAATTGATCAACCTTCAGCCAGACTCCTCAGGTAAAAAAGAGAGAGGGCTTAGATAAATAAAATCAGAAATAAAAGAGGATAAATAATGGATACCGCAGAAACACAACAGATTACAAGAGAATTTTATGAAAAAGTATATGTCATCAAACGAACAACCTAGAAGAAATAGATAAATTCCTAGAAACATACAATCTTCTAAAACTGAATCAGGAAGAAATAGAAAATTTGCACAGACTGTTTGCTAGTAATGAAATTTATTCAGTAATCAAAAAACTCCCAACAAACAAAATCCAGGACCAGATGGCTTCACATGTGAATTCTACCAAACATCTAAAGAAGAATTAATACCTATTCTTCTCAAACTTCTAAAAAACAGAAAAGGGAGGAAAAATTCCCAATTCATTCTATGAGCCCAGCATTAGCCAAAACCAAAGACCCTACAAAATAAGAAAACTACAGGCCAATATCCCTTACAAACAAAGATGCAAAAATCCTCAACAAATATTAGCAAACCAAATTCCACAATACATTAAAAGGATCTATTCAGCACAATCAAGTGGGATTTATTCCAGAGATGCAAGGATGATTAAATACTTGCAAATCAATCTGTGTGATGCATCACATTAACAAAAGGAAGGACAAAAGCCATATCATCTCAATAGATGCATAAAAAACATTTGACAAAATAAACATCCTTTCATGATAAAAACTCTCAGTGAAGTAGGGTTAGAGAGAACATATATCAACATAATAAAGGTCATATGTGAAAAATTCAGTTAACATCATACTTTATGATGAAAAACTGAAAATGTTTCCTCTAAGATCAGAAACAAGATATGGATGTCCACCTTCACTTTTATTCAACATAGTACTAGAAGTCCTAGCCACAGCAATCAGACAAGGAAAAAAAAAATAGAAGGCATCCAAATTGGTAAGGAAGAAGTAAAGCTATCACTCTATTTGCAGATGACATGATATTACACATAGAAAATTCTAAAGACTCCACACCAAAAAGCTATTAGATCTAATAAATAAATTCTGTAAAGATGCAGAATATAAAATTAATATACAGAAATCTGTTGCATTTCTCTATACTAATAACAAAGTAGTAGAAAGAGAAATTATGAAAAACAATTCCATTTACAAGTGAACCAAAAAGAATAAAACATCTAGGCATAAATTTATCCAAAGAGGTGAAAGACCTATACTCTGTAAACTATAAGACATTGATCAAAGAAATGAAGACAACACACACACACGCACACAAACACGGAAAGATATACCATGCTCATGGACTGAAAGAATCAATACTGTTAAAATGTTCGTATTATCCAAAGCAATCTACAGATTCAATGCAATCCACATCAAAACACTAACACTACTTTTCACAGAACTAGAACAAATAATCCTAAAATTTGTATGGAACCACAAAAGACCCAAATAGCCAAAGCAATCTTGAGAAAGACCAAGGCTGGAAGTATCACAATCCCAGATTTCAAGATATACTCCAAATCTATATTAATCTAAACAGTATGGTACTGGCACAAAACCAGACACATAGATCAACAGGACAGAAAACCCAGAAATAATCCCCCTTGTATATGGTCAATTAATTTATGATTAAGGAGGCAAGTATATACAATGGGGAAAAGACAGACTTTTCTTTTTTTTTTTAAATTTTTTAATGTTTTATTTATTTCTAGGAGAGAGAGAGAGAGACAGCGTGAGCAGGGGAGGGTCAGAGAGAGAGGGAGTCACAGACTGAAACAGGCTCCAGGCTCTGAGCTGGCAGTCAGCACAGAGCCCGATGCGGGGCTCGAACCCATGAACTGCGAGATCATGACCTAAGCGAAAGTCGGACGCTTAACCAACTAAGCCACCCAGGCGCCCCAAGACAGACTTTTCAATAAATGGTGCTGGAAATACTGTACAACTACGTGCAAAAGAATGAAACTGGACCACTCTCGTACACCATACACACACAAAAAAACCTTGAAATGGATTAAAGACCTAAATGTGAGAACTTAAACCATAAAACTCCTAAAAGAAACATAGGCAGTAATCTCTGGGACATCAACCTTAGCAACATATTTACAAGATGTCTCCTCAGGTAAGGGAAATAAAAGTAAACTATTGGGACTGCACCAAAATAAAAAGCTTTTGTACAGTGAAGGAAGCCATCAACAAAACAAAAAGGCAACCAGTGAATGGGAAAAGATATTTGTAAATGATGTACCTGATAAGAGGTTAATATCCAAAATACATAAAGAACTTACAGAATTCAACATCCTAAAAAAAAAAAAAAGAAACTAATTAAAAAATGAGTAGATGGGGCACCTGCGTGGCTCAGTTGGTTGAGTGACTTTGGCTCAGGTCATGACCTCATGGCTTACAAGTTCAAGCTCTGCCTCAGGCTCTGTGCTGACACCTCAGAGCCTGGAGCCTGCTTAAGGCTGTTTCTCTTTGGCCCTTCCCTGCTCTCTCTCCCTCTCCCTCTCAAATATAAATAAACATCAAAGAATTTTTTTTAATGAGTAGAGGGTTTGGATAGACATTTTTCCAAAGAAGACATCCAGATGGCCAACAGACACATGAAATGATGTTCAACATCAGTAATCATCAGGGTAATGCAAATCAAAGCACAATGAGATTTCACCTCACACTCAGTCAGAATGGCTCGTATCAAAAAGACAAGAAATAACAGGGGTGCATGGCTGGCTCAGTTAGTAGAGCACGTGACTCTTGATCTCGGGATTGTGAGTTCAAGCCCCACACTGGGTGTAGAGATTACCTAAAAGTAAAAACAAAAAACAAGATAAGAAATAACAAGTACTGGTGAGGATATGGAGAAAAGAGAGCACTCATGCCCTGTTTGTGGACATGTAAATTGGTGCAGCCATTTTATGGCGGTTCCTCAAAAAATTAAAAACAAATATTTCATGATCTAGTAATACCACTATTGGGTATTAACCCCAAGAAAACAAATATACTAATTCAAATACTAATTCAAAAAGATACATGCACTTCTATGTTTATTGCAGCATTATTTACAATAGCCAACATATGGAGGGAATCCATATCCATTGATAGATGAATGGATAAAGATGTGGTGTATATGTGTGTGTGTGTATGTGTGTATGTATACACACACATACATATATATATACATATATATATATATACATATATATGCTCAGCCATAAAAAAATAATGAGATCTTGCCATTTGTGACAACATGGATGGATCTAGAGGGTATTATCTTAAGTGAAATAAGTCAGACAAAAAGACAAAGAGAATATGACTTTACTTATGTAAAGTGGAATTTTAGTGGACTCTAAAAAACAAATTAACAACAACAACAAAAATGAAACAGACTCATGAGCACAGAGAACAAACTGGTGGTTGCCAGAGGGATGGGGGGATGGCGGTGGGAGAAATAGGTGAAGGGGATTAAGAGATAACAAACTTCTAGTTATAAAATAAATGAGACACGGGGATGAACAGTATGGAACGGAGAACGTAGTCGATAATATTTAATAATGTTGTGCAGTGGCAGATGGTGACAACGCTTGCAGTGAGCACTGAGTCATGTATAGAATTGTCCAATCACTATGTTGTATGCCTGAAACTAATATAACATTGTACGGCAATGATACTTCAATAAAAAAGATTTTTAATAGAACTGCCCTGCCAAATGTCTATGTTTTAAATAACGATTTGCACTCAGAGTATCTTCCAATGCAAAGTATGATTATATTTCCAAAATCCTGCTGGAGGATGGGCTCCACTAAAATAAGGCAGTCAGACAGGAAAACGGAACACATATAAGATATGGTCTAAGGGGAACGAACAGGGGGAAGGGGATGCTTGAGATTATACTGGAGGCGGAACCCAGGATGATTACTGTACCCCAGGACTAGCGAGCAGGCTGTTCCGAATAGGACAGGTTGAACTTGTGACCAAGGACAAGCAGGGCTCCCTATTCCCACCCACCCCTTCCTCTTTCTTCCTGAGGGAACAGGCGGGCTTCTAATGAAAGCCCAATGGGCCCATCACTTCAGCATCCACAAGGATGAAGAGAATGGCCAGGACTGAATGAATGCTCAGATAATAAAGAACAATTGCCCTACCTCTGCTATCTCTCTTTTATCCAATACTATGGCAAGAGCCTTCTGATTCCAACTGGTCTCAATGTAAAGAAAACACAAATCTTGAATAAGACCAATTCTTTCTCTATTTATAAAGCAAAGAGTATCTCTGGATGTTCTATTTTAGTGGCTCCCACTGGATCTGTGGCAGAGCTCTGACTTAGCCCAGCACCAAGTTCCCTCGATCTGAGACTAACCCACCTTCCCAACTTTAGCTCTGTGTATTGCCCCACCTGGAATCTCCACTGCAGACAGATTAGTGCAATTGCAATCACTTAACATGCCTTGCATCTTTCCTCTCTCTATACATCCAACCTTTAGATTCCCTGACTCTGCCTATTTCCTTGTACCTACTTAGTCTACCCACTCATCGGGTTCCTATTCACATTCCGTTTCTTTCATGAGGGATTTCCTAACCACCTGGGCCAAGCAGTTCTCCTCCCCCTGAGCAAGGAAGCCTTTGTATGTCTCATGGAACTGGAGATACTCAAGACACCTAGGCTGACTGGCTTATTTTATGACCTCCTTCACCATTACCTACCCTTCCCCCCCATCACATTATAAAGTATGTCATAGGCTCTTAATTATTTCATTCAAAATGCATTTATTATTTGTGTCTTATGGGCTAGGTGCATCATGATCCTAAGTTATGGAAAACACTATCACTATTGTCCAGGAGATTAAAATCTATCAGGAGTTGACAGACACCAATAAGTGTAATAATAGAGCTGGGTCTAGAGAAAAATGAGATAGGAATGACCACTTCCATGGACAAGATGGAGGGGCAGGAACCAGAAATGCTGAGGCAGTAACTACACACACAATAAATATTTGGCAGTGCTAAAAATACAATCTCCCAGAGGGTCCATGAGATGTCAGATTGCAGCATTCTTCAGAGCATTCATACCCTCTAGCAAAAGGGCTCGGTAGCAATGCTACTTTATGAGTCATTCATTCCAAAAATACTGAGAACTTATTAATCGCCAGATGCTGCTCCACCGTTCTAACTGGGGATACAGCAGAGAGTAAAGTCAGCACACATGCAAATAAATAATTGTGAGAATTTTATATTGTGATAAAGGCTGGGAAGAAAAGAAATCAGGATAATGGGACAGCGTGATGGGAAACAGTCTTTGACTTCTTTCCTTTATTCTGCCAATGATAAGTAAGATACCCCACACCCAATTCAATAGGCCAAGATTGCTGTTATTAATGAATATCACAAAATAGCACCAAAGGAAGATACTATTAATCGACCAAGCTACTACCTCAAATGCACATCCAGTCTTCCAGCCTTGAATCCCGCCCCCCCCCAAAAAAAAAGATATTCAGAATGGAACCTTAGCACAGACATTGCACCCAGCCTAGTTACTGCCATTCATTTGCAAGACATCCAACACTGCCAGTTTGTTTTGCAGTAACTTTATTTCACTTTGAATAACCTCCTAATTTCTCAGGTTAAAAAACTGATGCATTTGAAAGGGTGAGCATCTTTTTGAGACACCCTGGAATGAAAATAAAACTCAAGAGTCCAAGTTCCAGTCTCCAGGGTTTTCGTTTAGTGGTTGGACCTGGACAGGACATCACATTTCTCCCTCACCTCCCAAATTGTTTGCATTTCTCTCTTCTCCTGTTAAAAGCTAAGAAAGCGTACAACTAAACAGAATACTTTGAGATCAATCTCAAATTACTAATTCCAGTTTCCAATAATCCTTCTTCCACATTACATTTTGCTCCCCAAACTCACGTTCAGTTGACACTAATCAGGGGATATTACCTGAGGGTAAGGGCCATTTCCTTTATTACTTTGATATCCCCTATAGTGCTTAACACGAGGCTGGCACACGGTTCACCTTCAATCTTTCTTTAGTTCAGTTCTGTTGAGCTTTATTTGTCTCACACTGTCTCCTTTGGTTGTTTCATCTGTTACATGCATCACTGTGGCTTGAGGAGGAGAGGGAGTGTGGAAGAGAAGCTTAAGCAAGGGGTAACTTCTTTTGTAACTCAGTCCTTCCTAGTTTTTCCAGAAAAAAGCTACAGTGTGGAAATAACCTCATTATCTTTTCTCTTTTGTCGATGGGACAGCCCTTTCAAGGCTTGTCCCAGTTACTGAAGTCAACTCCCATAGAGAGCTCTTTGTGGAAAGTGGTCTCTTCATGTTTATCCTATATTCCACTGTTTAGCTCACAGTAGACCACACACCACATATGTTTATTAAGTGAATTTCTTATTTAAAAAGGAGAGACTCGATCCACACTTGAAAACATATGTGGAGGGAATTCCTCTGTGCCAAAGAAGAAACAATTCTCAAAAATGGGCAGCAGGCTGCAAAGAACATCCAGAAAGATCTTAGTCCCAAGAGACTGCCACCGTCTCCAAGTCTGATGCCTTTGGACTTGGTCTTTGGACACTGCCTCTGGGCCTCGGAACTCTAGCAATCCTGTCAAACCCACTGAACTCTCCCGGCAAGCACGTTCTCCCATCTTTTCTTCCAACTCACAGCCTCCTGCCCCAAGCCGGAAGCAAGTTTATGGAATAGGTTTCTGGGCAATGCTCCCATACCCTGAGAAGTAGTCACTTTTAAGTGGGCAAGAAATATGCCAGATGCCTTCTCTTTTTCTTCTCAGCCCTTTCTTGGGAAGGTGGGAGCTAGCCAGGGCCAAACTCTCACCTGCTTCTCGGTAATCCCTACCCCTGCTTCCCCTACGGTCTGAGCCAGCCTTAAAACACGCTGGGCCTCTTCAAAACTCCCAGCGGAGGTGTGGGAAAACCGGAAGCACTTCTGGATCACTACCCCGAGTGGGTCACCCACCCTAGCATCAACCGGGCGGCCACTGGGCAGAGGGCGGCTTGGCCAGCGGGAGAGGGAGCCGGGAGGCTGCGCGGGCCTCCAAGAGGGTGTGCTCGCTCCTCCCTGCCACACCCGCCCGATCAAGGCCGCCCAAGTGCGGAGAACGAGGCGACGGGCGAGCGGGCGAGTCGTTCCCTGCAAGGCTGGCTCATCTGCGGGGACTCCGCCCGTACCGCCCGCCTCGCCGGAGCCCAGGTCCGGGATCTACGGGAGGGGAGTGGGCGGCCCCAGGGCCCTTCCAGGCCTACCTTCCCCGACTCCCTGGGCTCCATGACCCTGCTTGCGGTGGCCCGTGCTGACCCCGTCACTGCCTCCAGGCCGCCCCCTCCCCCCGCGGCCTGGCCTGAGGATGCCGCCGCCGCGACCACCTTGGGGACCGGGGCCCCTCGAAGGGCAGGACGCCCCGGCGGGGAGGGCGCGCGGCCAGGAACCGGCTCTCCCACGTCGGGAGGGCGGTAGCGCTCCCAGTGCCGGGAGAGGCGAGCGGCGGGGACTAGCGCCGTACGGGGCGAACCGCTTTACGGCCGCCGCCTGGCCCCAGACGGCGGGGCATCACGGGAAACGTAGTCCGGCGCAGTTAAGCGGCTCTCGAGCCTCTATTGGCTCCCGAAATGCTGGACCCTGATTGGACGCCGAGCAGCTCGCTCTCTGCCTTTCCCGTCTCGCTTGAGGACGATGGTTGTCAGGTAATCTCCCATATATTTACATTTATTCAAAAAGCACCATTGGTTGCCTCCCATGTGCCAGGCACTGTGCAAGGTTTGGGAATACACCTCTGAGTGAAACAAACAGGCGCCTTCAAGGAGCTTACAGTCTATCGGGGGAAACAGCAGAAACAGATACCTAACAAAATGAAGACACAAGTGCAAGCAAAGAGGTGAGCGCAGGACCCCCTGAAAGCACACTTTGTCACCGTGTAGAGTGCAGTGGTGGGAGAATGTGGGGTGGTCAGTCAAGGATTTCCTGAGGAAGTGGCACCGGGCCTCAATTAAAGAGTGGCAGTGAGCTGTAAGGTGCTCTGGAAGGAATTGTGTAACCCCCAAGTTTGCATGTGACCCCTCTGTGACGGGTATTTCGATGTGGAGCCTTTGAGAGGTAATTAGGTTTAGATGGGATCACGAGGGATGGGGCTGTGGTGATTACATTAGTGTCCTTGCAAGAAGAGACACCAGAGAGCTTGCTGTCTCCCTGCCAGATGCGGAAACCGTGAGAAGACAGCTAGCTGTCTGTGAGCCAGGAAGAGAGTTCCCACCACGACTTGGCCATGATGGCATCTTGGTCTTGACCTTCCATTCTCCAGAACAGTGAGAAAACCAGTGTCTGGCATGTAACCCCCCTGGCCTATGGTATTTTGTTATGGTAGCCTGCGCTAACTAAAACGGGAGGAGAGGAAAGGTGTTGTTAAGAGGGCAGTTGGCTGGGGCGCCTGGGTGGCTCAGTAGGCTAAGCATCCAACTTCAGCTCAGGTCATGATCTCACGGTTCATGGGTTCGAGCCCCGCATCAGGCTCTGTGCTGACAGCTAGCTCAGAGCCTGGAGCCTGTCTTCAGATTCTGTGTCTCCCTCTCTCTCTGACCCTCCCCTGCTCATGCTGTCTCTATCTGTGTTTCAAATATAAATAAAATATTTAAAAAAAATTAAAAAACAAAGAGGGCAGTTGGCTGTAAGAAGTAGCATAAATAAAGTCAGGCAGGTGAGCAAATGGTTCGCGCAGGGACAGTGTAAGACAGGAAGTTGTGGGAAGTGACATTGGAGACATGCTTGGGGGCTGGATATGGAAGGCATTGTATGCTATATTAAGGAGTCTGAAGGGGCGCCTGGGTGGCTCAGTCGGTTGGGCATCCAACTTTGGCTCAGGTCAAGATCTCACGGTTCATGGGTTTGAGCCCTGCATTGTGCTGACAGCTAGCTCAGAGCCTGGAGCCTGCTTCAGAGTCTATGTCTTCCTCTCTCTCTGACCCTCCCCTGCTCACGCTGTCTCTCTCTCTCAGAAATAAATTTAAAAAAAAAAAAAAGGAGTCTGAAATGAGATTTAAGCGGGTGAATGGTGTGGGCAAATTTGCACTTTAGTAGGATCAGGCCATCTGCAGAGTAGAGGGTGAATTTAAGGAGAAAAGAAAGAAGACTAAACTCTATAAAGATATACTTGCTTTCCTGTCTTCTCTCTCTCTCTCTCTCTCTCTTTTAAGAGAGAGAATGTTCGAGGGCGAGTGTGAGCTGCAGAGGGAGAAGGAGAGAGAGAATCTTAAACAGGCTCCATGCCCAGCTTGGAGCCCAATTTGGGGCTTGGTCTCATGACCATGAGAACCTGACCTGAGCCGAAATCAAGAGGCAGACACTTAACAGACTAAGCCACTCAGGCGCCCCTATTCTCTCACCTTCTTTAAAAGACATTCATGGTGCCTGGGTGGCTCAGGTTAAACATCTGACTTCGCCTCAAGTCATGATCTCACAGTCCTTGAGTTCGAGGCCCACGTCGGGCTCTGTGCTGACAACTCAGAGCCTGGATCCTGCTTCAAATTCTGTGTCTCCCTCTCTCTCTGCCCCTCCCCCTCTCTCTCACACACACACTGTCTCTCTCAAAAATAAATAAATACTAAAAATAAGACATGAAAGAGGGCATCAACCACCTCCATTTTGAGTTCAATCTGTCTTTCTTTTTGGTTTTTTTTTTTTTAGTCTGTACTTTCTAATTGCTTATGTTCTTACCAGCTTATGTCTTAACTCAGGCAAAGCATCCTGTGATGGGGGCCAAAACTAGCCCCTTACGCAGTAACAACTGCCCTGAGCCAGCAAGATCCCGCATGACTGACCTCAAGACAGTGATCCACCTGACCTTTGCTGCCCACCTGCATGTACCCACCAACTTTTGCCCCACATTTTCCTTACATAAACCCAGAAGTATTCTCGGCGCTTTGGAGACAGTCTTTGAGATGCTAGTCCGTGGTCTTCCCGGAGTTGGCCACACTGAAAAACATTCCTTTCTTGTTTCACCACCGCTTGTCTCCCTGTCTTTGGACTTTGTCAGTGGCCAGAGGCCAAACCTGGTCAGTTTGGGACCCCTGTGCCCTGGTCACAGACATAACATTATACGAAATAATTGTAACAATATATTGTTTAGTTTGTGTTATATATAGGTGTCATATATGTAATAACGATATGACAAATAATAATAAACAGTAAAGTGCAGAAATCTTAAGTGTATAACTCGATGTGTTTTTACCTGCGTACCAGGTAGCCACCACTCAGATCAGATACAGAAAATTTCCAACACTCCAGAAAGCTCCCGTGGGGCCCTCCCATTATGTATACATAGAGGTAAAATGACAGAAAGTAAGGAAGTAATTATTATAAAGGTGTTGGTAAAATAAACTATAAAAATGTTTTGTGTACTTTTACATATGTGTGTTTTAAGTCATAATCCGAAGTTTTGCTTTTCTTTAATTTTTTTAATGTTTATTCATTTTTTGAGAGAGAGAGAGACAGAGAGACAGAGAGACATAGAGCGCGAGTCAGGGAGGGGCAGAGAGAGAAGGAGACACAGAATCCGAAGCAGGCTCCGGGCTCTGAGCTGTCAGCACAGAGCCCGACGCAGGGCTCGAACTTGTGAACCACAAGATCATGACCTGAGCCAAAGTCGGACGCTTAACCGACTGAGCCTCCCAGGTGCCCCTAAGTCACAATTCAAAGTTTTAAATAAAAAATAAAGCACATATAGTTTATATTAAAATTTTTAAATGTTTTATTTATTTTTGAGGGGGGGCGCGGGGCAGCGGGCGGGGGGGCGGGAACAGACTCTGAAGCGGGCTCCAGGCTCCGAGCTCTCAGCACACAGCCCGATGCGGGGCCGAGCTTACGAACCTCGAGATCATGACCTGAGCCAAAGTGGGGTGCTCAACCGACTGAGCCACTCAAGAGCCCCAGTTTATATTTAAAATTTTTATTGGTACATTGTGTCATACTGACTGTTAAATATTTTGATTATTGCCCCTGAGTAGGTCCCAAGGAACCATTTTCCATTATACGAGTCTGCTCTCCTGGCTACGGTTCAATGCAGGGGCCCATGAGTATCTTTTCTAGAAGTGTCAGAGAATTCGGTCCGTGTGCATAGACTTATAATGTTTGACCTCAGCTCCGGCTGCCATAAACAACCTAGAGAAATTTGCTTCCCCACTGTTCTGGAGATTGGAAGTTCCAGATCAGGGAGCCAGCATGGGTGGCTTCTGGTGAGATTTCTGTTCCTGGCTTACAGGTGGCACCAGCTTGCTATGTGCTTCTGTGACCTCTTCTCTGTGCGCACTCGGGAGCTCTCTGGTGTCTCACAGGGAAACTCATCACAGCAGCCTTAACCTTAATTACCTCTGCATAGGCCCTATTTCCTAATATAGTCACACTGGGGCTTAGGGCCTCAGTAGAGGAGTTTGGGGGACTACAATTCAGTTCACAACTTTGTGTGCTTTGAGCAGCCACCCTCTGGCAGGTGCAGTCACTGGTAGGGGGAGTCTGTTACTGAGGGAAGAAAAGAGACACACAGAAGTGCAACAGAGAGAAGACTCCAGGTGGCTTTCCAGCCTCCAGCTCCCGGCTCAGCTACAGCTGTGCCTCCCTGTATATACCTTGGGGAGCTGTATTTCTGCCCTTATTTCTGTCTCCTTACAACACATTCTTGCTTGCGGGGGGATAAAAGTGAGAGGTGAGGACAGCCTGGGTGGCTCAGTCGGTTAAGCTTCCAACGCTTGGTTTCAGCTCAGGTCATGATCTCACGGTTCGTGGGTTTGAGCCCCACATCGGGCTCTGTGCTGACAGCTAGCTCAGATCCTGGAGCCTGTTTCAGATTCTGTGTCTCCCTCTCTCTCTGATTCTCCTCTGTTCATGCTGTCTCTCTCTCAGAAATAAATAAAACATTAAAAACATTTAAAAAAATAAAAACAAAAGGTACAGAAAGATGAGGCAGGGTCTGGAGGGAAATGTGGGAGCAAGATAGTGGGCTAAGATGTAAGACACAAGATCATGTTTCTATTGTTGATGGAAAGGGAAATGATGGTGAAGCACTGGTGAGGCAATGCAAGGAGGCAGGACCACAAGACCAAAGGCTCTTTCCAGGGGTAGGGACACTTCTAGATGACACCCCGAGGGAAGAAGAAGACCAAAGAAGGAGAAGACGGAGTCGATGTAGGCTTGTTTGGTAGATTTGCAGAGAGAATTCCCATCCGACAACATCTCAACGAGACAAGGTCATCTCATGAAAATGAAGGGGGTGGAAAGGGGTGGCAGAAAAGAGAAAATAGAGCTTATGGGAAGCAGAGTATGTAGGATGGACAAATTGAATTAAAGCCCTGTTTGAGGTTTCTGATCACAAATTTAAGGTAAAAACAGACTATCTGCAAAATCCTGTCTAGAAGCAGAAACTTGGGCAGCCATTTGAGTTGGAGTATTGCCAGGTGAGTATGAAGGGGACAGAAAAGCAAGTGGGGGGGGGGGGCTCAGTTGGTTAAGCATCCTGCTCTTAATCTCAGCTCAGGTCATGATTTCATGGTTTGTGGGATTGAGCCCCGCATCGGGCTCTGCACTGACAGCGCTGAGCCTGCATGGGATTCTCTTTCTCCCTCTCTCTCTACCCCTCCCCTGCTCTCTCTCTCTCAAAATAAATAATTTTAAAAAGATTAAAAAGAAAAGCAAAAGGGGCGCCTGGGTGGCTTAGTCGGTTAAGCGTCCGACTTTCGCTTAGGTCATGATCTCGCGGTTTGTGGGTTCGAGCCCCGCGTCCGGCTCTGTGCTGACTGCCAGCTCAGAGCCTGGAGCCTGTTTCAGAGTCTGTATCTCCCTCTCTCTCTGACCCTCCCCTGCTCACGCTGTCTCTCTCTCTCTCTCTCTCTCTCCTAGAAATAAATAAATAAATAAATAAAAATTAAAAAAAAAAAAAGAAAAGCAAAGGATTTAATGGTGCTTGCATTTGGAGTGATTTATAATGACCAGTGGTTCTCAGTTCAGGTAGGTGCACATAGAATTACCCATGAGGCTTCCCAAGAATCTGATTTAATGGGTTCAGAATGGGGCCTGACCACTGGTAGGGGTTCAGAAGCTCCCCAGGTGCTTCTAATGTGCAGTTGGTGCTGAGACTGACCATGCAGGCCCTGAACCCTGAGGGGAGACAGGAGAGAGCAAATAAAAAGTGAGAACCTGGTGGGCTCAGTGGATCTGAAACAAATGATAGCAGTGGGGTACCAGAGCAAGCTAGCTGGAATGATAGGAAGTCATGATCCGTAAGTAAATATTTGGAAGTGTTTGGAAATATCTGAGTTGTGAAAGGAAAGGTCATTGTAGGCCAGGGGGTGAGAGAACTGAATGGATTAAACACGTGGACACTGAGTGTCCGTGACGAGGAGTATGACCCATGAGCTGGACTCTTCTCTGGATGACAGGGAAGGGCATCTGGAAGCAGGAGAGGGTGGTGTAGGTGGGCAGCGCCAGCTACAAGCAGCTACGCACAGGAAGAGGGCTCTTTGCGGGAGGAAGAGGCAGAAATGGGCAGCAGAAACCAGGGAACTTCAGACTTTATACTCGGCCTGCTGAAGTGCAAACCGGGGCTTGCCCAGTTCGCCAGCACGGCAGATTCACAGAAGTCTCCTGGAGACAGTCCTTGTGCAGGTCAAGGCCAGGGCTCAGACTCACCCGGCCTCCCTCTCCCCTCTGGTCCCCAGAGACAGACTCTGCACACGGGCTTGCTGCTGATGTCGCTTTATTTGGGATAGGCTGGTACCAGGACATGGAGTGGACGGGTGGGCATGGGAGGAGGCGATCGGTGCCTCTGAGCCCGGTGAGCGCATGAGGGGGGATGGGCAGCCTCATCCAGCGGAGCCGGAGCCGTCAGTGCTTTGAGAAATCACCTCCTGGAGGACAGAAGAGGGGAAGATGCCCTGGCACAGAGGGAGTGGTCAGGCCGGGAAGGGGTGCAGCTAGAGGGGGGGGCAGTGGAGCAGGAAAGAAGACCTGCCTGGAAGAAGCCCAGAGAAAGGCGAGCTCTCGCCCTGCGCTCCGCGCCCCCCACCCCCACTCCGGCGCTGTGAGCGCCCCTGCACCTGTTTCTCTCTCACCTGCCACAGTGTGGTCCCGGGGACCTAACAAAAACAGGCACCTGGCAGGCGCTTCACACATGCGCTCCCACCAAGCCCCCCCAAGTCTGTGTGCCAGGCTGAGGTCACGGATCCTCAGCAAGGAAGGAAACAGATGAGCTGGGAGGAAGCAGCTGTGACCGACTCAAAACACTCAAGCTTGCGTTGGATCGAGGACGAAACCAACGAGCAAGCCAAGACCGGGAATGGAGGGGGTCGGAAGGGGTCATGAAGGAAGAATCCCGCGACGCCCTGAGCATCTGGAACCTGGACGCCTTTCGGAAGGCCCACCCCGGCCCCGCCCCTGCCGGGGGCCAGCCCCGGTCCCCAGCCCTCACACCCCGGTCCCGCCCCCGCCCCGCCCCCTCCGAGGGGGCCAGCTCAGATCCCCGGCCCTCCCACCCCGGCCCCAGCCCCGCCCACCCCGGCCCCAGCCCCGCCCCAGCCCCTGCCGGGGGCCAGCCCAGGTCCCCAGCCCTCACACCCCAGCTCCGGCCCCGCCCCCGCCCCGCCCCTGCCGGGAGGGCCAGCCCAGGTCCCCGGCCCGCCCACCCCGGCCCCGGCCACGCCCAGACCCACCCTGGCAAGCGCTGCACTGGCAGCTGCGGATGGCCGGCAGCACCACGGGCTCCTCGTGGCCGTCGGGACAGCGCAGGTGCAGGACCCTCACGGGGCTGTCGGGGTCCAGGCTGTAGCTGCAGCAGTCGCACTGGCTCTGCAGGTAAGGCTCCTGCGGGAGGGCGTGGCTGAGCTGGGGCGGGGTGGGCGGGGTTTGCCCAAACCACTTCCCTTCCTTCTTTTGGCCTTTCCCATCCGAGTCGGAGGCCGACACTCTTCGGCCAGCAGGGGAGCCGGGGAGGGGAGGGGTGTGTCGCCATCGAACTCCCGTTCCCCAAGAAGCCCTCCTTCACCACAAGCCCCAGCCGTCTGCACCAGCATTAAGAATGCTGTTAACTGCTCATCCCTGCACCCTGGCCGCAGGGGAGAGATACAGCCCCACCACCATGGGCCTTACCATCCCCTTGGACGACAGATCTAATACTTTCCGACGCTGCAAGTTGGGAAGCTCTAAACTACACAGTTCTGATCCTCAGTGCCAAGTGAGTTCTCACTCCAGACCCCTCTTGCTCTTCGATTATGTAGTAACTATATAAGTGTCACTGAACGTTCAATTTAACTTCTGTATAATTCCATTTTAATTTTATTTTGAAATGGGCAATATATTCAACAACACCAAGTTACAAAAGATTCAGCTTTTTAAAAACCCTTCTGGGATGAAGAGAACAGCATAGGGAATATAGTTAATAACATAATGACACTGAATGGCGACTACACTTGCTGCAGGGAGATCGCTATGTTGCGCACCTGAAGCTAATATAAACACTGTATGTCAACTATACTTCAATAAAAACAAACCTCCATCTGATTTCTATCCCACCATCACTCACTTTTCCTCCCAGAAAAAAAAATCTCTTAACTCCTTTCCTAGGTTTTAACAAATCCAAACATTATTTGGGAATAATCTGGGAATGCCAGGAGGTACAGGGAGCACCCAGGGGAGCAGAGAGTGGCCAAGGGTTGAGGACTAGGCAGGAAAGCACCTCTGTCTTCCAGGAATAGGAATGTCTAGGACAATGCTGTGTGCAGAAGGTCTGTCCCAAAGAGCTCTTCCTCGCTATATGACGGGCTGTGGTGCCAGAGCTTAGCTTTGTGCCCACAGCACGGGGTGGAGGCCTGGAGTAGGCTGGGAGCCCAAGCCCCGCGAAGGGTCACAGGGCCAAGCAGGAGGTGCAGGCCACCGCCTTGGTGAAAACTCGCCCTTGGCTCTGAGCTGTACCCCTTTGAGATCCACCAGGTCCCTCAGGTCCCCGGGGGTCTGCCCAGGTGCAGGGTCGCAGCAGCATCCCCTCGGGGGAGCAGGCTGACCCGACGCTCCTGGACCCGCACAGCAGCCCCCTTGCTCACCTCGGGCATGACGTTGATGCTGGATGGGCAGTGCCCACTGCAGTAGCTCACTTCCACCCGGTCCAGGTAGCAGGCGCCCTTGGTGAGGTTGCGCAGCTCCGTGAGATGCCGGCAGGAGGCTGCCTGCTCCTCTGTGGGAAGTAGGTGAGCGGAGGTGGGAGCTGGGCAGAGAGAAAGGGGCTCAGTGAGGGGACTCTGGGGAAAGGGGACATTGTGGACCTGAGGGGCACCTGAGGCCATTGGGACAGTGGTGTCCAGGCGCCATGATGCAGCACTGGGCATCGCCACTCTGCTCATCCCCATGGTAGGCGGCCCCGGGGAAGGCAGGCCTCCTAGGGTGGGCATGGGAGCAGTTTGGGAGAAGGGCCCAGAGCAGGGAGAGGCATGGCAGGCAGCACCCCAGGGCCCCCACATACCCGGAGGCTCTTGGCGGCAAGTGGGACAGCAGCTCCCCGGGTCGTGCACGCTCACCTGGCCCTGCAGAGGGAGTGGTCCCCAGCGCACTCAGCGGGATGACCCCAGGGCCCTGGCACTGCCTGCTCAAGGCCCTGAGAGCAGCCTCTGGGGAGGGACCCAGGAAGGAGGGCAGCAAGGCTGCAGGTGGGTACCTGGGCACAGGTGAGGAGGGGGCAGCGCTGGGTGCAGACACTCTTCCCACGGAGGCAGCGGCAGCTCTCGCAGGCCTCCTGCCATTCGGATCCAGGCTGGGGAGAGTGGGGGCGAGCCTCCTCTCCATCCCCACCTCCATCTCCTAGTTAGACTTGTCTGTGCTACCACCCCATCCCCACCGCTGTCTCAGGACAGTGGCCAGAGACCAAAGTCAGCGACAAGAGTCTCAGGAGGGAGGTGGGCTGACGGGGCCCAGAGACTGCCCCCGTGTGGTGGGCGATGGCTGATGGCCGAGCTGCCCGCTGCTGCAGGCCCTGGCGCAGGGGGAGGAGCCCGTGGAAGGGGTGGGGGGAGGGGGGAGGGCTGGGTGGCCCCGAGGGGCCATGGTGTCTCACCGGGTAGGGACGCCCGTGGTGCCAGCACTCGCAGTGCTCTGCGGGCACGCAGGGGCCCGCCTGGCTGCGGAAGTGTCCGTGCTGGCACACACAGCCCGGGGTCTGCCCCGCATCGCAGCTGCCCTGGGTGTCTGTGGCATTGGGCTCTCGGCATGTCCGCTCGCAGGGCCCCGGGGCCACCTGCTGCCACACTTCCCCCGAGGGGCACTCTGCCAGGGAAGAACCCCCACCCCCACCACTCAGGTCAGCCCTGGGTCCGGCCTCCATTCTCGCCCCTGCCACACCAGGCACCCCTAGAGCCCCTCTTCCCTTCCCAGTGCTGCCCACTCAGCCCCCGCAGCCTCTGGACTTCTAGGCCTCCAAACACGCCTGTCTGCTCTTATCCACCTTCCAAACACTAGCGGGGCCTAACTCAGTCTGGCCTTCTCCAGGCAGCCTCCCCTGACTGGTCCTGTCCACCGATTTCCGGTCCTGTGGGTGCAGCCTGCTGGCCAGACACTGAAACTGTCTCCTGTCCCTACCTGTCTTGGTGGGTGAGTCGGCCCTCAGCAGCCAGACTGGGGCTGCCCAGGGCTCAGCAGGCCTGTGTGTCCCTGAACCCACAGAGCCCAGTGTGCCAGAGCTGAGCACCTGTGAACCCTTAGCAGATGCCTGTTGACTCAGGGCACACACCCCCTGCCTGGGGACTCAGACAAGGGTCCTACTTTAGCTCACCGTCTCAGTCTTTGCTTCCTCATCTGCCGGGAAAGAGCCCTCCACTTCTGCATCGCTCACAGCCCCACACCCTGTGCTCAGAGGACCGCCCCCAACACCAGTGCGGACAGAGCAGGGAAGGGGCTTCTCGAGAGAGAGAGCATCGCCTAGGGCAGGCGGCGCCCTCCACCCTCACCCGGGGCCAGCCCCACCCTGGCTTTGGAAGGACCAGCAGAGGCCTGGACATCCACATCTCACCAGGACAGTCAGCGGCGGAGCAGTTGAACGCTCCATCTTGGCAGACACTGGGAAGACAGAAGCACGCGTTCAGATGCCTCCCATGCCCTCCTCCCCACCCCCATTCTCAGCAATGCTGCCCTCCACCCCACCCCCTGCCCCAGCCACCCCCTCCAGCCCCCCGCCCTGCCCTCACCAGCGTGTGCAGTTCCAGATGAGCTCAGTTCCTGGGGCCAGCTCCCGGGCCTGCTCCTCCAGGGTCAAGGTCAGGCCCCAGGGCAGAGAGATCTGGGTGCAGGGGCACGCCGCAGGGGGCACACATGTGCCGTTGTGCAGCAGCTGCGGCAGGGCAGCACAGTCTCAGTTACACTTGCACCACCACTTCTCTGCGCCCCTCACACCCTGCCCCCCACCCTCAGTCAGGGCCCTGAACGTACCTGCTCCCCGGGGCAGCCACAGCCAGGCCGGCAGGGCTCCTGCATACAGAGGGCACTAAGCTGCAGATGCGAGCAGAGGCGTGGGCACGAGGTGGCACAGGCACTGAGCACCTGGCCAGGCGGGCACTCTGGGGGACAGTGCACAGACGGTGAGTTGGGGTACCAGGGAGGGAACGGCCCCGCCACCTGCCCTGCCAAATGCCAGCTGAGCTCAGCAGCACCGGAGGGAAGGGAGGCACCCCCAACCCCCACCCCACATGCTCACCAAGGCAGGGCTGCAGATTACATTCCTGCCGCTGCTCTGTGTCCTGGGCCCGGCATGGCACCCCCACAGGACCCTCCTCACAGCTCCGATGTCGCTCCCTGGAGCCTCCACCACAGGGAACAGAGCAGCTGCTCCAGGTGGACCAAGGTCCAAGGACTGGGCACTCAGGGTGTGGGCACACCAGGGATCCGTTGGTACAGGTGCTGCAGACAGGGGACAAGGGCACAAGTCAAGGTGAACAAAGCCTTTGCCTGCCGGTAATGCCCACCACCCTGACCTGTCCCCAAGCCTCCCACCTAAAGTGCCCATCCCTGGCTCGGCCACCAGGGGGCAGCCATACCAGTTTTTGCAGTCCAGCTGTACCACCTCGGCTGGGGCCACCACCCATGAGGCATTGGGGCTGGGGAGGCCACAGCGGCAGGAGGAGATGGGCACGCAGTGCCCATCCTGCACCAGTTGGCCAGGGGGGCAGCGGCAGCCTGATGGGGGTGGGGAGGACACACGTAATGGAGCCTCTGGCAGCCAGATGGGGTCCAAGCCTCAGGCTCACACGGGAGCACCCTCCCCTACCCCGGCTCCCCAGTCTGCACTTGACCCGGTCTCCACGCTGTTTCCACTGCTGGAGCACAGGAAGGGGTCGCTCCGGCCCACCCTGTGTGGGCCCCACCCCAGGAACCCCCGAGGCTGCCTGAGAACATCCTCACAGATGAAGCCCATTTTGGGTAAGGCTCACTCTACGCAGGACCCCTACCCGGTTGCTGAAAGTGACCCAAGGATCCACTCTGCTGCCCTGTAACCCCTGACCCTGTAGCATGCCCCCGCCCGCAGGTCACATGCTGTCTGGAAGTAGGGGGCAGCGAGGCCCTGGTCTGAGCCCCCAGGGTTCCCAGACTGGGCTGTGGGTGTGGCCTGGCCACCTGGCCGGCACGGTCCCTGCAGACACTGCACGCGGTCCCAGAGGTCCACACAGCTTCTAGGGCACTGGTTGGCACAGTCAGGGGTGGGCACGGTGTCCTGGGCTTCGCAGCTCTCTCCTGAGGACCAGAAGGTAGGGGTCTGTGTTGGGGACCGACTTTTGGGCCCCCAGGACAGCACGCTGCCCTCCAGCGCACGCCTCCAGGAGCAGAGGCCACATCCCTGCCAGGTGCTTCCTCCTGGTGAGAGCCCTCAGCCCCGCCTCCAGATGCCAGCATGGAGGTTACCTGGGCAGGGCTCCACATTGCAGCTCTCAGTCTGAGCCCACGGGCCCCTGCAGCCTCCTCCAGGGGGGCCTCCTGCCTCCCTCCAGCGTAGCCGGAAACCTCCACTGCAGGACACCTGGCAGGGGCTCCAGGGCCCCCAAGGACCCCACTGGCACAAGTCTGGGGAGATAAACAGGAAGTTAGCACCCAGGGCCCACCTCCCCCTGCCGCTTCCTCCCACCCCAAGGCCTTGGGCTCCAGCCCTACAGACACTCTGTTAGGCCCTGAGCACCTTGAGACCCCTTCCTTCCCTTTTGGCGGCTGCGGGAGGCCCCACCCAGCACCAGATCCCCAAATCGCCCCCAATCCCGCAGGCCCTGGGAGCACGTAGGAGGTGTGGCAGGCCTGCTAAGGGCCTGGCTACCGAAATAAACCACCTGGCCCTGCCCTACCTGGCCCGGCACCCCGCCCTCCACTCTCACTTCAGGCTCCCTCCTGCCCGGTTGGTCTCTGGCCCCCTCCGTATTACCACGGCAGGCCCCAGGGTCCGGGCAGAGGCGTTGCTGGCTGAGGGGTGCAGTGCACAGGGCTGGGTCCCCAGCCCACGGCCTCCCTGTCTCCGGATCCAAACAGAGGCGATGGCGATGCTGCTCCGAAGCCAGCAAGGGGGCCATGGTCGGGGAGAGGCCAGCCGGACGCTGAGACTGGCGGTCCTCTAGGGCAGTCCTGGAGGCGGGGGCCAGCACGCCAGCGGGCAGGCAGGGCCCACAGGGTGACCACTCGGACCACCCGCTCAGAGGCAGAAGACCTAGGAAGGGCAGCGAGTGGGCACCCTTCCCAGTGACCCTCCCTGAGACCCCAAGCCCCAGTGGATGAGGAGCGAGGAGACCCAGTTATGACCAGGAAGGGCTGGAAACAGGAAAGGCTTCAGGACGTTGCTGGGGGGCCAGGGAGGGTCTGTCCTGGCCCTAGGTCCTGGGCAAACAGGGACAGTGGGTGTCTCCGGTCCAGCGTTACCTTGACAGCCCTGGCTGGTGCACTGCAGCTCCCCGCGCCGGCATTCGCTGTGGGAGCGGGGGATCAGGTCAGGGTAGGACTGGGGAGGCCAGACTCAGCCCAGAGTGGTGGTCGGGGGGCTCATGTAGGGGCGGCCTGAGCTCTGGGCTCATTTGGAGCAGCATGAGGTTGGGATTGGGCCGGGGCCTGGGCGATTTCCCTGTGAGGCTACCTCCCCCCCCACCATTCCCTGGCCCCAGCCCTCTGATGCTGCCTCCCCAGCCCCTTAACTCACCACTCTTTGCAGCCCAGCTGCAGGCGGTCCCCGGGAGCCAGAGTCACTCCAGCCCCGGCTTCTGTGATGTGCAGGCAGTTACACTGCTCTGGTGGAATGCAGCCCCCAGCCTGCTCCAGCAGCCCCTGCGCAGAAGGGGACACAGGGACAGAGCTGTGTGGTGGCCACCTCTGGATCCTAGCTCCAGCGCTGGGTCTGCTCACAGGCACACTGCTGAGCAAATGGATGGGCACACGGGCACAAGGCAGACAGTGAGGGGCTCTTACGGGGCCCCATGGGAGGGGTGTGACCACAGGCATCGTGGAGGGAAGGAAGCGCAGGAGTGCGGGGAGAGACCCCCTTCTCCCGGGGCATCTCCTCTGGCTGCACCCTTACCTCGGGGCAGTAGCAGCCAGGCTGGCAAGGCGGCAAGTCCTGGCAGAGCCGGTGGCTCAGGTGTGTGGCACAGAGCCCGGCACAGGGGGAGCCACAGGCCTGGAACTCAAAGGGAGGCGTGCAGCTGTCCTCTGTTGGGGAACAGAGGCCAGCAGGCTGGTGGGGGGCAGCCCAGAGACACCCTGCACCCCCCAAGCCTGGAGCACATAGTGCACAGTCCCATCAAGGCCCCTTGGGGCCTCCTTTTAAGAGTGGAAGCCTGGCCCCAGGCTGCCGGGAAGGACAGACCCATGCTGCCCCATCTGGCCCCCACTGGGCCCCCACGGGTGTCTCCAGGGTAGGCTCATGACGGTCGCGCCTTGGAGAACCGGGTAGCTGCATGGAGGAAGGGGCCTTCGGGGAGTGAGGGGGCCTGGCAGATGCTCCAGAGGATGGCAGATGGGAGCCAGGGGAGCAGAGCTGGAGGGGGGCCACGACGAGAGGCGGGCAAGACCTGGGGGCAGCTGCAGGTGGACAAAGGCTGCAGCTACCAAGTGGGGAGATCACGGCGGAGGCGGGAACAAGGAGGAGCAGCCGGGATGAGACTGTAGCTGAGGGTGAGGCTGGGGCGTAATGGGGCGGCTGAGATCCGGGGTCAGTGCAGGCAAGGGCGGCCGCGCTGAGTGCCTGGGGGCTCGCTCCAGGGCTCCGCTCTCTGGCTTCCTTCCCCGCCGGGGGCCTCACCAGAGCAGTTGCCGATGGGGCAAGGCCGGAAGTGGCCGTCCAGTCGTGTGCAGGGGGGCCCCGCCCCCGCCCCTCCGGGCGCCGCTCCCTGGTGCCGGTAACGCTGCTGGACCAGCACCCGACAGGAGCATCGCGTCCAGCTGCTCCAGCTGCTCCACACGCATTCCTCTAGGGACCAAGGTGGGGACGATGCCAGCCGGGCCCTTCCAGCCTCTCCCCTACCTCCTGGTCCCTCCCCTCCCCTCCCCTCCTCCAATCTCATCCCAGCCCCGGCCAACACCCTGCACAGGTAAAGGGCAAGAGGGAGCCAAGAATTCACGGCAAGTCCTAATTCACTGTGTCCCCTCTCCCCCCGCAGCGAGGGTCACTCCCAAAGGGCTCAGAGGAAAATGGTGGGAAGAGGAAAGAAATGAGACAAAATACCAGGGGACTAGAGCTGTATCTTGGGGGGACGATCTGGGGTTTGGGAAAACATGCCTCATCCCGTATCTCTCCTGTGTGCACTCACCCAGGCAGGGCCCCGGGTAGCAGGCCTGGGTGTCCTGGTGCAGGAAGGTGCCGTTGCAGGTGGGCTCAGCTCGGGCCAGAGGGCAGGGGCAGGACCCAGAGCGGGACGCCAGGCCGGGGCCGCAGCTGCGGGAACAGGGCCCCCAGGGGCCCCAGGAGCAGGCGTCCAGCTGCCCCAGGCAAGGCTGCCATCCACAGCGCTGGGTCTGGGTACCGGGGCCCAGGCAGGGGGCCCCGCTGTGGTGAGGGGCCGAGGCCACGCAGACCCGGGTGCGAACCTGGTTTCCACCTCCACAGGAGACGGGGCATGCAGACCAGGGGGACCATGGCGTCCAAGCCCCAGGTACTGTGGGAGGGCACGGGTGAGGTCAGAGGGGGTCCCGACCAGCCGTCGGGACTGGGGGTGGCACGGGGGTGGTGGCCGGAAGTAGGGGTGGGAGGGAAATGTGAGACACACAGCAAACAGGGGGGGCGAGGTGGGAGCGGGCGTAACCCCCGACCTGCGCACTCGATGTCTTCGCATATGATGCCCTCTGGGGTGCAGGAGCTGAGGGGAGGAGCTCCGAATCAGGAACGCTGCCATCCACCCACCCCCACCCCCGCCCCTGCCCCAGGCTTACCACTGCTGGCACTCGCCCTGCAGCCAGCTGTCCCCCAAGGTGTGGAGGCGGGCACCGTGTGGGCACAGGGGTGGGCATGGGGGCTGAGGGCAGGGCTGGCTCTGGGACTGCTCCTCCCGGCACTCTGGAGCCCACGAGCCAGACGTGGAGGACCTGCGTGGGGCCCGGGGCACGGACCGTGAGCGATGGCTCCGGGCCCTCCATCACTCTTCCACCTCCTGGCTGGACCCCAGGTGGGAAAGGCTGGGGTGGGCGCGGAGGTGGCTGAAGAAAGGCAAGGATGACCAGGGACAAAGGTGGGGCCAAGGCACAGAGTGGGGATGCGCCTGGGGGGCAGGATCCAGGAGCTCTGCATCGGAGAGGGGACGGCGTCCAGGCCCAGCCCCATACACACCGGAAACGGCTCTGCTGCCCTCCGGACCCACATGAGCGGCTGCAGGGGCTCCAGGCTGACCAGCGGCTCCAGGCACAGTGGGTCGGCGGTGGGCAGGGCTGAGCCGTGCAGGAGAGCCGCCCGGCCCGGCAGGTGCAGGTGCTGCAGGCCTCCCGGTGCTGGCTCCCTGGCGCCCAGCTGTGGCCCTGGGCGTCCGTACACTCACAGTGCGCGATGGGCACGCAGCCTCCGTCCTGCTCCAGGAAGCCTGCGGGGGGGCAGACCTCCAGAGCGGTGCGGGCACCCGGGGTCCCACCTGCCTTCCCACCAAGCCGCTGTGACGCGCGGATGGGCCAGGGCAGCACCCACCCTCGGAGCAGCGGCAGCCCGGCTGGCAGGCCTGGCCATCCTGACACACGACCCCCTCCTGGAGGTCTGAGCAGCGGCGGGGGCAGCGGTTGGCACAGCTGAGCATCTGCATGCCTGCTGGGCAGCCCTGCTCTGAGCAGATGGGGAGGGCCAGAGTCAAGCGGGTCCCGAGCACCAGCAGCCCTCGGCCTGCCTGCCTGAGAAGCGCTCTCCCCTCCGCGGAGCTGTACTCCCGTCCTTCTCCCCACCGTGCCCGTGGAAACATGGGGCCCTGGGGAGGCCCTGGGATTGGGACACTCTGAGTGACAGCGACTTCCTCTCACCTACCTGGGGGTTCCCGGCACCCGGCCTGCCACCCAATAAATGTTACTGAGCTGGACTAAATTTGTGCATCTAAAATGTCACCATGCTCACCTATGTGGCTCCTTCGTGTGCACCTAGAGGGGTTGGGGTGGGCTGTGTCCTAATAGCGGTAGAAGGCCCTAGAATGACCTAATAGCGGTAGAAGGTCTATGGGGTTGGTGAGCTCAGGAGCTGAAGCTGGGAGGGGCCTGTCTGGCTCAGCGCAATCCCAGGTGCACAACTGTAACCCTGAAATCCTCTGAAAACCTTGACGGGCTGGGCGGTTCAGGAACGGGAGGAGGGGCACGCCTGCGAGAATGAGTTCTAGTGCGGGCTGGGGACGGGTGGCTTACCCCGCGCAGGTCCTTGCCCCGTGCCCGGATCCCACCGTCCACCCCCGTGGGCCCGAGTTTTCTCAGCAGGCCAGTGAGCATCTCCGTCACAACGTGTCGCGGGAACGACATTAGTGGTGGGGGTGGGAAGAGCTGTGCGGGACATCCCCACCGCCTTACCACAGGGCCAGGGATTGCAGAGTCGCACGTGGTGCCTCTCCCCCACGCAGGGGGCACCCCCGTTCTTGGGTGGGGGGCTGGAGCAGCTGCGGCTCCTCAGGGACCGGCCCCCCCCACAGCTCCGGTCACACCAGGACCAGGGGCTCCAGTGGGACCAGCCTCCAGGCACTACGTGGAAAAGAGAAGGGCCCGGTGAGGGATGAGGCTCAGGCAGCGGGGAGCCCCCCACTGTACCAGGAGCCTGGGGCAGGGTCGTGCGCTAAGAGGCATCCCCACATGATGCCAGGGAAGGGCGCGCCCTGGCCCCTTCCCCCCCGCCTCACCTGGGCAAGCCCGCAGGCTGCAGAAGCGGTGCTCCTGGTACGCGGTGAGGATGTCGGGGCACCAGTGCCCGCCGGGCCCTGGGGGGCGGTATGCTCGCAGACGGCGCTGCTGGCCCACCCCGCAGCTTCGGGAGCAAGGTTCCCACGGGGCCCAGGCAGTCCAGGAGCAGTTCCCAGCCACGCAGCCAGGGCCGGGGCACGGGGGTGGCTCTGCGGGCCAGGACGGGACCACACACAGCTGAGCTGGAGCCCGCCCTGAGTCCCTGCCACCTCGGCTCAAGCGCAGACCTCCTCATCTGCCAGGAGCAGCTGTGACCTCATCCAGACCTTGGGGCTCCTGCTTTGGATCTGACACTGGCTCTTGTGGGGCTTTGGCAAGCAGGCCTCAGCGTCTCCGTCTCCAGCCTCACAGGGTACTGAGGGGTGCGGGTGGGAATCTGGGGGGAGGGCTCGGCACACCCACAAGGGAGGATTTGCCGGTGTTGGCGGGGGGGGGGGTGGCGCTGGCACAGAGCACCCAAGGTCCAGAGTCCCACAAGGATCCGCGATTAGCTGTCAGGGTGAGAGCTCGGGAGTTGCGTCAGGGGTTTTAGATGCTGGGGGCTGGGTGTTGGACCGGGGCCAGGAGTCAGAACTGAGCTGTTTGAGGGGGGATGCTGGGATTAGAGGGGATGGCCGTGGTTCGGACACAGGTCAGGGTCAGAGGTCAAGACCGGAAGGCGCACCTGTGCAGGTGGGCAGGTTGCAAGGGCGCTCCTGTGAGGTGTCCCCCCCGGTGCAGTTTGCCAGGCAGAGGCGAGTGCGGCTGCGCCGAGCAGGGAGAGCGGGGTCTGTGCAGGTGTGAGAGCAGGGAGACCAGGGAGACCACGGGCCCCAGCCACCTGAGGGGAGAGGAGGGAGGGGCATTTCCTGATGAGTCGACCCTGGGCTCCTGGCCTCCCAGGAAGCAGGGCCGGGAAGGGAGGAGGCCCTGGGTTTGTTCTTCCCCAAGGGAGGCCATGTGCAAGGGCTCGGGCAGTCTGGGGCTGGGACCCAAGGAGTCTGGGCTACCTGGAAGGCTTGTCACTGGCTCCGCTGTGGACCCCTCAGCTCCTGTGCCAAAGGAAAAGCCGGCTCAGAATGTTTCTGCATCTGCACTGCTCCAGGACCAAAGCTGAGGTTGGTGGCTGAGCTCCAAACCCACCGCCCCTCCGTCAGCTTGGTCTCCAGTGGACACTCTGGGCCCCAGCACAGTACTTCCTCATAGCAGCAAGGCCTCGGCTCCAGCCGCTCCTGTTACCTGGCATTCCTTCCCCTCTTATGATTGTTGAAGTCCTCTCCCTCCTCAAACCCCACCTGCTGCCTCCCCCCGGAAGCCCTCCTACACTGACCCTCTAGGAGAATTCTCAACCTCCCCAATCTTCCACAGTATGTGTGCCCTCCTCCAGGGCCCACCACATGCTGAAGTGGGTTATCTGAGCCCTTGGATTCCAAGGCCAGGGTCCTCACTACCCCCCTAGCACACACAGAATGGTGCATTGGCAGAAACGCTGGCGGTACCTGAATAGAAGAGACATGCAGAGCTAGCAGGTGAGGAAGAGAGACTCAGAGACAGCAACTCGGATGGGCAGAGACGGGGAGGGACGAAGGAAGGGCTGAGGTGTATCCGGCCAGCCAGACTCGCCCTTCCCACTCCCCTCACCTGGGCAGTCGGGGCTGGGGCAGTACTTGAGCTCCTGGCGGGTCCCTCGGCAGCCCTGGCTGCCTGGGGTGAGCGAGGCCCGCACACACTGGCGGCTGCGGGTGCGGGTGCCCAGCCCACCGCAGGAGCGCGAACATGGGCCCCATGGCCCCCAGGGACCGAAGCCATCAGCGGCCTTGGAGCAGTCACCCGCCAAGCAAGACAGCCTCCCGTGCACGCAGGAGCTGGGGAAAGGGCATGGGGGTGAGGGGCTGGGCAGGATGCACCCTGAGAGAAGGGGGTGTCGGCAAGCGTCTCTACCCCACAGAGCAGGGAGACAGAGCCAAGGTTACCCAGGCCAGGCAAGGAGCACAGTAGCCAATGCCTCCCCCCCACCCTCACCGTCCCCCTCACCAGTTGCTGCAGCCTGTACGGAGGGTCTGGCCCGAGCCCAGCTCATCTCCAGGACCAAGGGGCTGACCGCCCTCTCCCAAAATGGGTAGGTGAGCCCCCGGGTCAGTGCTGGGAGCCCCCAGCTCCTGCAGCAGCAAGGCGGTCAGCACACAGGGGCACTCCTGGCGGCGTGGGAGGGAGGAGGAAAGGCAATCGCACAGGTCACGTGTCAGCCCTCCACACCTCCTTGGACAAGGGGGAGCGGGAAGGACATGTGAAATTTCAGGGAGGCTCTGGGCCCCAGAAGAGCATTTCCTGGTGCAAGTGGGTCCATTTCCCTGAGTCAGGGGTGTGAACGTGAGAGCCTAGTGGCCTCTGAGCTAGACCTATAATGGCTGGGCGCTTTCCTGCATGCAGTGCTCAGCCTGGGACACACAGAGGAGGCCTCGGGGGGGCAGGGCTTGGGGGGCACACTGAGGCAGAAAGCCCCCCAGCCAGCAATCAGACACCCGATTCCTAGCTTTGCCAATAACCACATGACTTGGTGTGTCCCTTTCCCTCCCTGGGGCTCACGCAGTGTCATTGGCTCTCAGTCAAGCAGATGGGACCAGGGGTCTGCATCTGGGCATGGCCGGAACTCAAGCTGGGGGAAGCCACTGGACACCGGCTTCAAGATTAGGATTAAAGACTGGGAAGGAAATCCCCACGGGGGTGCAGAGCTCAGCAGGGCGGAGGTGGCACTGGCCTGCTGTCCAGCCCCCACAGCGGGAGACGGGGAGTCTGGGGCCAGGCAGAGTGGGGGCTGGGTATGCTTCCCCACGGGGGTCAGGCAGGGAAAGGGAGAACGTGGGGACCCATGATTGCCTGCCGTAGTCTGCATGGCTTGGGGGGCTACTGTCCTTTGCAGCCAGCTACTGGGCATCGAGAAGCCAGAGGGGGCACCTGGCCACACCTCAGTCATGGGTGTCTCCACGCTGGAGCTGAGAGCCAGGGACAGCAGCGGCTGAAGGGCAGGAACCCAGACAAGCTCCCCATTCCAGGGAACCAGCGACCCCCAGAGCCTGCATGGCCTCAGCTGTCTCCTCTGGGAGCTCGACACCTGCTTGCCTCACACAGACGGCCTCACGCGAGGAAGGGGGAAGCTGTCCAGAGGCCACAGGGTCTGCAGAGGTGAGCAGCTGCAGGGGAGAGGGAGGGAAGGCAGAGGAGCGGAGAGGAGGGTTTTGGGCTCCTCGCTGAGTGGGTCCTGACCTGGACACAGGACAGGCGGTGCTGGAAGGTGCCCTCCGGGCAGTGGCAGCCTTCTTCGCAGCCGGTGGAGAAGCAGCCCACCTGGTGAGTGATGTGGGCGCAGGAGAAGGGACACCCTTCGCCGGGCCGGCATTCCCGGTACAGACGTCCAGCCGGGCAGCCGGCCTCTGGGGCAAAACCAGCGTCAGGGCCCCGCTCTGGCCTGCACTGCCCTCCATGGCTACTTCTGTGCCCACCCCAGTGCCTGGTACCCAGTACCCACCTTCCCGCGGCTCCCCAGTTATGTAGACAACACCCTCCCTGGGTTGTGCCCCTCAGGGCCAGTGTCACACCCTCCCACGGGCTCCCCTCCCTGCATCTTGGCTACTTCCTCCTCCACGTGCCCATCACTGGCCCCAGGAAAGGGCAGTGTTGGGGGATGGGATGAAAGAGGTCTTAGCACCTGTGAGTCAGCATCAGAGGCCAACAGGGGAATCGGTCAAGGGCAGACCCTGGACCGGGGCTCACCTCTGCAGACCTGGGTGCGGCAGGTGCGGCTCTGGCGGGCGGGCCCGGGGCAGGGGGGGCGGGCGCACCTCCGGGAGCGGAGCTGCTCCCCTCCCCCGCACGACACACTGCAGTCCTCCCAGGGGCCCCAGGAGCCCCACACCCCGGGCCCAGGGCAGCCGGGCACCTCCTGGCACTGCAGGATGCCTTCCCTACAGGTGCTGGGGACAAAGTGGGGGGCTTCAGAAGACAGGACCCTGGCCAGCTCCCGCCGAGCCCACACTGCCCAGCTCTGCAGCCCACTCCCTCCCTGCTGTGCTTGGCTCACCAGCTGTCACAGGGCCCCGTCACCGTCTCCCCGGGTTCCAGGCTCTCCCAGGAGCTGAGCCCAGACCCTGCTGACCGGCTCTGGTTCTCAGGGATCCCTGAGGGCAGGAGTGGGGGTGGGACCCCAGATAGCTCAGGGTGGGTGCCCCGCACCCTCAACCCCTCCTCCTACCCCACTGTCTCCCTCCCTATCAGCCTGCACCCCTCGGTGCTCCAGATTCTGCGCCTGGAAGGTGAAAGCCCCTCCTGGAGCAGGGATGCGGGGGGGCGCATGGGGGACTAAGGCCCAGGGCACCACTCCCACCCTGGAGCCCAGGCCGGGCCCCAGAGCCAGGCAGGGAGAGGCCACGGGGAGAGCATGGAGGGAAGCACTGACCCATGGCCGCAGGCTGGTACTGGCAGCGGCAGAGGGCGGGAGGCACACAGAGGCCGTCCTGGACCAGCTGGCCGGCGGGGCACCCGCAGCTGGGCCGGCAGCCCGTCGAGCCCGGCTGGCACGCGCTCCCGGGAGACAGGTCCAGACAGGAGCGGGGACAGGCCCGCCCGCAGGGGAGAAGGCCTCGGCCACCCCCACACTCTGTGGCGGGAGGGAATCGGAGAGAGCGGACACTGAGCAGGGCCCATCCTGCAGGGTCCCAGCACTCAGGGGGCAACCCTCCTGCCTCGCCCCCATCCGCCTCGTATTCCACCTCGTCCCAGGACCAGGGCGTGAGTGATCTAAGTGCTAAGAGAAAGTGACATGCATGTGTCTCCCTAGCCTTCCAAGGGACCTTCTGCAGAAGCCCTTACCTGTGCACTTTGTGACATTGTCATGGCAGGGGCGACTCTGCCTGTGGCCCCCAGGACAGGGCCTGCCTCCCTCAGGGGTGGGGGGCCAGATACACGCCCGGCTCCGATGGGACTCCCCCAGGCACGCATCACAGGGAGACCACAGTCCCCACGGGCTCCAGGCTCCGTCCACTGTGTGGGGAAGACAGAGTCACCTGGCCTAGGAGGCCTCGGGGGTGGGGGTGGGGCCGGCCTACTGGGATTTGAGCAGACGAATGGGGGCATCTCACCTGGGCACTCGAGGACGCTGGGGCAGGGCTCCTTCTGATGCTGGGCCCCTGCCTCCCCTGCGTCCCCGGGACATGGGGCACCCCCGTGCTGAGGGGCGGGGCAGGCGCAGGCCCTGGAGCGGCTCCTCCTCTGGCCCCTGCAGGGCTGGGAGCACGCTGTCCACTCCGACCACGGACACCAGCCACCGGGCACTGCAGCAGGGGACAATGGCACCCCTTGCCCAGCCCCAGCCCTCTCTGTGGCCTCGGCCGCTTTACCTCACCTCCCCCTGAGCTGGGACATACGTACCTGGGCAAGGCAGGTCTGTGCAGTTCAGCCGCCCATCGGAGCAGGTGCTGGGCAGGGCGCACAGGCACAGGAAGGGGGACAGCAGCTCAGTCCTGCCCGTGCTCTCCACATGCACCCCTCCCAGGCTGCCCCTTCCCTTTCCCTCACCCCTACACCCCCCCTTCCCTTCAGGCTCTCAGATGCCCCCTCGGCATTCTCCAGAGCATCCAGACCCTGCTCCCTGTCCTATTCAGGGACCGCTCAGGTGTCCTGAGGGCTCCCTGCGGGTCGCTGGCTGGTGTGTCCTACTGGGGTACGGCCATAGGGAGTCCGCTGCTAACTGGGGCCACCCAGCGAGGGGGAACATCATACCTCTCACCCCACCCTCTGCTGAGAGCAGATGCACAGAGCTGCCTGCCTCAGTTTCCCCACCCATCCGACCACGGTAAGAGCGCCTGCGCAGCTCCTCGGGGACTGTGGGAGTCTAACCTGGGTCAGCTGAGGCCTGGGAGAGCTCCGGGGCAGCCCGCCCGCACCCCGGCACCTGCTCTCTGCCCACACGCCTGCCTCACCAGTAGTTGCAGCCGTCGGGCCTCGGCAGCCTCGCGCCTGGATGGTGCCGCTCGCCACTCAGCAGGTCCAGGCAGCCGCAGTGGCGAGGCCACACGCAGAAGGCCCCGTCGGCACTCAGCACCTGGCCTGGAGGGCAGTAACAGCCGGGCTGGCAGTGCCACACGCAGTGCTGGGGGGCAACAAAGGGAGGGGCTCCTGTCAGCAGAACATAGTCCCAAGGGGGCAGGGAGGGGAGAGATGAAGGAAAGGAGGGGGCTGAGGGGTGTGCAGAGCCAGAACGAGTGGTTCTCCAGTTTGCAGTCGAGGTCATGTTCTAAACACAGTTTCTGGGGCACCTGAGGTGCTCAGTCGGTTAAGCGTGCAACTTCGGCTCAGGTCAAGATCTCATGGTTCGTGGGTTCGAGCCCCACGTCGGGCTCTGTGCTGACAGCTCCGAGCCTGGAGCCTGCTTCGGATCCTCTGTCCCCCACTCTCTCTGCCCCTCCCCTGCTTGCACCCCCCTCAAAAATAAACATTAAAAATTTCTAATACATAAAATAAAACAGTTTCTGTCTAGTCCCCTCCCCAGGGGAGAAGGAAGGAGAGGGGAGGAGAGCTCACAAAGGGCTTCCCTGGGTGGGAGTGTCCTCCAAATGCGAACCCTGTGGAGGGGTCCATGGGGGACCTGGTTAGTGCCTGGGAACCGAGGCACCTCCCAGAATGCAGGGAGCAGGGCAACAGAAAGCTGGCTTGGGCTGGGGGGTCTTGGGGAAGGAGCTGGGGTCTTCTGGGGAAGCCGGGAGCCAGGCACTGGCCGTCTTCCTCCCTGCTCACCCTGTGTGGCACCTCCCTGGCCCTCTCGGGCCCCAAGGCACTGTCCCTCCGGCATCCCTGATTGGGGCCAGCTTCCTCACACACCGCTGCAGACTCCAGGGGTCAGGGACCCTGTCGGCGCCCGCCTCTGTCCCTCTCCAGGGTTCCGGACAGGCCTTCGGCGAAGGCTCACACACAAGCACATGTACACTCAGGGTACACGTGCCAAAATGCTCGTGGTGTTTGAGACAATATAAGGGAATGATCTCCTCTCCCTCTGCGTTGATGGTACCATTGTAATAACATGTTTCAATTGAGAAAGGCTTGATGTAATGAACACAAGGGTTGCTGGGTGAGGCTCGCTCCTGAGACTGTCTCTGGAACAAAGCGGGACACTGACCCCATCCCTCCCCACCAGAGCGAGGCTGCCCCAGGCCCGAAGAGGTCATGACCCACAGCCGCCCCCTGCCCTCCGGCGAAGTGACCCTTGGGGCCAGAGGTCAAGCAGGCATTGCGAGGGAGCCACACTCACCACGAGGTCGTCACAGGAGCGAGGACAGGGAGGGCCACAGGGACTGTACTCAGCCCCTTGAATGGCGGTGCAGTTGGCCACTGGGGAAGGGGACGGGGGGGTTGAGAGCTGTGTGGGTGCCCCCCATCCCGGCCCACAGTGTTCCTTGACCCCTGTGCCCCATTCCTGGCAGGTACCTGGGCACGGCAGAGCCTGGCAGGTCTCTCCCTGGGCCCGAGGCCCCTCGCAGTAATCCCCCAGGCCCTGGGGCGGGGGCTGGTCACAGGCTCTCAGCCGGCTCCGCAGGCCTCCCCCGCAGCTCCGGCTGCACCTGGACCAGGGCCCCCAAGGACCCCAGCCCCCAGCTCCTGGGGGGACGGCAAAGGAAGCAGTTGGGGGAGGGGCTGGCCAGGGCCGGGGGCAGCTGGCGCAAGGCAGCGGGTATCCACAGGCCTGGAGGGCACCACGCTGGGCGCCACAGGACTCACGGTCACACGCTGCCAGGAGGCAGGGCTCCTCCTCAGCTTCGGGGCCGGGGCAAAGAGGTGCAGGCAAGGTCGGTGGGGATGACAGCCCCAGGACGGATGGTTCTGCCGCGGGGGGCCTGGTGCAGAAGCGGTGTCGGTGGCGTCGGGCGGGGCCACAGGAGGCTGAGCACTCGCTCCAGGGGGTCCAGGGGGACCACGTGGGCCGACCTGGGGTACAGATGAGGGAAAGGCCGAGAGAGAGGATGGAGTGAGTGCAGGCTGGAGGCGCTGGCCTGGCGGAGCACCTCTTTTCCCCCTGCCCCCCACTGTGCCCCAGGTGGGGAGCAGTCAGGGGGCACAGTCAGGTGCGGGGCCCCTTCCTCACCCTCCTCACAGGGCCTGGAGGTGCAGTTGGTGATGAGCCCAGAGACACAGGAGCTGGAAGAAAACAGAAGTTCGGGGGTGCTGTCACAGGCTGAAGTGTGTTCCCCCAAATTCCTACGTTGAAGCCCTAACACCGAGGACTCAGAATGTGACCTTATTTGGAGACCGTGTCTTTACAGAGATGATCAAGTCACAGTGAGGACACTGTGGTCCAATATGACTGGTGTCTAGTTTTATGTATTTATTTATGTTTGTTTATTTTTGAGAGACAGAGCACAAGTGGGGGAGGGGCAGAGAGAGAGGGAGACCAGAATCCGAAGCAGGCTGTCAGCACAGAGCCCGACGCAGGACTCGAACTAGTGAACCTCGCCGTGAACCATGAGATCGTGTCCTGAGCGGGTTGCAGGAAGGCAGCTACATGCCAAGGAACACCAAGGCTTGCCGGCAACGACAGAAGAGTAGCTTCTGGAACGGATTCTCCCTCACAGCCCTCAGGAGGAACCACCCAGCTAAATTTCTAGTTTCCTGAGCTGTGAGAAGACAAGCTGGGTCTGCTGTGTGGTGTTGCAGCTTCGGCAGATGGGGCCGGGTGGGAAGAGAAAGGATGCTGGGGATGGTGTGGGCAGGGGCCCCGGAGAGCTGGCCGGCCGTGCCTGTGGGCCCAGGAGGTGGCCACGGCCCATGGGAGGCCATTGTCCCCGGCACCGAGGAGGGACAGCAGGCTGCTCGCCAGGCACGGAGAGGGGGTCTTACCAGTTCTCACACAGACGAAGCACCACGCTGCCCGGGGGGTAAAGGCGCCCCCTGTGGGCACAGGGGCAGTCCTGGGAGGGCACACACACGTTGTTCTGGAATCAAAAACTCCTCATCATCTTCTGGATTCCAGGGGGATCTGGCCCGGCCCGCGCCCCGCAGTCAGAACCCTTCCTCGGGCTCCCAGCCTCAAACGCCACCCAGGCTCCTTCCACAAACACCACCACCACCACCCAGGAATACGCACACCTGCGGTTACAGGAGCCATGGGGGAAGGGCATGGACTGCCCCCCCAATTTCTGGGAGCAAAAAGACCATCTCTAATTGCACTGGAGAGACTGAACTGCCAAATGCCCATGAAATCAGCAAGATACGAAACGTGTGATTCGTATAGCAATGATGCTTAAAAAAACAACTCTATGTTTCCATTAGAAAAATTAAAACCGAGGAAATGATGCACATGGGAAGTTAAGACAAAAGTTGCTGATGCCTCAAATTAAAAAAAAAAAAAACCCTGCCCCCCAGCAGCACACGATTCAAAGTCAAGTGTACTGAGGTGGGGGCCAGGCCCTGGGAAGCCCTTCAGCATTTCACGGACCCTGATGACTAGGTGTGTGATTACCCCAACTTGACGAATGAAAAGCAGAGGCATAGGAACATGCATGCCAAGGTCACAGAGCTGCTAGTAGAAGCATCTAATTTGAACTCAGACCTCACTGGACTCTGGCCCCTTAACCACACCCCACGTTTCAGCGGTTTACCTCTGTAAGCCCTCCTCACCACCCTACCAGCTTCCGTCCACATCCCACATCCCACCACTCCCACCTCACTTCCCTGCCTTCCAACAGCAATGCTGCCTCCAGCTCTCCACACCCTGCAATCTCTGACAAATCAGGATCACCTCCTCCAGGGAGCCCTCTGTCACTGACCCAGCCCCCACCAGTCTGCATTCTGAGCTCCACAGTACGCAAAGCTCACTTCCTGCTAAGGATGATTCTCTTTCCATTCTAGGCTCTCTGGGTCTGATTTCCCCAGACCACAGGCTTCACGAGGGCGAGTTTACTTTCTCCACCGCAGGACTAAGTATGCAATAGGTGCTCAATAAATAACTAATGATCCCAGAAGGACAGAGCGCTCAAGGAGGCATGAATCACAAAGATCGTGTAGACCTATCACCATTTCACAGATGGGAAAAGAGAGGCCCAAGGAAGCATGAACGGGAGTCACCCAGGGTCACCTGCTGGCCGCTGGCAGAGGTGAGCCATGACCCCGTGCTTTTTCCTCAACTCTGAAGCCCATATGCTTGCCCTGCCCCTGCCCAGGTCCCAAGGAGGGCAGGTCAGGGAAGACACTCACCAGCAGGAATGTCCCAGATGGACAGTAACAGCCAGGGTGGCAGGTCTGGTCAGTCCCTTGCAGGGCACCGAGCTCGGCACAGGAGGCAGGGCCCTGGGCACAGTCCAGCCACTGCTTGCCCCCGGGACACTCGCCAGGCATGGGCCCTGGGGTCACAGAAGTTGATAACCACCCCAGGCACATTCAACTCTTTCCCAGGCTCCCAACCCAGGAGAGGCATCGGCTCTAGATGTGGCCAGGGATGTCATAGGCTGCACAGCAGCTCACGAAGATGGGTCCCCAGGGGCTGACAGGGCTCTGGGTTGGGGGGGATGACTACTGGGGGTACAGCAGTAGTGGAGGAGGTGGGGACAGCCCTCACCTGCACAGGGCTGCAGACCACAGGTGGAGAAGTCCATGAGGCTGTGCGGGCCACTGCCTCGGGTGCGGTTTTGGTAGCCACCGCCGCAGGGCACGGAGCACGGAGACCAGGGGCCCCACTCCCCACCGGGACCTGGAGTGGCCGCCAGGTCGCTGCGGGCCCTACCTCCCACCCCCACCACAGCCCCCTCCTCCACCCAGACCTGCAGGATCTCAGCCCGCCTCGGGAGACCCCACTCCTCCCCGGCCTGGGGCAGCGCTGGCCTCCACGGGGGACCCTTCTTAGGGAATGACTCTTAGGGCTCTCTGGGGACCTCCTCCTGGCATCTTTTAGGCTAGGCCTTTGCACCTCTCTTGGGGCCCGGGGTGGGGGGGTAGTGACTGGGGTGTTTCCTGGCTCCTCTCTGGGGATTCTGAAGCCTTAGTCCCAGCTCTCACCCCGACATGGCCGCAGGCTGCAGAATTCAGCCTCCATACTGGGGCCCTGGCACGCAGCACCCCCGAAGGCAGCTGGGGGTGCGGTGCCCGCCCGGAAGCGCCGCCGAATGCCCACGTTGCAACTGCGGCTGCAGAGACTCCAGGGGGTCCAGGGGCTCCAACCACAGGCCACTGCCAGGGTGGGTACGGGGAGGGGCACAGAGGGTGTGAAGCCAGTTCAGATCACCCCTGGTCCCCAACTTCCCTGGGGCACCATTGACACCCCCAGGAGTTATTCTGAAGGGGCTGGCATCCCCTGTGGTCCCCGAGGACCCACTGCTGCTGATTCCAGGGCATCGGGGTACCTGGGCAGGGCTCTGAGGTGCACACCATCTCCCCGGAGTTACAAGTGCTGCAGAGAGAAGACCCATCGTGGCCACCATCAGGCCCTGCCCCTTGCAGCTCTGTGTACCCGGCCCCGGGGGGAACCGGCTGGCACACCACCGCACCCATGGCCCAGCACGACACAGAAGTGAAACCCGCAGAAGGGTCTAGAAAGTAAAGCAAGTTGCCCCATGTCCCCCTCGAACTTCATGAGGTGACACGGGATTCTCGTCCAGGCCCTCCCGCCTAGTTCCACCCTCTGTGGGCTCCCTGAGGCCCCAAGCACTGTGCTGTCCTTCGTTTCACACTTTTATCCAAGAAGCACCTTAACATGCTTTCCAGTCTGCTCGTATTTATCACACAGTTTGAAAAAGACTTTGAGCAGCTCTACAGGGCCAGGTAGGAGCCATTCCGAAAGAGCACACCCCAGCGTGAGTCTCCTGGGAAGAGCGGTGCACTCTCCTCTCCTTTTACTTTTCTCCAAGAAATGTTTTAAAGTTGCCGCCCCCTCCCCCATACATGGAAATTCCAGAAAAAGAATGGAAGAGAGAAAAAGTAAAAGAGAAAGAGGAGGGGGAGAGGAAGCATGAAGGGTGTGGTGGGAGGGGGGGTGGGCAGGGGACAAGGAAGAAAGAGGAAGGGGAACATAAAGAACAGAGAAAACGAAATGTAAGGGGGAAAAAAATGAGGAAAGCACAAGGGGGGGTCGTGCGCCCCCTGCCGGCAGGGCCTGCTATCAGCCTGGAGCATTGGGGACTTCAAGGTTTTTGAGCAGAAATCCAGCGGATCTCAACATCCAGGAAAGAAAACAGGGGTGGCTGGAAGGGAGGCTAGGAGACCCTCTCCAGCCCCTACTTCCTTCACAAATCACCTCACCCATCTGAGCCTCAGTCTCCCCACAGACGCCCAGCCAGGGAGCACTCACTCTGGCATTCCCCAGGCACAGGCCGGGCACCATGGAGGCATACTGACCGCCCCCCTCCCCCGGGCCTGTGTGTCCATGCTCATTCACCCCTGGAGCCACCGAGCTCCTCCCCCATCTTCGCCTCCCTCCCCTCCCTCTCCCAAGGCTGGTGGCTTACCAGTTGTTGCAGGAGTTCAGCTGAGCCACTGCTCCCGGTGCGTAGAGCTGCCCGTGCAGCTGGCAAGGGCACCGACCGCGGGGCAAGCAGCTGGCATTGTGCAGGAAGAGGCCGGGCGGGCAGGCGCAGCCAGGGGCGCAGATGCTGGTACACTCCACCCCAGGGTCCTGAGCCAGGCACAGCTGAGGGCAGGGGCCCCCAGCCTGGCGGCACTGCTCAGCGGAGCGGAACACCATGTGCCCTTGGCACTGGGCTGGACGGGCAGACAGAGAGGGTCTGAGCACGCACAGGCAGGAGGAAAGGGCCAGGGGACGGAGGGGCCGAGGGGAAGCTACAAGCAGGCGACTGGGGAGCAGGACCCGGGAGCCACGGGAAGCCCCTCCCACTCCCCCTCCCTTGCAGGTTTGTTCCAGTGTCTGAAAGGTTGCTGTTAAAAAGAGTCAGAGCTTTGCCTGACTTTAATACAAATACCCTTGGAAGTAGAGCAGGAAGAAGGCAGTCACCAGGGCCAGGAGGGGGCGCAAAGGAGAGGGGGAATGGGGCCAGGGGCTTCTAAAGAAGGGCTGGCTCTGCTTCTCAAAATTCCTGCAGTGAGTGGTTCTGCCCAAAGGCCAGTCTGACCTTGGCCACATGCCAAGGAAGGAGACCTTGGGCCAGGAGGAGCAAAGACCGGGACCCATGCCCAGTCCCCAGGGTATGGGAACCAGAGGAGGGAGACACAGGAAACCCAGCAGTCTCTTAGCTCAAGGTATGACCTGGAGCCAGAGATCCTGATGTGAGAAGGTGGGGTGGGGAGAGGTCAAAATCCCCGTGGGGGGAGGGGCTGGCTGGACGTGGCTGGGTAGAGAACCACAGGGGTGGGAGGGGGGCTAGCACCTGTGCAGGGCTGCGTGTTGCAGTCCCTGGTCTGGCTGTGAGGTCCCTGGCACTCGGGGTCCCCGGGAGTGGAGCCAGAGCAGCTGCGCCCACGTATCTGGATGCCCCCATCACAGGGGGCTGAGCAGGCAGACCAGGGGGCCCACAGACCCCAGGTGCTTTGCACTGTCAGGAAGAGCCAAGTTCGTCATCACAGATGCCGGCAAAGATGTGGGTAGGGGATGGGGTCCCTTCAGGCCCGGCCCACCCTGTTAATCACGGGCTGGGGGTGGAGGAGAGCTTCGGGACAACAGGTTTGCTCTAGCCTCCCTGCCCCAGGTGCCCCAGGGGTCATTCTTCTCCTTTGCTCCTCATCCCACCCTAGTGGCGAGGCCGCTCCAGGGACAGAGAGTGGGGCATACCTGGGCACACAGGGGGGCTGCAGGGCTCCTCCTGGGTGGCCTCTCCTGGGCAGGATGTGTCCCCGGGGCTGGGGCAGAGCCGGGAACGACTGCGCCACCCGGGTCCTCCTCCAGGGGGAAGGCAGCTCCTAGAGCAGGAAGACCAGGGCTCCCAGGGCATCCAGCCCAGTGTCTCTGGAGGGAAAAGGCCAGGCCTTCTGCACAGCGTTCCTGGCAGAACCGGCTCAGGTCTGAGCTATGGGGGCCAGGGAAGGGCGCGGGAAGCTGGAGAGAGCCTCTGTGGGTGCAGGCGCAGCCTCTGCCCCTCTAAGGTGGAAGGCAGGACCCCACCTCCAGGCCCAGGCCTCACTCTCGCAGCACAGTCTCCTGCTCAGCCGAGCTGCAGCTCAGGCCACACTCTAGCTGTGGGCCCGGCTGGCACCTCGTGTCCACTACCCACCCTCGCATTTCCCCCCAGATCAACTGGTCCACAGCCTTCTAAACACCCGTCCTTCATTCGGCGCCCGTGCTAGAAACCCAAGTCCCCAGAGACACCTATCCGTGCACCAGCAGCCATTCTTCACCGCCCCTTCCTTCCTTCTTCCCTCCTCTGCTGTAAGAGCCTGGCCCAGACCCCACGGACCCAGGCTTGCACCCCCAGCTCTTATTTTTGCCTTTGCCCCATCTGCCTGCTCTGCAGAGACCTCTGCGGGCACCTGCTCTGGGCTCCCTCGTCCGGGGTCTGTGTGCTCCTCCCCCACCCTCACTCACTCAGCTAGCAGGACCAGCTTCACCCCTGCTCTCAGGAGACCCTGGCCCCCCAAGACCAGCCTGCTCGCAGTGCCTGGGCTATGTGTGTGGCAGGCGGTGCCGCCTGGGCCCCACCCTCTGTCTTGTCCCCAACAAAGCCCCATGCATTCCTTCTGGGGCTGCCTCCTGGACCGGAAGGCCACACTGACCACCAAGCAGGTGACCAGTGGCCCAATCGATCATGCTCTGTCCCCAGGGCGGGAATTGGGAGGAGGAAGGCAGGCATGGGGGTGGGGGTGGGTATCCTGGCTCCTGACCTACCTGTCCCACACTCCACGTGGCACGCCTGCAGCTCCTGCCTGTCGCCTTCACACGGGGCACCCCCGGAAGCAGCCGGAGGGTTGGAAGGGGATCTGGGGGGAGAGGCAGCCTGGGCACCCGCTCTCCTCTCCCTGCCCTCACTCCTGTCTTCCTTGTTCACCTGTCCTCCAACCGACGCCCTCCCCGCCCTCCAGCACCCCTTCCCTGCCTTCTCCGGCATTCTTCACCCCACCCTGCCTCCCACAATAGCTCCGTCCTGCACACCTGAACCTGGTCCGCACTCCAGAGCCACAGGAGCGGTCACAGGGACCCCAGGAAGACCAGGCTGACCAGCCACAGGGCACAGGACAGCCCCCAGGCTCGCACAGCAGGGCCCCCTTCTCACACACGCTGCAAGGGAGGGAGAGGCCGAGGAGGTCAGGACTGGGAAGGGGGGCGGAGAGGGGCTAATTGCTCCCCACCCCAGCAGACAACCTCACCAGTGGCTGCAGTTGTCTAGGAGGAAGGGCACCCCCGGCTGCTTCAGCTCTTCGCCCACCAGGCAAGGGCACTCAGAGAGGGGCAGGCAGTGGCCATCATAGAGGAGGAGTCCAGGGGGGCAGCGGCATCCTGGGGTGGAGGTGGGAGGGCACTCAGCTCCATGTAGGGGGGCAGTGGGGAGGGGAGGCCTGAGACGGAGGGCTGGTGAGCATCCTCCCCCGCCCAGGGCTCTGTCCGCCACATCCCTGCTTGCTGGGTGTGCCTCACCCTCCAAACAGTGCCCACTGCAGGTTCTGTTGGCCTCAGGGTCCCAGCAGGATGGCGGACACGGTGGCACCAGCCCCTTCTGGCACAGCTCGGCACTGATAAGAACGCGGCCCAGCCCGCAGTCTGGTGGAAGGGACACTGGGTGGAGGCTGGGGGGGGTAGGGGGGGCGGTACCAGGAGGCCCGTGATCTCCCCCAACAGCCCCACCTCCATGGGGCTCCATCCTTGGATGCCCCCGCCCAGCCCAGCTCCCTTACCGGTGCCCCCCTTGCAGGGCTGCAAGCCACAGGGTGCCCGCTCCTGGGAGGCCCCAGGGCAGGGAGCACCTCCATTCTTGGGTGGGGGATCCATGCAGCTCCTCCTCCGACTCCGATGGCCGCCCCCGCAGGAGACGCTGCAGGGCCCCCAGGCCTCCCACACAGCCCACGTCCCGGCCACTGAGGGGGAAGAAAGGATGGAGAAAGACCAGGTGAGCCCAAGCCGATGCAGACTGTGCTGGAGAGAGCACGGTGGGGGTAGAGAAGGGGCCTGCAAGGGGGCCAGCTAGGTGGCCCAGGGCGGCACCACGGGGACTCTACAGGCTCTTCTCCTGCCCCAGGAAACCTCCTCTTGGTGGAGGGACCTGAGCAGAGATCTCCGGGTGCCTCCCAGGATGAAGGCTCTGGTCCCTGCAAAAGGGCTGGGATAGTGGGAATCCCAGAGCAGGGCGCCTCCTGGTGGCAGAAGAAGAAACCAGTTGGGAGGCCAAGTGTGAGGGCTCAAGAGACCCTGGTGTGGGAAGCCCCTCTTGGGAGCAGAGACAAGGCGGGCACCACTCCCTCGGACCTACAGAACCAAAGGGCTGCAAGGCGTAAGGCACAGCCTGTGAGCACCCTCACTCTGAAGTGGGAACGGCTTTCCGATCCAGTCCCCACACTGGAGCAGGTTAGGGACGCATCCCGGGCCTCTCGGGCAGGGCCAGCGGTAGCCAGCCTTCCTGCTAAGCCGGTAGGAGGTACGAGGCTGTGACTTCAGAAGAGGCTGTCCTCCTGGAGTCGTGGAGAGGAGCCCAGACACGGGGGGCCCCAAGAGAGCAAGGGCATTCCCCTGGGTGGGTCTTGGATGGGAACCCACCCCAGGTGTCCCTTCCGGGGGGGCCCGTGGAGGCCTGGGTGCCAGTTACCTGGGCAGGCCTGCACGAAGCAGGGCTGGCTGCGGAGCGTGTCGGGCGGGCAGGTGCCCCCAGGCAGGGGAGGCCGCAGCACGTCCCGGCGCTGGAAGGCGAGGCCCGGCCCACAGCTGTGGCTGCAGCTGCTCCAGCCAGACCAAGGCGCCAGCTCACAGTGCACTGCAAGGGGACGGGCACGCAGGACTCAGGGGGGGCTTGTGTGGGAGCAGGGCCCTCAGAGGCGTCCCCCGGCCGGGCCCATACCACAGTCGTCCTCGTCAGAGCCGTCCTGGCAGTCAGGCCGCAGGTCACAGCGCCGCTCGGCCGGCAGGCACTCCCCGCTACTGCAGCTCAGCTGGCTCGGGGAGCAGAGGGCTCGGGAGGCCGGCAGCCCAGGCAGGGCCGTTGTGGGCATCGGGAAGGGCACAGAGCTCGCTGCCCACAAGGTGGGGGAAAGGGAGCCACGTAAGTGATTCCTGACTGGGTGATACACGGAGCCCCTTCAACCTCAGGTCAAGAGCAGAGCACACTTGTTAACCGGAGATCCTCCGCTCCTTCCTCCTGAAGCTTCCCACCCTCAGTGCAGCCTTCTCTCTACATGTAAGGGGGAAACCATGGGCTCTGGTCTGCATGGGCTCTCACCCAGCCCCTCTGCTTGTGAATAGCTCTTGGAGTGTCCAGAACGACATCAACCTGTCTAGAACAACAGTTCCTTCCCTGGGGTAACTTCCCGAATGCACACTCCCTGGGGTGGCCCTTCCCTGATTGAGACGAGGCTTTGAACATAGTGATCTACTTTGAATGGATGGATGGATGGATGGATGGATGGATGGATGGATGGACGGACGGATAGATGGATGAGTGGAGGGATGGATGAATGGATGGATGCATGGGTAGGTGGATGGATATATGGACGAGTGGATAGATGGGTGGGTGGGTAGGTGGATGGATAAATGGATGGATGGGTGGGTGGATGGATGAATGGATGGGTGGGAGAGTAAGTGGATGGATGGATGGGTGGATGTATGTATATATGGATGATGGGTGGATGGGTGGATGGATGGGTGGGTTGGTGGATGGATATATGGGGTGAGTGAATAGATTGGTGGGTGGGTAGGTGGATAGATGGATATATGGATGGATAGATGGATGGATGGGTGGGTGGATGAATGGATGGATGGGTAAGTAGGTGAATGGATGGGTGGGTAGATGTATGTATAGATGGATGGATGGATGGATGGATGGATGGATGGATGGATGGATAGTTAGATGAGTCTCCTCAAAAATCAGACAGGGTTTATGAAACAAGCCAGGACCTAAGACTTATCCCATTTACCCTCTTCACCATCTCCAAAGACACACACATTCCTAGCTGTTTTTACACATCAGGTTATTTTCACTCTCTGCTACCCCAAGCCCCTCACGGTTCCTTCCCATATGAGCTAGGAATAGAGGGCAGAGACTCCCCCAATCCTAAAGCCCTCTTGTCACCGCCACCCACATGACTTCGAGCCCTACTGGGAGCCCCGCAGGGCCCCCTGCTCACCACAGTGCCTCTCATCTGAGCCGTCCAGACAGTCCTCTCTCCCGTCACACAGCTGCTCCGGCTCCACGCAGCCCAGCACCTCGCAGGGCACCCGGCCTGGGCTACACTGCACAGGTGGGAAGGGCGGCGGGGCGACACTCTGGCCTGTGAACACATCACAGCCAGCTGACTGGACAGCTGCCTGCCACAGCCTCCCTCCCTCAGCCCCCAGCCTCCCTCCTCCTGACATCTGGTTTGCCCCCCACCTCCTGCCTCTTGGGATAGCGGGAAAACAGCGAACTGCATCAGGAAGCTTGGTCCTAGACCCGATGTACTAAAACCCTGACCCTGAGCTGTGTGATCTTGAGCAAAGTGGCTAACTTCTGGGGGCCTGTTTCTCTGACAGGGACGTTGTTTGGATGCACAGTTCAGCAGGGAGAAGAGCACAGAATCTTACCAGCAGGGGCCACCGGAGTCATGGGGTGCAGGGGGGGCTCTGTCATGGCTGTCGTTCCTGGTCTCAGGGCCTTGGCCTCAGGCTGGGATGTGGGGGGGGTGGTCACGGTCTGCACAGATTCCCTAGGACTCACGCCAGGAGCCTCGGAGGCTGGGACCTGAGTCACTGGCCCCTTCCCTGTGGGTGCAGGAGGGAGAGAGGTGAGGCCCTCCGGCTCCCCTTCCATGAGATGAAGCAGACACGGGCTCTCCAAAGGGCCTCCAGGCTTTGGGGGTGAGGGGTGAGGACAGACCACACCTTCTGAGGGGCTTCAGACCACAAAAGAGGTGAAACTCGGTAGTCCAGGGAGCACAAGAGGGCTTATAAATGGAAGTAGAAGAGAGAGCAGCGTTGAGCTGAGATCTGCACCCTGCTCTCAAGAAGCCCCACGTGGTGGCTTCCAAGTGGAACCGAAAGAACAATGAGACAGTCAAGCCTCCGCATCTGATGACTTCCTGGCAGCTACCATGAAAAGGGGGCTTGAGATTCTCATGTTCCAGCCAAAGATGAACGTTATGACACAGCCCGTTTTCGAGAACCAAATTTAGCATGACACGAGAATTCATCGCACGGTCTGCATCCTGTGGACTCAAGTGACGGTGCAAGTTGCTTTGTCTGCTTTTGAACAAAAGACACAGAAGCACCGGCCAGCCGAGCTCCTGGGTGGCTTTGAATGGAACTCACGGGAAGGGGCCGGACACGTTGTCTATAAGGCCTTTTAGTCTTACAGATGGAAAAACAGCACCCAGGCAGGTGGTGAGGCAAGCCACCATCTCCCAAGAGAGAAGATCAGAGCGGGGACACAGCCAGCTGAGAGCCCGCCCGTTCCCAGCCTCCCTCTGAGGACAGCTGTCCTCGGGCTAAAGTGCAGGTGAAAGGTCAGGCAGCCACAGGGAGGCTGGCATGTGACCCTCAGGGAGCCCCTTCCTTGTCCGGTTTAGGAACATGCAAACTTGGCGACCCCACCCTCTCTGTGCCCACTTAGAGACAAAGGCTGCCAGCAAACCCTTCAGAAAGGGGTGCCTGGCTGCATTCATGGGTGAACAGAGGGGGCACAGGTGGGGCCAGGCAGTACCCCACAGCCCCAGGGGGCCCTTGTCCTGGCTGGGGGTCGGGGGAAGGCAACCATACTCCAGGGCACACGTTCGGTCCTGGAAGGCAGTCTGGGCGCCCAACCCCAGGGTCCAGGAGCGTGGGCAGGGGCAGGATTTGGCCAAGGTGTTCTCCGCAGTGACCAAGTCTTCCTTCTGGAGGCGATCCTGCTCCCCTGAGGGACGCCAGGGGTCAGGGGACTGAACACTGAGATGTAATAGCCCCTTGCCCTGAAGGGGTGGGCGGGGTGGGAGGCGGGGATGGGGTTTGTGCACGTACCTGTGGGGGGTATGGGTGACCCTCGCCAGGGACGCCAGCGTTCTGCCTCTTCCAGGCCCTGCGGAGGGAGAGGGATCGGCTGTCCGTGCAGCCCAGGGCCCCAAGGGCAGTCCTGCCCGGAGACTAGGGACCTAGCTCTCCTTGCCACTGGGACGTACCTGTGTCCCACGGCCCCTCTCCTGTCCCCACAGCACAGGGCACAGTTGGGGCGTGGAGACTCACTTCCCTGCGACACTTCTGGGCTGACACCCACCCAGGGGCTATTCTCGCTGCCCCACCTAGGATTCTGCTTCGGCTCTTGCCCCCCCCCCCCCCCCCCGCAAAACCCCCCGTCTTCCCCCCAGCATCTGTGCACGTGCGTCTCAGCGCTGCGACCGCTCTCCCCTCTGGGTTCCCGGCCAGGCTGTTCTCACCAGAGTGCCCACCCCTCATCTCCACATTACAGACCCCGCTGCCCCATATGCCCCGTCCTTCAAGCCTCTCCCAGGAAGCTCTGGACACCCTGGCGACAAGTAAGGCTCTCTCCAGCTCTGAGTGTCTGATGCCCTGATGCCAGCCTTGTGGGCATGACTTTATCACCTGCTGAAGGCCTCTCCTATCTCCCAAACTCCTCCAGGCCAGGCATCTGCCCTGTGCTTCTCTGCCCCTCTGACGGCCGGCCCCCAGCCCAACACTGGGCTGGCCCCCAGAAGGCTCACGGGCTGAGGCAGACTGTGGGAGGAGGCCCGGGAGCAGACCAGGGACGCACCGGGGGGGCAGCGCTGGCTGAGGGGGTGAAGATGGGACTGCAGGGTGGGGGAACGTGGCTGCTGAGGCCCTGGGGCCAGGGCCCCCCATGCCCTGCACCCCCCCTGCCAGGCCTGCAGCTCCCCCACTCACCTCGCTGGGCTGGGGGCGCAGCTGTCCTGGCTGGGTGGAGGAGAGAGCCGGGGTCCCGGCTGTGGACCGGACTCTGAGAAGTAAAAAACCCCAAGGGACTCCAGGAGCTCTCCAGCCTCAGAGCCACCACCGGGCAGGGCGGGCAGGGCTGGGGCACTCCGGAAGGTGTGCCATCCCAGTGGTTTGCAACGTATGAACCTCCCCTGCAGGGCTGGCAAAACAGATTTCTGGGCCGTACCCCCCGAGCGTCCTTCTCAGCAGGTCTGAGCTGGGGCCTGAGGCTCTGCATCGCTAACAACTCCCGGGTGAGGCTGCTGGCCCGGGGGCCACAGTTTGAGAACCACTGCCCTCCAGACTCTAGGAAAATGGCAGAGAATCCTCGAATCCCGCGGTGGGAAGGGGCCTCCACAGGCACCCAGCGGCGGCGACACAGCACGCAGGGCCACGGGCACTCGGGGGTGAGGTAGTGCAGGGCATCTGTCCCGTGGCTGACCCCTCCCGGGCTGAGCTGGGCACCCCGTACCTGCCAGCGCCCGCAGGCAGAGGCACACAGCCCTCCTCATCGGAGCCATCTTCACAGTCCTTCACGCCATCGCACAGGCCCCCACTTGGGGCACACTCACCGCTGCCACAGCGGTGCCCGGCCTCTGGGCACAGGGGCATCACCAGCGGGGACACTGGTGGGAAGGGAGGGCTGAGGGCTCCCGCCTGTCCCTCTTCCGATTCCTGCCCCTCCTGCTCCCAGCCCAGCCCGTACCTGGCTCACAGCCCAGCAGCTCCACCCACGGGGAGGTGTTGCGGTTGGTGCCACTATGGGGCACCTGGGGCCACACCCGGACGTGCTGCGCCTGCACCATCTGGCCAAACGTCCACACCGTGGGGGCTGCGTCATCTGGGTTCTTAGGGAAAAGCTGCAGGAACAGGGGTGACTCTTCTCCAGGCTGCCCCCCCGGGCCCTGCTGAGTGCCCCCACCCGATCCAAGTCCCCCAGCCTTCAGGGCATGAAGAGCGCGCTCTCCTGGCATTAATCATCAGGGTCCCTCAAGGCTGTGGGTTCTGGTCCTGGTGCCCTGAGGGCAGGGGCCAGGTTGTGCCCGCTGGTGTGTCCCCAGGGCCTGGCTAGTGCTCCGTAAGAATTAAGAGTGACGGGGGCACCTGGGTGGCTCAGCCAATTGAGCGGCAGGCTCTTGCTTTTGGCTCAGGGTCACGATCCCAGGGTAATGGGATCGAGCCCTTCGTCGGGATCCTCTCCGACCTTGGAACCTACTTAAGATCTCTGTCTCCCTCTGCCCCTCCATCCCTACCTCCCAGCACGTGCACATGAGCTCTGGTTCTGTCTCTCTCTCAAGTAAGAAATAAAATTAAAATTGGGGGGGAAGCCTTAAAAAAAGAATTAAGAGTGAACACATGGTGTAGACCGACTCCTCTGCTTCCTGAGGCTTGTCTCCCTGGGGAGGATGTAAACCCCCATAAGGGCAGGGCTGGGTCCCAGCTGCTCTTGACACGGCCTCTGACACCATGAACTTGATGTCCCCTGACCCCCCTCCCTCCACAGAGCTCTGCACGCCTGCCCTGCGCCAGAGCCCCTTCGATAGCTCCTGACGCCCTGCTGATGACAGGTGTTCAACAGGCCTCCAATGTAGGAATGTTCTTCAGGGACACTGGAAGGCCCCTGAGGACAAAGACGGTGGGACCCACAGAGGCGTATTGGTCACTGGCCCAGGAGGCTCGGGTGGCAGTACCTTGGCTGGGGGCAGGGTGCCAGGCAGGATGTCACTATAGTTGTGCCAGCGTAGACCATCGGCGCTGAACTCCAGCAAGGCTGAGGACCCAGCCCCCTGCACTACGATGCCTGGGGGGCGGGGCAGGGGGCAGAGCTGAGTGAGTCCCAGCCCACCCACAATCACTGCCGTTCCTCCAGCCCCGCCCCCCCGCACTGACCGGTGAGGTTCCGGGGCAGCAGCAGGTCCAGCTGAAGGTAGGGGGGCCGAGTACGCCTCTGGGTGCGAGTGTTCCTTAGGGTGCTCTGGTCCCGAAGGCCGGTCCCCCCGGTGGGAGCCCCCAGGAGGGCAGCCTGGGTGGGGAGCTCCGGCGGCGGGTTTCCCTTGGGGAGTCGGGCCAGGCCCAGTGGAGCATAGCAGGGGTCTGGGTGCAGAAGAGACAGGGGCTGGAGTGGAATGGAAGAGGGTGGCACGTGCCTGCCAGGGGCAAAGTCAGGAAGTCACAAGGGGAGCCAAGGGATGCAAAGGGTCCTATGGTTGACCGTGACCCAGGCTGGAAGGGTGGTCCAGAGAGGGCAGAGCCAGAGAGGCAACCTAAGCTAGGATGACTTCCAGATCCTTCGGATAAGCACCCTCCCCACGGAAGGCAGGGGTAAGTCCCACCAATCCTGCCTCCTCTCTCAGGCTGGGCAGACGTGGGCAATATGGCCTCTCAGATCTACAGCAGCATGTGGCCCTCACCGCCAGGCGGAGGCAGGACGTAGGTGACCAGAGGGGGTCCGATCCGGGAACTGAGGGCTGCTGAAGGGGCAGGAGTGGCCGTGGGGAGTATCGCCTGGTTCGTGCCTGTGTGGGGAGACTCAAGGTTCAGGAGGGAGCGACCTGCAGATAGGCTCGCACCAGCCCCAAGCCCGACACCCAGGCCTCTCCCCACTTCTTGGAGCACTTTCTCCCCCAGGACTTCCCAGGAGCCCCTGAACCACCTCCCAGCTGGGAAAGGCCTGTTCTCCTTCCCTCGGCGTGACCTGGGGGTTTTCACTTCCACGGAATATTTACAGCACATAGAATATAAACACCAGGGGCGCCTGAGTGGCTCAGTTGGTTAAGCCTCCGACTTCTGCTCAGGTCATGATCTCACGGTTAAGTTCAAGCCCCGCGTCAGGCTCTGTGCTGACAGCCAGCTCAAAGCCTGAAGCCTGCTTCGGATGCTGTGTCTCCCTCTCTCTCTGACCCTCCCCTGCTCACACTGTCTCTCTCTCTCTCTCTCTCAGAAATAAATAAAAATAAAACATTTAAAAAATTAAAAAAATATATATAAACGCCAGTCTGAAACTACTTTCAGGGCCAGAACCAAGGAGCCGCATGCAGTTCCTAATCCAGGGCTGCTTTTGCTAACAGAAGACCTTTTTGAGCACTAGAAAAGGGTATCTCTGGGGGCACCTGGGTGGCTCAGTCCGCTAAGCGTCTGACGTCGGCTCAGGTCATCATCTCATGGTTCTTGGGTTCAAGCCCCGCGTAGGGCTCTGTGCTGACAGCTCAGAGCCTGGAGCCTGCTTCTGATTCTGTGTCTCCCTCTCTCTCTGACCCTCCCCTGTTCACGCTGCCTCTCTCTCTCTCCCTCTCTCTCTCTCTCTCAGAAATAGATAAAGCATTTAAAAAAAAGAAAAAAAAAAGGGTATCTCTATCTCTGGATGGAAGCAGCCCTGTGGGTTGGAGTCTAGCTCCCACTTGCCAACTTGTACAGTGAACAACCTGCACAACTGTGTGTGCTGGCTCTCCTGTAACCTCAGCGGTCTGTAAGTGCACTTTTAGGATAAGGACTCTACACCCATAAATGCATTCACTCTCAGGTCTTTGTATTTTCCTGTTTCATTTATAACTCAGTTTCCAAGCAAAGATACTCTTGAAACAGTTCAACTTTGTCTCAGTTGCTCCAAGGGTAAAGGCCAGGAACCAGATCTGGCCCAGCTGAACCAGAGCAAAGAAAGCACCCTCAATGGGGAGGCAGAATTCTAGCCCCAAAAAGACAGAAGAGACCTGACCTGAGGAGGGCAGAGACAAGCCCTTCCACCCAGAATGTCCCTTTCTTCCCTGGGATCCAGGACCCAGGCTCCCACTACCAAGGGCACCCCTTGACTCAGGGCTGCCGACTGGGGCTCCCTCTGAGTCCTCCCCACCCTCCTCCCTGCCATTTCCCAGACCCACTCACCACCGGGCGGGGCACATCGGCAGCACGATTCTCCCCTTCCCTCCACCAGGACCCAGTCCTGCAGACACAAGTGTCAGGCTGGACATGCTAAGCAGGCCGCCTGCCAACCTCCCACCCAGCCAATCGGCTGCTGGAAACCCTGCTCGACACACTGCCCCGCCCCCTGCCCCGCCCCCAGGCCCTGTGCCCCCTCACCTGCGGGCAGCTGCCCAGTGGACAGTAGAGGGAGCAGTGCACGGTGCCATTATGCAGACACTGGCATACTCCGCAGGGGCCCTCTCGCCAGCGCTCGCCCATGCCTCGGACCCGGCCCCGCTGCTCACAGCCCTCACACGGCGCTGTCTGGCACCTGCCGGGGGGTGGGGGGGATGGGGTGGTGGGGGGGGAGTGCCACTTGCTGGGTGAGCGGGCTCACCTAGGCAACCAGCCTGTCCTGGTTTGCCCAGAGTGAGTGCTCTCCCAGGACCTGGGACTCTCAGTGACAAAACTGGGAGAGTCCTGGACCAGCTGCGATGCTTGGCCTCCCTAGCCCCGGAATCCCGGCCCTGCACCCCAGAAACCACTACGGGCCTGAGAAAGGGGCGTGGAAGCAATTTGTGCCAAGACCCTAGCCAGCGGGGCCTGTTTCCGAGGGGACTTGGCAGGCAGATCTGGCTCCATCCCCGCAACACCTTGCCCCCAGCTAACTTCAGAGGCACGGGTGCAAACCAGAAGACCCATACCTGCCCCTAGACTTGGGGTTCCCTACACCCCTCTTTTGGATGTTGAGAGCATAAAACCGATGCAAAAGAAGGCCAGACATTCCCCAAAGATGTGCTGGGAGTCCCAGTGTTTAGACTACTAGGGTTCAGAGTAGGAGGGCTTCCTCATTTGGGGTCCAGGGTGCATGTGGAAGTATCTCAAGGGAGAAAGGGCACCCCAGCAGCTTCCTGCCTGGGCGCTGAGGGGTAAAGGTCTGCGGGCGCCTGGTGCGCATGCGAGTACCTGCGGGCCTTACGGTGGATGCCCCCGCACTGGCGACCTTGGCCCGAAGGGCGGGGGTTGTTGGGGCTCCGGAAGGACCACTGAACGCTCTGGCTCCCGCAGGGGCCCAGGCACTCAGCCCAGGGGGACCAGGATGACCAGCCACAGTTCACTGAGGGAGAAGCAAGAGTCAGGGGTCAGAGGAGGGCTGCGTGCCCAGCTGGGTGGTCTAGGAGGGGAGGAGGGCCCCTGGGGACGGGCCCAGGGCGGGGTCTCACCGGCACAATCTGGATCTGGTCGACAGCGTTGGGGGCGCCCATCCCAGCAGACGCACAGCTGACAGTCGGCCTTGATGCGCTGCCCAGGCCAGTACCGGGCGCCGTCCACCAGGCAGGGGCACTCCCGGGGCCGCACACACCGCCCCTCGCTGCCCAGCACCTGTCCCGCAGGGCACCAGCAGCCTAGAGAGGGCCCGGCGTGAGGCTTCCCTGCAAAGCGCTCAGCCTCTGCAGACACACTCCCCAGAACCTGGGCCCAGAGCCCCCCCTTTCCCCTTACCTGGGCCGCTGCAGGGCTGGTCAGCTGAGCACCCGGCCCGACCAGAGATCTCATCGCAGGTCAGAGGACAGGGGGCGCACGGCCAGAACACCAGCTGCCCTGAGCAGGTGGCATTGGGGCAGCCGTCCTGAGGGCAGGGCCCTGACAGAGAATCAGAGCCACAGTTCGGGAACTGGGCAGAAGCAGGCCAGCAGCCAGCAGTCTCTCCCACCCCACCCCTCCCAGCCGAGCCCTCCTTCCTTGCACTCACGGGTCTGGAGGGTGGTGTGAGAGCCGCCGGGCAGCATGGTACAGCTGCGGCCCCCATTCTGGGGTGGGTGACACTGCCGCTGCCGGGTCCTGGTGCCCATGCACGGCTCGGAGCACGGGGACCAGGGAGACCAAGGGGTCCATTCACCGTCCACTGTGAGGAGGGGGGCAAGCGGGACAAGCATGAGGCCAGGCTGCGAGCCCAGCGATCTTCCTCTCCCTGGCTCTCCCTGCACCCCCCCACCCACCCCCTGGCCCTCCCTGCACCCCACCCACCCCCTGGCCCTCCCTGTACCCCTCCACCCACCCCCTGGCCCTCCCTACACCCCACCCACCCACCCCCTGGCCCTCCCTGCACCCCACCCCCCCCCTGGCCCTCCCTGTACCCCTCCACCCACCCCCTGGCCCTCCCTACACCCCACCCACCCACCCCCTGGCCCTCCCAGGCACCCCAGAGCCCTCACCTGGGCAGGCGGCCGTGAAGCAGGCCTGAGTCTGGTGCTCGGGGCCTGGGCAGCGCCGCAGCACCGGGAGACTAGGTGGGGAGCAGCGGCGGCTCCGGGCCTGCACCCCAGGCCCGCACGTCCTGCTGCACGGCCCCCACGGGGTCCAGGGGCTCCAGGCCCCACAGCCCTGCTCTTCCGGGGAAGGCCCTCCCAACCCTGCCAGTTCACAGTCAGGCTGCCCGTCGCACACCTGGGGGCGGTGGGGGGGGAACAGGCTCAAGGTTCCTTTCAAGCCGGGTGGCACAATGGCTCTGTCTCCTGTGCCACCCACTCCCTCTCCCCTCCCTCCCCCTCCCCCCCTCACCAGCTGGAAACTGATACACAGGCCATCGGGGCAGGAGTATTCCGGGCAGGGAACCCGTGTCCCGTTGGGGCCTCCGGGGGCTGTCACCCCCTCTGCGGGGAAGAGAAGAGAAAACTGTGAGACAAGGAGAACCCACCCCCACCCCCCAACCAGCCTTGGCGTCAGTCTGGGGAACAGAGTCCCTGGGGCAGCCCAGCTCATGCTCGCCCTGGAACAGTCAGGAGATCCCACTGCAGAGCTGCTCAGGGCTCAGGCTCAGCTGGGGAGCCAAACCACAGGGGAAGAGGCCACGGCAAGGGGGCGGCTGGGGGGAGCCTGTGGGCCCCCGGGAGTGTCCTGCTGGGTCCTGCCCCTCCCACCCTCTCTCTGCAGAGGGGCTGGCAGGGAGAGCCAAAGGCACTGGAGGACCCTGAGCCAACACCGAACCTGAACCTGGCTCAAAGACACCTGGGGAGGCGTCCTGAAAGGGCAGACGGCCCTGGGGAGGAGTTGGAGCCCAGGGACAGCTGTCCCCTCCTCCCAGGGCGAGGTGGCCGGGACAGGAAGGGAACTCCCAGGTCTGGCGAGCTGGAGGGGTAGCCCCCCAAAACAGGCCCACTCCCCGCGCCCGCAGAGCCACTGCGCATTCTCTTAGCTCTTCTTGCCCAAATGTGGGCAAACACAAAAGCCTCTTTCTTCTCTCCCCTGGGAGGGGCTGCGGGGGCAAAAGTCTTCAAAGGGTTTCAGGAAAAAGATCAAAGGACACTCTGATGTCGCAGCCCTAAGTCGCCCCGGAGCTGCCTCCCAGGGGGTGGCGGGGGCGGTGGGGGGGACAGACCGGCCGGACTGCCTCGAGGCGGCCGGGCTCTCACCGCAGGCGTCGGGGCTCTCGTCCGAGCCGTCGGGGCAGTGCAGCACGCCGTCGCACAGCTGCACGGGGGACACGCAGCGCGGGCCGCGGGCGCAGGGCGCGTGGTGCGGCGCGCAGGGCCCGCCGCAGCCGCGCTCGTCGCTGCCGTCGGCGCAGTCCTCCTCGCGGTCGCAGCGCCAGCCGCGCGGCGCGCACTCGCCGCTGTCGCACCGGAATTCGAGCGGGCCGCAGGGCGGCGCTGCGGCGGGCACCCGCGTCAGGCCCGGCGGGGTCAGCGGGCTCCCGGCCCGCCCCGGCCCCTCCGCCTCCGCGTGCCGGCCCTTCCCGCCCCTTTCCCGAGCCCGGACTGCCCCCGCCTCCAGCGACTCCCCACGTCCAGTCGCTCCCGCAGGTTGTCCCCACCCCGACTGGCTTCCCAAAACCTCTCCGCCCGTCCAGGAATTCCACTGACCACTCCAACCACCTCACCTGGGCTGTGGTGGGGGCGGGGATTGAACGTCCGGCCTGTCTCTCTCAACCCCCCTTCCCTTTGTGCATTCTGGTGTCTTGGGGAGGCTGAGTCTGTGCCAGCTCCTCACCCCCAGCACCCACCCCCACTGCCTCCCTCTGAGGCACCCTCCCCACTCTTCTTTCCCAGGCCTGAGGACTACAGCTTTCTCACCCCTTTTCCTCCAGGACACTCACCAGGGCTGGCGCTGGCCAGGGGAGTTGGTGCAGTTTCCCCGAAGCCAGCAGAGGGGCCCGGCAAAGTGCCGTCAGGGGGAGTGGGCAGCGAAGGGAAGGGGCAGTGCCCAGGTCCCTCATCGGCTCCATCTGGACAGTCCCAGACTCCGTCACACAGCAGCATGGCCCCCACGCAGGTGCCATCGAGGCAGGACACCTCCCCAGGAGTGCAGTTCAGCTGCCCTGCAGCCGGAGAACGGAGGGGCTGGTCCCAAACACTGTCCTCGGGGCCCACTGCGGGGTGCCCCTAGTCACACATCTACGGGTGCCAGCTTCCTAGCAGGAGCCTGAATTTGTGGAGGAGGGGGGAGGTGGGAAGGTTGGGGCTCCCACGACAAGCCTTGTTGGGGGGTGCCTTGTGGGTGGAGTCTAGGGTTGAGACCACCCACCCAGACAGGCCTCCTCATCGGCAGCGTCGAGACAGTCGGGATGTCCGTCGCAGAGCAGGCCGGGGGGCAGGCAGCGCCCATCAGCACAGGCCAGCGAGTCGCGGGGGCACGGGCAGCCCCGCTCATCCGTCCCATCTCCACAGTCGTCCCGCCCGTCACAGAGCAGGGCCAGGGGCAGGCAGCGGCCCGAGCTGCAAGACATCTGCCCCTCCCCACAGCCTGGGGTGGCACAGCCTGGCACGGGGCGAGCAGGCAGGGGCAAGATGACCACGGGTCCTAGAGAAGCCCCTGCCCCCCGAAAGACCTGAGCAGCCCTGCCCACCAGCCACAGCTGCTGGCAACGTGAGCCGCAGCTCAGGAAGCTGCTCAGTTCTGCACAGTGAGACAGACCGCATAGTAGGAGACACCTGCATAGTGAGACCCGTCACTCAGCCACTGCCCCGCACAAAGACACTCACCCTCCTCGTCTGAGCCATCGCCACAGTCATCCTGGTTGTCACAAAGCCACCCGCGGGGCACACAGTGCCCACTCTCCTGGCACGGAGCCTCTCCCTCTACACAGCCAGGCACCGGCTCCTCACAGCGGGTCCCGCCACTCCCGCAAAGCCACTGACTTTCCTGGCATGTGCTGAACACACAGCGTCCTGGGGTCAGTCGCAGCGCTGCGCTCTGGCAGCCCAGGGCCATGGGGGCTCCCCTGGGGCCCCCCACTCACCAGTTCCCACAGTCCTTCTGCAGCACAGTCCCCTGCGGGAGAAAGCTGCCCCCTGACTCACAGGGGCAGGAAGCTGGCTCTAAGCAGACTCCTCCTGGGATCACAGAGGGCGGGATCACAAAAGGGGCACAGCAGCCCCTAGTGCCAGCCCTGTCACCCCCCTCCCCCGCCTGTGGCTCTCTTCCCTCTCCCAGCGCCCCCTCCCCTTTGCCTCTTCTGACCCAACACACCATGGAGCAGAGTCCCCTGGGGGCAGAAGCAGCCCTCCACGCAGGCGACAGCCTGGCAGTGCCACCCGGGCTCAGGACCGTGATCGTGGCAGGTGGGGGGACATACGGGGCCACAGGCCTCATACACTTGGCCCCCTTCACATTGCAGAGCTGGGTGGAGAGGAGAGAGGCTGGGGTCACTGAGGTGCAAGGGCACCGGCGGCCACAACAGCGGCCCAAGCTGATACTCGTGGAGGGCACGGGGTGCATGGTGGAGACCCCTGCGGAGCCCCTCCCGAGGCTGTCTGCGACACGACAGTTCTACGGGAAAGCAATCTTGGCATGATTGGTCTACAGTAGTGTGCACACCACCCGTATTGGCCCCTGAATAAATGCGTGGCCCACGTGCAGGCCGGGAGGAACACCATGGAAGAGCTGAATGGGTGGTGGGATTGGGCGTCGGCGACCGAGGGCAGGGCACACTCACGGCAGAGTTCCTGGCTGCGCCAGCGCACGTAGAGCCCACGCCGGGCACACTCGTCCGCATAGGTGGCAATGGCCGAGCAGAGACACTCACAGTCACCCCCTGAATCGCAGCTGTGGAAGGGATTCTTCACCCCCTGGACCCCCGCCCCACCCCCAACTCACCCATTCCCACGCTGTCCCCAGGCTCGCCCCTCTCACCCGCAGGCGTCATGCACACACCACTCGTAGTGCTGCTGTGGGGGCACCTCCGCGTGGCACCGGGCAAAGAGCGACTGCAGCAGCACCCCGCAGCGGGCGCGAGCCCAGCCGGCCCGGTGGGCGTTCACCTGCAGGCACAGCACCGTGGACCAGCCAGACCCCGTCTGCAAGCACCCAGCCTCTGGATCCTCCCCTCCCCCCTGCCCTGCAGATTTCTGCAGCTGCCCCTTACCCTCCCCGCATCCCACCCATGCTCACGGTGCAGGGGTGTGGCAGGTCTCCAGGCTCAGGGCAGAGCGGATTCAGGTGCCAGGAGTGGGCAGCCAGCTCAGCGGTGGGCTCCAGGACCCCCTGGCGGCTCCGCAGGTCATTACTGGCATCTCCATCGAAGTCCCCACACAGACCAGATACACGGCCCCGGAAGTGCGGGGACAGCTGCACCAGGACCCGGGTGCCTGGGCAGAGGGGGCAGAGGGGGCAGCATATGGAGAGAGAAGAGAAGGGCAGCTATTCTGTGGGCCTGTGTGACCATCTGCCCAGGGCCCACCACCCAATAAGGGTGCTTGTGCCCTCTTTTGCGAGGACGATTGGCGATGAGAGACCTAGGTCTGGAGGGCGAGGGCGAAGCGGGAGCAGGGACGCTCTCCAGAGGGCTGGATTCCGGGAGGGAATCAGGCTCTAAGACAGACTGCGACACCAGCCCCGGAGGCCTTAGCGGCCCGAGGCTCAGAGGGCAGCCTCCCTGTGCTGACCAGGTGACCCCCACCTCCCCCCCCGCCAGGGGTTACTTCGGTTTTCCTCCATTTCTTGGTTACGGTTATTTCTAAAAGGGGTGGGTGGTAGGGAGTTAGATTTCTTTTCATTTCTTCTTTCCCAAACTAGGTATTTTCTAAATGTTTCTTTGGCGAGGAACTATTGCTTTTACATTGAAGAAAAGCCTAAGAGCATGATTTGGGAACCCCCACCACTCGTGCGGAAGAGGAAGAGTTTAGGGAGTGTCAGCCCCATGATGCTAAGGCGGGCATGGGTCAGACGGTTCAGGTTAAGGGTGGGGGCCTGACCTCCATCCCAGAACAGGCTGAAGCCCAGGCGGGTTGTGAGCAACAGGAAGAGACCAGCATGACGCAGGCTCAGCCCTGGGCCCGTGTAGACCTTGGGGAGCGTTATGCTCACCCCATTCACCGTCACTGCCCGGCCTATGGAGGAAGAGAGGCTTTCAGGCCCTGTCTTGGGGTAGAAGTGCTCCCAGATGCCCAGGAGGCCTTCTTCAGTCTGCCGTCCAACCTTCCATTTGCTTCTCTAGCCATGGGACCTTGGGCAAGTCATTGGATCGCTCTGGACCTTAACTGCTTGGAGCCTTCCCAGAATTATGATTCCCAGGCAAGAGGAAAGAGGAGAGGCACCAGCCCTGCTGCCCTGATGGTAAGCAGTGGGGAACCCCAGGCCGTGGTCACCCGTGCACGGCCCTCCCTGACAGTGCCACCCTTCAGTGTTACAGTCACCTCTGAGCATGTGCACAACGGTGCTCTGCAGTTGCACGGTCAGCGCCTTGGTGCAGGTGAGGCCACTGGCCCCACAGGGCAGGTTCTGGGCAGAGACTGTGAACTGGCCGCTGGCCTCTCGCACCAGCAGATATTCACAGGCTCCAGGGAAGGTGAAAGACAGCCCATCGAATGTCACATAGTGGGGGGCCCCTGATGCCTGGCACCATCCACTGCACTGGCGGCTGGTGCAGTGCCACTGCCGACCCTGGCACACACTGTGGGGGGGTGGTGGAGAGTCATGAGGACACGGACCCAGAACTGTACCCAGGGATGCAGCTGGTCCAGGTTGTAAGCAACTCCAGACAGACCCTCAGCTTGGGGGATTTCTGGAGAGCTCCCATTGCCCAGGCCAGTCTGGATGCCCCCCCCCACCGACACCCATCATCCCTGTCCAAGGGGCATACCAGATGTTGCAATCCTCCTGGATGGTAGCGTTGGGTGGGTACCACTGCCCGCCGTGACGGCAGGGACAGAGCTCAGGAGGCACACAGCGTTCATTCTGGACAGAGGCCGGGGACAAAGGGGCACCTTGGGGGGCTGCCTGACCCACCACCCACTGTTTCAGACAGCCAGGGGACTAGGGCAGTGCCATGGTTAGAGCAGGCACCACGGTGCCCCATGCAACCCCCTCCCAGACTTACCAGCAGCACAGTGCCTGGGGGACAGACACAGCTCCCCGTGCTGTCTGGGGGGCAGGAATGATTGGCGCGAGGGCTGTCACAGGTAAGGAGGCAGGCACCAGGGACGTAGACAAGCTCATGGGGGCAGAATATCTGCTGGGGGCCACAGCGGCGAGCAGTGCAGTTCCAGAGGCCTCTCTCCTGGCAGACACTGCCGAGGTCCGGAGGGAGGTAAGAGGCAGGCCCAAGGCAGGACTCACCTCCGGGTGCCTGGTCCCCCCTGGGAAAGTCTCAGGAACCCAGAGTGTCCAAGCCCTCAGTGTTGACTCTGGAGGCCTGAGCGTCTCACCCCAACACTCCAGTTACGAGCACAGGAAGTGGGGCTGCCCCCAGCACCAGCCACACGTGGCGTGGGCATAGTCACCCTTTCCTGCCCCAGCTCCAATAGGGCCATTCTCTGGGCTCTGAGGTTCTTGAAAGAACCCCATTCCCAGCCTGTGTAGGATGGGGATTCTCTAAAGTCTCGTCCTGACCGCTGGCCCTGCCTCCACAGGTCCCAAATTGGCCTTTACTTCTCCCCAACCCTTGGAAGAGCCTCTGGACCACACACATCCAGAACTCGGGAGATCTGGGTTCTAGTCCCTCATTAACAAGCTGTGTGACTCTGCAAGCCGTTTGGCCTGGTCAAGCCTCAGTTTCCTCATCTGCAAAATGGGAACAATTCTTCCACTTCCTACTTTATTAGGTTATTGTATCAATTCAGTAAAATTAAATAAGATCACATACAAGAGTGTTTTATAGGCCTGAAGCACTATCAATGCTCTGTCGTCCTCCGTGTGCGTGTGATGCCCTGAACCCACAGGGCTACAAGCCCAGCCCCTTTTCCCTAAGCTCCACCTCCTCACCCCCAAGCTCTTTGCCTTCCCTCAAGACCACTGCCCTCACCAGTGGTTGCAGTCCTTCATGGTGGCACTGCCAGGGGCATAGCGCTGGGTTCCAAGCTGGCAGGAACACAATTTGGGGGGCACACACTCGCCCTCGGGGTCCCACAGCAGCCCTGGGGGGCAGTTACAACCGGCCACGCAGCTGCCCATCTCCCCACAGTCTTCTGGCTCCCCACAGTTCTGACCACACGCCGGGGCACACTCCTGGTACTCCTGGCCCCCAGGACACAGGACGGCTGGGCACAGAGACACACGCAGGTCAGGGACGTCACTGCTGCCGCTCTGCCCACCCTTCTGGAATTTGCAGCCCCTATGCCCCTGGAAGAAGGCGAACTCAGCAATCTGCCAAGGTCAGAGGCCCTCCTGGGGACCTTCCCTTGCCGTGAAGCTTTTGGATCCCTGTGGGCCCCTCCTAGAAGGGGGCTGGGAGGAGGAGCCTGCGGCTGGCTGGCTGAGCCGACTCACGGCAGAGTGTCTGGGTCCTCCAGAGAGACGGGACGCCCTCCTGGGCACAGCGACGAGCCAAGGCAGCAAGCACAGGACACAGGCAGTCCTTGCCAGGAGCACAGCCACACACGGCCGCCAAGCAGCGCAAGTGGAATGGCTCCCAGTCCACCAGCCCTCGGCACTCCTAGGGGGAGAGGAGGAAAAAGGGAGCCAGCTCCTCCTCCAGATTCCCGCCCCCCCCCCAGTCCCCTCTGGTCCCCACTGCCACCTCCCTGTGCTTGGAAGCCCTGCTCGTGGCCGGGAGCAGGGCCCTCCTGGTAGCCCAAGAGGAAAGCAGAGCAGATACTGACCCCATCTTACAGGCGCAAACAGGAGCACCCCCAGGCTGGCTACCTGGAAAGTTGGGCCATGCAGGATGGCACAAGCTGCCTCGGCAAAAGCATGGCGCTGAGTGTGGGTGCTGCAGGGGGAAAGTGGGGTGCTGTCTTCTGAGGGGCACCCTCCCTCGCCTGCCACCTGGAACTTGCCAGCAAAGGCTGCGATGCTGGTCTCCACATCGCCGGCAGGTGTCAGGAAGTCATCTTGCTGGTTCCAGGTGAAGGTGCCGCACAGACCCTGCACCTGGGCCACAGGAGGGGGCTTGGGACAGTCAAATCCGGGCCCAGGGGAGCCCCGCCCCAGCCACTCACCTCTCCCCTAGCACACCTGGTGGGCGTGGCGCGGGTCCAGGGTGATGTAAGCTGCAGGGTCAGACACTCCCCAGAGGACCTGGGCCCCGGGCCAGCGCAGCCGCAGAAAGCTGGAGGAGGCTCGGGAGACACTGAGGCCCTTGGGCCCACTCCACGGCAAGCCCACATCCTGCCCCTCCATCAGTACGGCCCCTGGAATAGGGAGCCTGTGAGGCGCTGCCCCTGCAGGGCTGGGCTGATGAGGACTGGGGGTGAGCACAATGCAGGAGGGGGCTGGCTACCTGAGTCTCTGAGCTGGATGTGGGTGTCCCCCAGGGAGACAGAGATGGCTTGGAGGCAGCTCCCGGCGTGGCAGGCCCCATGCTCCAGCACAATCAGCAGCTGCCCCTTAGAGAAGTCCTGGGACAGATGTTGAGGAATGGGGTGGGTGGGGGTGGGGAAGACCCAGGGAATAGGGCCTGGTCTGGCCCTTCTCCCATTCCACAGGACGCCTACAGCACACACCTGGAGCCAGACGCCACCCATCACATGGGCTGACCACCTTCTTGCCAGCCAGACTCTGCAAGGTATAGGGCTTAACTCTGGCCAAGTGTGAGTATGTGTGTGTGCGCACGCGCGCGCGTCTCCATGTTGGAGCAAGATGCCTCCCTTCTCTCTCCCTGTGTGTATACACATGCTAAACTTATGTGCACTCGCATGAGCCTGCAGCATATGTACACACCTGTTTGTATCTATGGACCCGAACTTGGTAAATCACCTAACTACTGGGGGAAGCCTGGAGAGGAAGAACCCGTATTTGTCAGGGGTTGTTTTGCAGGAAACAGCCTGTGATAAGTCCAGCCTGCCCCCTCTGTGAGAAAATACTATGAGGATAGGTTTTGTTTCGGGCCCCTCGGCTAGGGCGGCAATGACAGAAGAACATTCTCAGGAACCTAAGGAGGAGTGGAGACCGGAAGGGGAGGCTGAGGAGGGGGCTCTACGGCGAGCCATCCCCCCTCCAGAGTCGGTTCTCTCTCCGCTTTTCTCGGGATGACTCTGTGGTTCTCGCTGATTTATGCAGAGGTTTCCTGACAGTCACCTCTCCCCCACAGCGCCCCCACCAGGGCTTCTCCCAGAGTTCACCTCCTACCTACCTGCACCAGGCTGGAGCGGCAACCTGGGCTGCCGCGGAAGGAGAAGCTCCGCCCATCGAAGGTGACGTAATGCCCGTCCCCGCCCACCGCGCACTCGGCTGGGCACGGCGCCTGCGCGCACAGCCAGCGGCCGTCCTGGCACACGCTGTGGGCACAGGGGGCGGGCAGCGCGCTCCACTTCAGCTCCACGACCTCCCGCCCCCAGCCCTGTGGCCCCTCCGCTCCTCCAGAAGCCCCTCCAACTCTCTTAGGCTTGGAGGTCGGCTGGTGGAGGTCGCTGGCTAGGTCTTTAAGCGGGGCCATCAATTATGCCGTGAGAGGTCACCGGTCCCTTGTGAGGGGGCCCCCAAGGGGAGGCAGGTTGAGGGGACCCCGCCACTTCCAACCTCCGCCAAAGGGCCAGCGCGGCCCGCGGACCCACCACGGGTTGCAGAGCTGACGCACTGTGTCCCCAGGGGCGTAGCGCTGGCGCCGGTGGTAGCAGGGGCAGCGGGCCGCAGGGACACAGAGGGCGCCGTCCCAGAAGAGGCCAGGCGGGCACTCGCAGCCGCTCACGCACGCTTCCTGGCAGGACCCCTCCCCTCCCTCGCCCACTGCCGAGCAGCTGGGCGGGCAGGCGGAGGCGCAGTCAGAGTACAGCTGGCCCCCAGGGCACAGGCGCTCTGCAGGCACGGGAGTGGGCTGTGAGGTCCGAGGGTCTCCCTCCTCCCGCCAGACCCGCCCCCCCCCCCAGGTCACCACAGCCCGGGGGCTCAGGAAACCAGGGCCACAGGGCTGCAGTCACTCCCCAGTTCTGCAGGGTGGGGAGGCCAGGACCTAAGCAAAGGGCCTATGTCAGGCACCAGACCTACCGCAGAAGCCTGGCTTCCTCCAGCCCACGTGGATATGCTGCTTGGCACACTCTTGGGCATAGTTGGCCAAAGTGGTGCACACAGCCTCCCGACGGCCCTCACGCCCACTGCCTGCTGGGGCCCCAGAACAGTAGGCAAAGAGGCAGGCCTGGTGGTACTCAGTAGGGGGGACCTTCAGAGACGGGACAGGCCCTCAGTCATCCAGCCTCGCCAGCACTCCCTCCTCTTGCTTGGATCATGCCCTGACTTACGATCGAACAGAATGAGCACTAGAAGGGAGCTCTGAGATCACACACACACACACACAAAGTGACGCCAGGACTAGACTCCGTTGGGCACCTCCCTAGCACCCCCTGCTCCCCGCCTCTCTGGTGGTGGTTACCACCTCCATACCTGAGCATGGCATTCCCTGAATGGACTGTCCAGCAGCTGGTAGCACACATCCTGGGCTTCCGCCTGCAGCTGGCCAGCCTCCATGCCTGCCTCTGTGCCTCTCAGGGGGTCCTCACAGCCCTGGGCCGCTCCCACTGCATCCAGACACCCAGGCTAGAGACCATTGGAGTCAGGTCAATGGGCTGGGATGAGGGACCTTAACCAGGACACCAGGAAAGTGGCCACTACCCTCATGGCTGCTTCAAGTCCCCATTGTCATGGCCACCAGCCCAGATGTCCTGGAGCTTCTGAGAGCAAGAAAGTTGTGAGCCTGGGTAGGGTGTGGGGGAGCTGGGGTCCCATGAACCCACAGGCAGGAGACTTGATAACCAAAACTGGTCAGTGACCAGGTCACTGAGTGTGTCCCCTGGGTGATCAGTTCACCCAGACGCCGGGGGACCCAGAGCCTGCCCCCCACCAAGGATCTGGGAGAGGGCCAGGCCCTGTCCCAGAGAAAAACCAGTGATGAAGACAGAGCAGGGGCTTGGAGATGTCAGAGAAGCCAGGAGTGGGGGGCTACCTGGGGAGCAGGGCAGGGAGCCCAGGTTCCCTGAGGGCTGCAGTCTCACCTCTGAGTCAGGGAGCCTCCAGGAATTCCCAAAGGCGGCAGCTAACACAGCCAGCCTCCCTCCCGGCTCCAGGAAGTCATCTGGGGAAGCGTGAGGCAGAAGTGCTATGCCTGGGATCTCCAGTCTCTCCTTCCCTCCCAAACCAACAATCAAGTCACGCCCACTTACCCTCAGGCCGGCCACTGTAGACCCCACAGAGACCTTGAGTTTGTCCCTGGAGCTCACGGTCCACAGAAATGGAGACTGAACTGGATCTGTCCAGCCGCACAACGACCCCCAGGCCCCCCGACAGCACCAGCCAGTCCCCTTGCCATTGCAGGCTCAGCCCTGGGCAGGGAGAAGAAGGAGTCACACTCCGCACTCTTCCCACCAAGGCTCAGACTGTCCAGGGAAGGAGAGGAGACGGAATTCTTACAATTTGAAAGAGCTTGATACCCTTTAAAGGAGAGGTGATAGCAGAACGGTCCTTGAGAATTTCATGGACACTGTGGATGCTCTCACGAGTAAACTACAAAGCTCACGTGCACACACACCCCACCCCACCCCACCCCACCTCACTTCATGGACTGAAAACCAGGTCAGAAGTTCTGGTAGGACAGAGGGCCATCTAGTAGGTCAAAAGCCCTTCCTCACAGCACTGGTGTGTGTGTGGGGGGCGGGGGGAGATGGCAACTCAAAGAGGTTTTTGTTTTTTCTTTTTTTTAAGATGTTATTTTGTTTGTTTAAGTTTATTTATTTTTGAGAGAGAGCGAGCAAGCAGGGGCAAGGGGCCGAGCGCTACCAGCACAGAACCCAATGTGGGGGCTCCATCTCTTAGAACCATGAGATCATGACCTGAGCCAAGATCAAGAGTCAGACACTTAACCAACTGAGCCACCAAGGCGCCCCAAGATTTTCTTTTTAAGTAATCTCTACATCCAACATGGGGCTCGAAGTCACAACCCTGAGCTCAAGGGTCCCACGGCAGCCAGGTAGCCCCAAGACCCAAAGAGGTTAAGCAGAGGTATTTGCCCGAAGCCGCACTGTGAGGGGGTGAGTGGGGTGGCTTGCGGGAGTAAGGTGGGAGACTAGGCCGTGGCCCCTCAGCAGGCGCCCCGATTTCCAAATACCTCCCAACAGCAATGGGGATAGGGCAGCAGGCTCCCACCCAACTGCCCCTTTTGCTGTCCCCTGCCCTGAGGGGTAGGAGGACTGTCCCAAAGGAACAAATGGGGTCCTGGGTAGTGTCCTGCTCCCTGCAGCTCCCTTACCATGGAGCAGCCGAGACTCCCCATCGGGTATCAGCTGCCCATTCACAGAGACATTTTGACCTTGGATCAGCACCTCCTCGGGTCCCATCATTACCCGGGCCTCGGGGGAGACGCAGAGTGGAAGAGGTGTTCAGTGGCTCGCCTTCCCCCATGTCCAGCTCCCTCCCTGTGCCCTTCCTGTTCTCCTTCCCTCACCAACTGGCAGTACCCAGGTTGGGGGCAATGCCCCCTGGGTGTGAGGTGGACAGCCCAGGTGGAATCCACAGCACCCGCCAGCAGGTACGTGCAGCGGCCCAGGAAGTGGTAGTGGCGCCCATCAAAGGTTCGGTAGTGGAAGCCTGACCAGGTGGTGCAGGTGGCCGCCGGCTGCTGGCGCTGGCTCCAGAACTGGGCCACGGCCCCCACCAGGGGCTGCAGGGAGGCTGGAGGGGGAGCACTACCTGGAGGAGATACACCAACTGTGAGCCTCTGAGTGCGAAGGCGGGAGGGTGGAGGGGGAGGACACGGGGCTTCTCCCGGAGCAGGAGGCAGGTGGAGGGTTCGTGGTCCCTCTGGTGGGCCAGGATGGGAGGTGACTCATCTGAGAGCACAGGGGAATGGGCATGGGCTCTGCAGGAAGGCCCAGGGCTCAAGAAATCTGCGTGGTAGCCCCTGCAGGGGGAGAAAGTGGTGGCCAGGACCGCAGACCCACCTGGGAGGTGTCGGCCAGGGCAGCTGAGGCAGGCCTGGGAGCTGCCATCCCGCCAGCTCTGTGCCCAAGGCCAAGTGCAGCACTCCTCCAGGCTTCCCGCCGAGGCATTAGCTGAGCTCGCCTGTAGCTGGCACTGCCGTGTGGCAAAGCAGTGGCCCCCAGGGCTGGCTCCTGCAAGGGCTGCGGTGGATCGAAGGAGGGAATGGGGTGGCCCAGACAGCCTGGGCCCGGCTTCCCTCTGCAGGCAGCCTCCACGAAACCACAGATCGGGGCTAAGAGCAGGTGCTTACCCAGAGTGCAGTGGGTGCCCCCCCAGCCGGGGCAGCAAGCCCGCACTGTCCGGTTCCTCGCGGCAGGCCGGGTTTCTGGAGGTCTGGGTCCGCCGAGCAGGCAGCAGGGAGAAGATGTTAGTATTCAGCCCTGCCCCTTCCCTGTCCCTGAGAATGGCCTGGGACATTTAATTCGGTCATCTATTCTCTGAGTGGCTTTCTCTTGTAATTTCCCTTCCTGGTCTCGATTTCCCCGTGTGTAAAGTGAGAGTGATATTGGGCGGGCAGACTGGAGGATAGGCACAGGGGGCAGACATGGTACCTCCCGCCCCGCCCGTTGCCTGTCCCCAGCCCTGCCCCCTCCACTCTTCCTGAGCCCAGGCAGACCCACTTCCCAAATGCCTGCCTCTCCGGGGCACTGGCCAGTTCACCTCCTGCCCTCCCCCCCACCCAGAATGTTGACTCCTTTGCGCCCTGCGGGCCAGCACCCAGCCCAGACTCACAGACCCTCACTCACTTATAAACGGGGCAGAGCCCTGCACGTCCACTCCAGGACGGGTCGAGTTGCCAGCCCAGGCGCTGGTAATGGTAGAGGCTGGTGCAGGGCACCAAGTCCTCCTGACGGGCGGTGACTGCCTCATCCACCAGGAAGGTTTCCGTCCGCTCACACCACCGCCTGCCCACAGATGGGGAATGACAGCCACTGCCCCCAGCCCTTCTATTGTCAAGAAGCCCTGCCCTGCGATCCTGCCCAAGGAAGAGTTAGTGAACTGAAGAGGAGGGGGGAGGGGAGATGGTAAGAAGCATGGTGGGGGGGGGGTCTGGCTGCCCCAGAGGGTCCTGTTCATGAGGCAGGAGAAGAGGATCTTAGAGGGGCCCCAGGCTGAGCTGCTCACCCGTTAGCCAATGCCCATGCCATCCCAAAGAGGAGGGCAGGGAACAGCATAATGCTCCCCCCACGTCACCTCAAGGGGACTAAAAGGCTTGGGCTTAGGTGATGCTGTGGCCGGTGAGCAGAAAGGCCGGCGCTGGCCGTCCCTGCCCCACACCACGGTCTACTTCAGCTGGGCGTCAGTGTGTCCAAGGCAGCCCAGACAGTGAGAGCGAGGCCCATGGGGCCTGGGAAGCTTTATCTCAGCCCCATGCCCTCGGGCACCAGCTGCTCGGAACCAGATTGGACCTGCCTGCACATTGCACAATCCCCTCGGAGGCCAGCTCTCCCTGGAAACAGTCCCCTTCCTGCCCGTGTGTGCATGTGTGCATGTGTGTGTGTGTGTGTGTGAGAGAGAGAGAGAGAGAGCTCAGTGAGGGAGCGCATGTGCCCCAGGCCACAGCCAGACACTCAAGCCTCTGATATTTTTCCACCCTCAGGGCGTACCACAAAGTAAGGTGGACTCTGGACAAGCCACCATCTCTTTCTGAGCCATAATTTCCCTGTGAGTAAAAAAATTCAGGGGCTTCCCAGGGATGCTTGGGTGGGACTCAGGGGCTGCACTTTGAAATTGTGTACGTGCCCATCTTTCTGAGGATAGCTCCTTAACTGTAATGAAATGGTCGAGAGGAGCTATGACCCCACAATATGGTTAAGAGCTATTGTGCCCAATGACTGATAGGGTCCTCCAGCCCTGAAATTCTGACTTTATGAGTCTCTCCCTGCCCCCTTGCCTGCCTCTTCCTGCCCCCTCTCCCACTAAGCATTCGTGAAGCCTGGACCAGTGAACAGAAAGAAGGAGCAGAGTTTCCAGGCTGGTGGGACTGCGTGGAGATAAGGGGGGAACATGGGCCCTTTTCTCAGTGATCTGACTTCTTACTGGGGGTGATTATGTGTGGCTGGCTGGGTTCACCCTTCACCCCAGTCTCCTTGTAAGAGAGTCTTCTAGAGTCCACAATCAGGAAGCCTGGGCAGGGGAACACAGCATGAACTCAGGGAGGGGCACAGGAGCGGCAAGGGTAGGAAGCGGGGAGTTGGGGTAGGAGACACAGGGGCCCGGAAGCCAGCCCCCCAGCCCTGGGGGCTAGGCAGCCGGATGGGGATAATCTGAGCATCCGGTTGGGGCAGCAGGTGGCCCATGTGAATCCTGGTTACGTCTTGGTTACCAGCTCCTAGGACACCCAGGCTGGAATCTGGCCTGGCCCTTAGATCCCATCCCCTAAACCCGCTGTTCCACTGAGGGTCTCACATAGTTACCCCACCTGGGGCAAGGAGGCTGCTGGGAAATGAAAGCCATGGTAGACATTTCTCCTGGGCCCACCACTGGTCCTGTAGGCGGAAGAGGGTTCCGAAGCCCTCAGGGATCTCAGTGCGGTGCCCAGAAAAGGCCAGGGTCTGGCCATGGACACGTTGCTGTTCCCAGTCTCTCATGCATGTACCCCATACATGCCCCCTCCCACTGCCACACGTGCTTACACCCCTGCTGCAGGACTCACAAGGGCAGACGGTGCCCATGCCCCACCCTAGCACACGGTGACACCTTCTTCTCCCCGGGCCATGAGCTGGCTGGGCACTGACTTCTGAAGCAGCCCATCCTGGAGGTCGAGGAGCCTTTCCCACCGGATTCCAAGATGCCTCCTGGTGCTCTTCCAAGGGACCACCTGCTCCCACGCCTTCCCTAAACATCAACAAATGTTGATGGTGTCCCTTGCTGTGTGCTGTGCTTCTCTTCTGAGGACTATGCTCCGGGCTTTGGAGTCTAACCACAGTTGATGAGGCTGTGCTTGGATTGGAAAGAAACCCGAGTCACAATCCCCCTTTCCCCTAAAGGGGGCAGGAGGGAGGAAGCTGGAACTCGGGGGAGATAGAGATTAGGGAGAGGGCACATGGAATAACCCACATTTCAGCTCCTGGAGCACAGGATGCAGGGAGCTTTCAGAGTCAGGTGCCTGGTTGGCAAGGCCAAAGAAAAACATCATACCGGGGGTCAGGGACCCCCCAAGTCCCTCCAGGAGCCGGATCTGAGGGCCGAGGGCATCCCTCCACACCTAACCCCACACATTTCCAGGCCAGGAGGAGGGCCAGCCCGCACCCCGCCCAAAGAACTCTCCCCTCTTCACAGCCCCCTCCCCCGGACCCCGCCCTCGAAGTCCCCGCCCAGCCCGGCTCCCGCCGCACCCCCCTCCCCCGTGCCTCCGATCCAGCCCCGCCTTCTCCTTGGGGACCCGGCTCTAAGCCCCCACCCCAATTTCTACTTCAAATGGCCCGTTCTTGCAGACACTGGAGCCCAGCTCAGTCTCCTTCTGTCACCCCTAGATGCCCCCCAGGGACCCGGCTCGCGACGCAGGTGTCGGACCGGGTCCTCCGAAATCGGGGTCCGGGGTCGTGGATCTGTGTGGCTCCAGGTGGAATCCGGGAGAAGAGCAGGGGCGGGTCTGAGTTTCCCAGATCAGCCCCACAGACCGACAGTCCACGGACTCAATCCCACAGCGAGGCGTCGCACTGATACGCTCCCGGGGGGCACTCTTGACTCAGAGACAGCGACGCGCTCGCTGGCGCCCCTCCCCAGAGCACGCCCCCTCCTCTCCTCCTCCCCAACTCCTCACCGCACCCCCTCCCCCCGCGCTCCACCTTTCCCCTGGCTCCTCCCTCGGCGCCTGTGAGCACCCTCCCTCGCAGCCCGCTTGCCCTTCCTCCCTGCCTCCTCTCCCTCCTCCACCCCCCCCCCCCCCCCCCCTCCCTTCCCTTCCCCCTCTTCCCTCCCCCCCCTCCAAGGCTTCCACTTTCCATCACCTCTTCGGGGCGGTCGTCCCTCCGCACCGTCACCTGCCCACCTAACCCGGCTGCGCGCCCTCCCGCGACCCCGCTCCAGCACCCCCCCCGCCCCTACTTCCCCCACGGGGTGCCCCGCAGCTCCCCTCCCGCTTCCGCGCTCCCCTCCCCCCTGCCGGGCGCCGCTTCCCCGCTCCCGCTCCCTCCGCGTCTTTTCCTCTCCCCTCCCCGCGAAGTTTCGGGGCTGTCAGTCTGTCAGTCTTTTGGGCAGTCGGCACCCGAGCTACAGGCGGCGGGCGCCATTGCGAGCAGAGCCGGCTGGGGCCGGAGGCCGGGGCGCCCGGGTCCCGCCGGCGGCGGGGAGACCCGACCAGCCCCCCGCCAGGTACGGGCCGCGGAGGCGCCCAGCGGCCGGCGGCTCCGCCCGCTCCCCCTTCTACGCCGACACTCAGTCACCGCCCGCTCCGCGCAGGTGACAGCCCCGGGGTGGGGGCGCTGCGCGCGCCGGAGGGGGTGGGGTGGAGTTGGGGGGGAAGAAGGGGCAGGGGAGGGGCAGGGGCTGGAGCAGGGAGGGGAGGGGACTGGGGAGCGAGGGCCTGGCTTGGGGGGGTGGTGACGGTAGTGGAGAAAAGAAGGAAGCCCGGGGATCCGGAGGGAGGGGCGGAGGCTGGGGTGAGGGCGCCCGGTGGGAGTCCGGTGGGAAAGGGGTGGAGGCTCCCGAGGGCAAGTCTCCGGAAAGGGGAGAGGGAGTGGGGGGGGGGGCCGGGGGAACGGGGCGACACGGCCCGGGGTCGGGCCGGTGGGGAGGGGCGGGGGACAAGGGCGCTGACAGGTGAGCCCGGGGAGGGGCCGGGAGGCTGACTGAGGTCCGGGCGAGGAGGCTCCAGGGAACAAACGGAGGCGAGGAGGCGGGACGGGAGGGGTCTAGCCGGGAGGAAAACTTGGGGGGGGGTACAAGTCAGAGGGGAGCAGAAATGGAGAAGGGAGCCGCCGAGAGCGAGGGGAGGGAAGCGGAGGTGTGTGGGGAGGCGGGAGGGGGGGAGGGCCAGTGCGGGGGTCCCGAGCGAGCGGTCCGCCGCCGACGCCCCGGGCTCGGGGGAGCCTGGGGACGAGGGGGGAGCGCGGGGAGCGGACCGGAGGGGGGAGGGGAAGAGCGGTTCTGGGGACTGGGGACCCGGAGGGTAGGGAAGCGAGAGCTTGCTGGGGAGGCAAAGGGGGAAGGGAGACGGGGGCCTCGGAGGGGAAGGCGAGCTGCAGGAGGGAGGGAGGGCGGGCGGGCGACGGTGTGGGGAGGGGGATGGAGGGCTGGGGGGGGAGGGAGGGAACTGAGGTGAAGAGAGGAAAGGAGAAGGAAGGGAAACCGGAGTGGGGGAGGAGAGGGAGAGGGGAGGGGAGTGCGGGGTGAGGGAGAAAAGCGGGGAGGCGGAGGGCGGCGTTGGGGAGGAAGGAAAAGAGGAGGGGGAAAGGAAGGGAGAGGGTGTGTAGCCGGGGAGGGGGATGGAGCCCGGGGGAGAACCAGGAGGGAAGGGAAAGGCGGCCCTGAGCCGGGGGAGGAGGAGGGGAGCCCTGTCGCGGAGAATGCCCGGAGCTGAGGGTCAGGGGGGCGGTGGCTGGGGAGGGCCTACCGGAGGGGCCGGGAGGGGCCGGCCCTGCTGTGAGCAGGGGGAGGAGCCGGAGGGGCGGGGCAGGGGGCGGATCCGGGGAGCTTGCCAGCTTCGGTGGGGAGAGAGGGCGGAAGGCAGAGGGAGCGGGGAGAAGGGAGGGGCAGAGGGAAGGCTGCCAGAAATGGGGGGTGAGGGAGGGTAGTCCGCTGGGGGAGGGGCCGGGAGCCCGCTGGAGGAGGAGCGTTGTAGGGGCTCGGGGGCGGGGTGTCCCTGCCAGGGGAAGCCCTGAGGGGGAGGGCGGTGGTTTTGAGGTAGGGTTTTGGGGAGAGGAAGCAAGAGCCATTTCCTGCCATCAGCAAAGACCCTCCTCGGAGGGCCTCCCCCACCAGTTGCCCAATAGTGACACTCACCTCCGCCCCCCCGCGCCCCATCCCCCCGGCTGGCTCCTATTTCACCAGCTCCTGCAGTGACAGCTGGAGGGCCCAGGAGATGAAGTTCCCGGCTCCCCACCCTGGTCTTCCACTCTCCACCCTCTCCCCAGAGAATCGATTGATTCCTGACGTCCCCCGGCAAGGGCGCTGTGGGGTGGGGAGCACTGGACGGCTTGGCCTGGTTCAGAGACCAGCCAGGTGAGGGTGGGGGTGCAGCTGATTTCTCTAGAGCCGACCAGAGCTTGCAGAAATGGCTGCAAGGCCTTCTCCTTGGCCTTCAAAGATCTCTTTGCTTTATGAAACCTATCTTCCTTCTCTCGCCTTTACCAGTAGTTGGGGACATCACCTTTGGGGCTCCTGGGGATAGCTGGTGGGGAGAGGTGCGGCAGAGCCAGGGCCCAGGTGGAAGCTATCCGGAGAAGAATGTGAACAAGGATATGTTCTCTCCTTAGGGTCCGTGGCCTGATCCCCCAGGAGCAGCTACCCTGGGTTGCCATGAGAGAGACCTTTGAGGCCCTCAGCAACCTGGGTGAGCCAGCGGCACTCCGCACTCGGGGAACGTGGGTGGTGGGAGGCAGGATTCAGGGGCATCCTAGACCCGCTGCTTCCCTACAATTCGGACCGCAACCCAAGCGGTAGGGACAGAGAGAGAGAGGGAGACAAGAATCTGAAGGAGACTCCAGGCTCCGGGCTGTAAGCGCAGAGCCCAGCGCGAGGCTCGAACTCATGAACTGTGAGATCGTGACCTGAGCCAAAGCTGGCGGCTTAACCGACTGAGCCACCCAGGCGCCCCTTATCAGGGTGTATTTGAATGCCTGGCCCTGTGGAGGTTGTGTGGTACTGCATGAGCACATGTGCCCTCACAGAGCACAGATATTTAGACCTATTCTATCTCTTCCTTCACCTGCCCTTGACTCTATGTAAAGGGGCTGAGGTTGATACCTGCCCAGGCTGCTGGGGAGCCTGGCTATCCCCCTGTCCTGCTGGCTAGAGACCCTTCCCGAGCAAGCTAGAAAAAGCCCCTTGGTGTTTTGGGGAAGGGGAAGACCCCCTCCCTTTGTCTCCTGTTCTATACGGGAGGCTTTACGTGGCCCTATACTTCTGCCTGTAACAGGGTTCTCTGTGGGACAGCCGGAGATGGCCCCCCAAAGTGAGCCTGGGGAAGGGTCCCATGATACCCAGGAGCAGATGTCGCCTCCCAGGGAAGACAGCGTGCTGGGCACATGCTCAGGTAAGTAGGTGGGGGACCATGAACAGCGGCTCAGGGTAGAATCCACCTTTCCTTCTTCAAGTGCCAGGGTGCTACTGCTGTTACTTGAACACCTCAGTAACCAAAGAGACGAAGATTCCTGCCTTCGGGGAGCTTACCCTAGCGAGGGCAGACAGTCAGCAAACAAATATAAAAATAAGTGTACTTATAAACTGTGTCAGATGGGGAAATGTGCTGGGGGAGGGGGCAGAGAGGGAGTCTGAGGTGGGGGTGGGGCCGGCTGCAGGATTAAATAGTGAGAGTGAGAGGAGGTCCCCGCTGGGAAGTCAAGATTAGAGCCAGATTTGGGAGAGGTGAGGGAGGCGGCTAAGCGGCTCCTGGGAGAAGACGCCTAAAGCAGGCATGGGTCTGGCTTCTTGACATTCGGATCTTCTGCAATGATCTGCCTGGAAGTCGGGTCCATCTGGTGGGTCTGCAGCCCTCCTCCTAAGAGTAACTGTAAGCCTCAGGGTAGAGACCTTTCCTTGCTTCCGCTGCCTCACACACATATTCCAGAAGCTACTCAACAGCTGCGGCTCTTGCACAGCCTCTGCAGGGCACCTGCTTGCGGGAGCCGGAGGCTGCGCCCCGGGGCGGCTGGGAAATTCAGTCCCTGCAGGTAGGATGTGGGACACATCGATCCTGCCTGTTGGGCTGGGACTGGGGTTTCAAAAGCCCCTGCTTGATCCGGTGGGGACGTCTGTCCATCTGTGATTTGTCTGGAGTCCTTGAGGTGGCCTGTTCTCTGCCAGGGCACGAGGCCCCAAGACCAGAGGAAGATGTCCACGGTGAGGAAGCTGAAGCTCCCTGTGGAGGAGACCAGAAGGCGGAGCCCCCGAGCTCTTGCCCAGGTGAGTCCTCCCCGCTCCCAAGCCCGCCAGGGCCCAGGCAGAGGGGACAGGGGCCTTGTAAACTCCCGGGCTGCTCTCTGATGAGGCCGCCACTCTGGCCCCTTCCGACCTAAGACGACCCAGTCCCTGGCACCTTTCTGCTGTAGAGCTTCAAGCCCCTAGAGAGAATTCCATGTCACAGACAACAGGAATCAGTGAGGCTGGTCCCCCAGAGACACCTCCCCTCCCCTCAACATCCTTCAGAAGTCTTAATGTCCCCTCCTCTCCGCCTGAGTCCATACTTGTTGCTGACTTGAATTACCATACACTTGAAGACATTCCTTTTCATTGACTTCCCCCAGACAAGCTCCCTGCCCCAAATCGCCACATGCTTCAAATACGTGGTCCAGGACTCACATCCCCCACACCCAGGGCGATCACACAGCTGATCGTCTCTCTACAATGGCGCCATCGCACCCTTCCACTACCACCAAACTTAGCACCTTCTGCCTAAGGGATGTCATTTATTCTAGCAGGTTTTCTAGGGCCTGCTAGGTGTACGCTGTGTTAGGTAGAAGGAGATTGCCTCTAGGCTGACACAGACCTGGTTTGAATCCTTGCTCCACATTTACTGCCCAGTGATGTTAGACAGGCTGAGCCACCTCCAGCAGCTTGTTCACCTGTAAGCAGGGAAAAGAGTAACTTCATGGCCGCTGTGACGCTTTCTGACAGCATCTGGACAACTAGAGTTGTCCAGCAACTGGACAATCTAGTGTCATCTAGAGTTGGCATTCGATAAATGGTGGCAGTCCTCATTTTTATTAGACACAGAGAGACATGGAACACAAGATGTCTGCCTTTTGGAAACTAAACTATAGTTGGGATGACATGAATATGAACTAGAATAAAGGACTCAAGGAACAAATAACAATAGAGCCACATCACAAGCAAGTGTAACAATGTTAACAGTGGGTGCTGTGGGTGTTTATGTAAGAGATCCTCATGACTAGGTTTGTCAGAGAGTGTGTTGATTTGTGCTACATTTTGAGGGAGGTGTAGACCTCAGCTCTGATGGGGGTGGCGTAGAGGATAGGAAAACAGTCTAGGCTGAGAAGAGACTTTAACACAGGAAAGGTGACATGTGGCTGGGGTTAGAACAGACCTGCCTGGCTGAAGGGGAGGGTTTATGTGTGGGGGTAGTGAGAAAGTTGGATGAGGAAGCGGTGGGGAGGGGAGTGAACCTCAGAATCAGCTAGAACTTACTTTATCCTGTAAACAGTAGGGAGCTCTCGATGCTCCTTGAGTAGAAGAGTGGCATAATGAAAACGAAAGCAATATCACAGTAGGATAAATAGTTGTTTGGAATTGATGGACCCGTGAAAGACACCGGGAGTAAACCTAATTGTGGGCAGTTCATGGGTAACGTACCCGGCACTCAGGCTCTTCCAGGCCTTCAGAGCCAGACAGGAACTCAGATCATCAATGGTCCTTAAACAAGAATCACTTAGGGAGCTTTGTTTTTTATTATTTTTTAATATGTATTTATTTATTTTTGAGAGAAAGCGTGAGTGGGGGAGGGGCAGAGACAGAGGGAGACCCAGAATCCAAAGCAGGCTCCAGGCTCTGAGCTGTCAGCACAGAGCCCCACACAGGGCTCCATCCTACCAACTGTGAGATCGTGACCTGAGCTGAAGTCAGCTCAGCCCCCCAGGAGCCCCCCCCCCACTTTGGGAGCTTTAAAGAAAGAGAACAGATTCCTGCTCCCATAGATGCGTTTTGTAAAAGTCCCCAGGAGACTATGATGTGACACCATGTTTAGGAACCATGAACTCATACAACCCTTACACCTAAGCACGCTAATACACTTCCTCAAAGAGGTAACGGAGGTAAGTGAACCAAGGTCACACTACTGACTGGTGGCAGAGGAGAACCCAAGGACACACTCCCAGTCTGGGCTTTGAGCTCCTTTCTCTGGCTGGACCACTGCAGTGCCCAAGAGAGGCAAAGCTCCAGTGCCACCCTCCTCAGACCTGCTTCCCCAGAGGGCCCTCCCTGCTTCTCCAGAGGTTGGCGCTGTTCACTGGCTCCCCAATTCCTGTAAACTCCATCCTCTTCTTCCTACACGGGGGTGGGGGTGGGGGTAGGTCTGAGAAGGTCAGCTGTTTGGTGATAAGCCTGTGAAGCTGCAGCCAATCTGCAGGACCCCAGAGCCGGCTGGGGCTGCTCAGCTGATGGGAGACTGTGGTTCTAGAAAGGACTGGAAGGTCTGGGGCAGCCAACGCAAGCAGATGACCCCCGTGTAAAGCCTGAGGACTGAACTTGGAGCAACGTTTCTATTCAGGAAGCAGTGCCTTCTCCACATAGAGGCCTAGGAGAAAGTCCCCAGGATGGGGTGGGGACTCTCCCCAGCGTCCCTGGCTACAGAGAAGCAACGAGGAGGACCGAATGGTGATCTTCGCATGTGGTCATTCCCCAGAACCTTCCAGTAGAGTGGAGAAAACAGGGGCTCCGGAAGCGGTGGTCGTATTGACCTCCCCCCCGCCAAAAGTTGCATAAATAAAACGGGGCTTCATTGGCTCGTCTCGTTTTGACTTTTCAGGGGATGAGTGGATGATTCGGAAGGTGAAGGTGGAGGAGGAGGATCAGGAGGCGGAAGAGGAGGTCGAATGGCCCCAGCATCTCTCGTTACTCCCCGGCCCTTTCCCGGCGTCGGACTTGGGGCCTCTGGCCGCCGCCTACAAGCTGGAGCCGGGGGCCCCGGGGACGCTGGGGGGACTGGCGCTGGTCGCGTGGGCCCCGACCTCGGAGAAGCCCTACGGCTGCGAGGAGTGCGAGCGGCGGTTCCGGGACCAGCTGACCCTGCGGCTGCACCAGAGGCTGCACCGCGGCGAGGGCCCCTGCGCCTGCCCGGACTGCGGCCGCAGCTTCGCGCAGCGCGCGCACATGCTGCTGCACCAGCGCAGCCACCGCGGCGAGCGGCCTTTCCCCTGCTCCGAGTGCGACAAGCGCTTCAGCAAGAAGGCCCACCTGACCCGCCACCTGCGCACGCACACCGGCGAGCGGCCCTACCCGTGCGCCGAGTGCGGCAAGCGCTTCAGCCAGAAGATCCACCTGGGCTCGCACCAGAAGACGCACACGGGCGAGCGGCCCTACCCCTGCACCGAGTGCGAGAAGCGCTTTCGCAAAAAGACGCACCTGATCCGCCACCAGCGCATCCACACCGGCGAGAGGCCCTACCAGTGCGCGCAGTGCTCGCGCAGCTTCACGCACAAGCAGCACTTGGTGCGGCATCAGCGGGTGCACGAGGCGGCCGGCCGCGCCCCGGCCTCGCCCGACGCGGCCGCCTCGCCCGGGTCCCCCGCCCCGTCCCCCACCCCGTCCCCGCTCGGCCCCAAGCCTTTCTCCTGCTCCGACTGCGGCCTGAGCTTCGGCTGGAAGAAGAACCTCGCCACGCACCAGCGTCTGCACCGCAGCGAGGGGCGCCCCTTTGGCTGCGACGAGTGCGCCCTGGGCACGACCGGGGACCCCGCCGCCGCCGAGCCGTCGGCCTGCGCGCCCGGAGGCGCGGCGGCGGCGGCGGCCCAGGGCGCTCCCGCGGGCGAGCGGTCCTTCTTCTGCCAGGACTGCGGGCGCGGCTTCGCCCACGGGCAGCACCTGGCGCGGCACCAGCGGGTGCACACGGGCGAGCGGCCCTTCGCCTGCCCGCAGTGCGGCCGCCGCTTCGGCTCGAGGCCCAATATGGTCGCCCACTCGAGAGCCCACAGCGGCGCCAGGCCTTTCGCCTGCGCGCAGTGCGGCCGCCGCTTCAGCCGCAAGTCGCACCTGGGCCGCCACCAGGCGGTGCACACGGGCAGCCGGCCCCACGCCTGCGCCGTCTGCGCCCGCAGCTTCAGCTCCAAGACCAACCTGGTGCGCCACCAGGCCATCCACACGGGCTCCCGCCCCTTCTCCTGTCCGCAGTGCGGCAAGAGCTTCAGCCGCAAGACCCACCTGGTGCGCCACCAGCGCATCCACGGCGAGGCCGCCCACCCGGCCTCCGACGCCGACCTCCCGGCCCCGGCCTGGCCCCCTCCCCCAGAGGCGGCCGCGCCCCCGCTCTTCTTCTGAGCCTGGTTCTCGTCGAGACCCTTCCTGGGCTCGCTGGCGGGAGAGACGCACGCCCGAGATCTTCTGGGCAGCGAGCGCGGCGGCCTGGGCCCCTGGCGGCTGTTCTTCCCTCCTTATCTTGCTGGAGAGAAGTCGGGAAAGGGTAACCAGCTTGGACGCTCTGTGACAAAGACAATGCTACGATGGAAGGCTCGCCGCGGACAGTTCAGGCCTGAGTCCTGGGAAGACTCCCACTAAGAGAGCCCGTCAGAAAGCAGCCGTTTCTTGGACACCCCCCTACACACACGGCCAAGAGCTGACTGGGTCCGCAACCGCTGCAGGGGGGTGAAAGAATGGTTATCTGTGTACTTAAAGTGTCATTAAAATTAAAATCCGGAGGATCCGGGGCTGTTAAATGAGCACAGGGTGGGAACCCCTGACTGTTCTCTCCACTGCCCCATCTTCATTCTCCCACAGAGGAGGGTGCCTTCCTATCCTGGGCGAGCTCAATTTAGCCAGGTGCTGGTAATGGGCTGTCCCAAATGGAAACATAATACGGCTCACGGCTAAACGGCTAAACTGCTTTCCTGCGCCCTGCTTCCTGCTCAAACGCTTGATGGGAGAAACATCAGCATAGATTTCTCATGGCGGGTGCTGAGGCAGGACGGCAACAGCAGATGAAGGTCGCTTTTCCATCACCATGTCTCCTGAATTCTGTCACTGTGATGGACGCTTGATCCGGACGTCTCCGTAGCTGTGCTTGGCCAGCTGGGCTGGCTGGCTGGCACGGAAGGGGAGGGCAGGATGATGGGGGACTTGCTGGACATGGTGAAGGCTTGGGTCTGACCCCTCCTGTGCCGCTCGCAGGATTTGGAGCAGAGCATTCCTTTTCCTGGACCTCTGTTTTCTCGTTACAAGATCGTTGGGGTTGATGACGGCTGAGGCAATTTCCATCACCAGAAACAATCCCAGCAAATAGTTATTGGGTGCCTACTACGTGTCAAGGACTACACTGGGCGCCGGGAAACAGTAAGCAAGACAGGCTTGCAGGAAACATAAGAAACCCTAGGCTAGGGCACGCCCAGAGGGCTTTGGGAGCATGTGGTGAGGGCATCCAAAACGCCTGGAAAGATCCACAATGTAGCAAAGGTCAAGGGAGGTTTGCAAGGTGAGGATGCCTCTAATGTGAGGCCTGGAGAATGAGCACAAGTCGCCAGATGAAGGTAGACGTCGGAGAGGACAGTGTATGCAGAGTTCCAGAGTCCAGCGCAGCCGGAGTGTAGAATGAGCATTGAAGGTGAGGCCAAGAAAGAGAGGATGAGCAGACTCGGAAAGCCTTTAGCACAGATGAGGGAGTTCAGACTCTATCTGGGGGCAGTGGGAGGCCGTGGAAGGGTCTGGACAGGGCAGGAATAGGTTGACATTTACATGGATGCGTTTTAGAAACATGGCCGGCTGCCTGTAGAGGATGGGCTGGCTGGAGGGGACCAGACTGGAGACCTGCACATTAGCCGTCCAGGTGACAGGTGGTGGTGACTGTAGACCATGCAGTGTCAGAAGGGACGGAGAGAAGTCAATGATTGAAGAGACATTTAGCAGGCAGCTGGTACAGGGCGTGTTGACCAGTGTCGAGAGGAGGGAGATGGAGGGCGGTGATAATGACCTGATATCTGTTTGATGACTGACTGCCCGACAGCGGCATTCCCCTGAGATGGGCGACACAGGAGGAGGAATAGTTTTGTACTGGGCGGGGGGCGTCTTTGATCTGCCGAGTTGGTGGAACAGAGCGTGCCCAGTAGGAAGCAGGCCAGGGAGTTGCAGAGCCCACAGGGGTCTGGGCTGGAGAGAGGCCTGAAGCCCATCGACATGTTGCTGAAGCCATGGGGCAGTGGGTGATCTGCAAGAAGTGCGTGTGGAGGGGGCAAAGAGAGAGCCTTTCCCAGGGACTAAATCCTGGGACACCAACATTCAGGGGATGGTGTGCAGAGAAGCCTGGAAAGATCAGGAGTGTGCGGTGCCAGAGAGTGGAAAGGGAGACCCCAAGACAGCCCAGCAGAGCTGAGGAAAGGCAGCGTTTCAGGAGAGAGGAAGAATTCAGCAGCTGATGGTTGTTGAGAGATCAGGTCATAAGAACTTCCAAACCCTCTGGATTTTGCAGCAAGGAGATGGGTTGGCATCCAGCTTCGGGGGCAGTTGGGACAGAATTCTGATTGCAATAGTGAGTCACAAACGCATAGTCCCATGGAAGGTAGAAGAATATGAGACCAAGGTGCAGGTAAACGACTGACTGTAAGGCCAAGGAGGGAGGGCATGGGCGGGGGGGGAGGCTCTGAATGCAGTGAGGTTGACGTCTGCGGCCAAGAATGAGTAGGTGATAACGGGTGACTGTGGTGGCAGTGTGGCCATGAAGAGAAGCCACTGAGCTTGGCCCCAGGGGCATTTTCAATGCTTGAAAATTTCACTTGAAACTCTGGACTCCCGGGTTCCCTTGCGACAAGTTGGAAGATCTGGCGACCAGTGGCCAGGGCTGAGCGCCAGACGGCCTCTTCGTCTGAAGAGGAGAGGGAGAGGGGGTGCAGTGTCCCGGCCCCCAGCACGCCCATCGGCTTTGCTCTCGAGTGTGAGGCACTGAACTTGGGATTCCCGCCAAAAGAGTCATTTCACAGACTTTTAAAATCAAACACATGAAAGAGACATTTATGTCGGTTATACCAATGTTTATATCCTCTAAACATTCCGGAATTCTTGTGTAGGAACAGCTTGTAGATCCTGCAGCATATTTGAGGAGACCTACCACGTGCCAGGCATTTACAGGACTTCTCTTTCTCTCGAATCGTCTTACAGGGTGTATCTTTGTCCTCCGAGTTTGTTTGCAATTAGTCAAGTAATTTAGGGTCATGGCCGGTGCTGATCAAAACAGAAGATGGTGCTAAAAACTGCAATGTGTCTGCAGTGAAGGACTGGAGTTCCTGATGGCTATTCCCCGGGGAGGAGTTCAGAATCAAACAGTGGCAGTCTCACCGAAATCAATATATACCCCCCACCCCACCCCCGGTATGATCCAGCCTGGGCATGACTCTCAGTAAAGCATCAAACTTTTTACCTTAGAACCATTTCCCAGCAGGTGAAAAATGGCACAAACGTACTATTTCTAGATAGAGAACAAAATGTTTTATTAAGTAATTGAAATTTATTTATTTTCCCCAATCTCGTTCCAAACCAAGATCGACAGTCGCCAGTGGGGATAGAGCACCCTGTCCTTGCCCCCTGGTATGAACCAGCCACAGACAAACACGGAGCCATTTCACCAGCCCCATGTCCATCAGGAGCTCACGATGAGGTCGTACATGACAGATGAATGTCAAAGAAGTGGGACATACGTGCTGAATGGCTCTGTGGTTCTAAAGACCAGAGAGAAGAGCGTGGAAGATGGGAGCCTGAACACAGAGCTGGGTAGAGGTGGGGCTCAGATTTCAGAGGGGGGGGGGGACGGCTCCAACGCAGCCTTCTCTCCACAGCCTCTCCCTGTCAGCCCTCGAAGCCCCGTGGGGTCCGCAGATCCTGCTCTCCCATAGCCCTCCCTTCTCTCCAAACCCCCACCATTACATGAAATTTACCATCACATGAAACTTACCATTTTAGCCATTTTAAACAAGACACTTCAGTGGCATTAAATACATGCACAATGTTATGTAAACATCACTGCTATTTCCAGAACCTTGTCATCCCAAATGGAAACTCTGTCCCAACCTTTTTTATGTGATGGCCCATGTAAATAAGGTTACTCTTAAGGTCAGTGAGAGGGCAGTGCAGGGCTGCAGTGTAGCTGGGGGGTGGGTGGAGTGAGGGGGAGCTCTAGAGCCCCGTCCACTGTCCTGGTAGCTGGGAGAATGAGCTCCACATCCCTATTGGTGCCAACACGTCCGAGTTCCTGCCCACAGATCCGAGTTCCTGCCCACAGATCCGAGTTCCTGCATGTGAGGGAGATGGGTCCAAATTCACTTACACCAAAGTGATGAATATTATCCGGCAAGTTTCCCCAAATTGTAATAGTTCACAGAGATGACAAACACCATATGGAGACCTGAACCCCACCAAGCATCCACCTAGTCTTTCCTCATGGCCTAGACTTTGAGTCCTCAGGCCTCCGTATCCTACCTCCACCCCATCTCAAACGGATGGGCTGGGGACAGCTCTCTTATTGCTATCATTTTCCAGGACTGGGGTGGCTGTCACCACTCAGGTGATCTGTACGCATAAGAGCACGGGACTCAGTCCTGATTGACAAACACTTATCTCCCTCCAATCCCAATCTCCTAACTTCCAACTGATCCAACTGGGAGATCTTAGGAGGAACCCGGCCGCGCCGCCATTCTGGTGATGACCACCGCCATTCTGGTGATGACCATGGTGCAGGGAGAGGCGGAGAGAGATGAAGAACTGAGCTGGCCACCTGTATCAGAGCACAGTAGTGAACAGAAGACAGTGCATCTTGCCTGCTCGGGACTTCACGGCCATCCCCACCGGCTCCACCGCTCCTTCCAGCATGAACACCGATCGAGGGTGTTCACCGCACTCCATTCCTGTGTTGTGGCTTCTTTTCACTTTGAGCAGGAGGGGAGAGGTCAGTAAGGAGCCAGCCTCGTGTGTTTTAGATAAACACACGGCCAGTGTACTTTGGATGGGAAGATATTCAGATGCTGAGACTGTTCCTATTTTCTTTCTAGGTGACAGACATCATGCTTGGGAAACCAACTTAGTGATAAGGAGGGTGTTTGGCAGCAATGAAAGGAACAAAAGGAAGTGGGTAAATTAGTGAGATACTTAATCCAGTCTTTACTGAAGTCTGCCTATCACATGTTAGTAAGACAAAGAAACGTCTGTGTGACTGGACTTTCTGTTTCTCCCCCTTCCCCTTTGGTAAGGCTGGACAAGAATTGCTGGTCAGAGCGACCGACAGGACGTCCCTGTGAATCTCAAGTCAGAAAGACTCTATGTTGGGGCGCCTGGGTGGCTCAGTTGGTTTAGCGTCCCACTTCGGCTCAGGTCATGATCTCACCATTCGTGGGTTTGAGTTCTACGTTGGGCTCCGTGCTGACAACTCAGAGTCTGGAGCCTGTCTTCAGATTCTATGTCTCCTTCTTTCTCTGACCCTCCCCTGCTCACGCTGTCTCTCTCTCTCTCTCAAAAATAAATAAAACATTAAAAAAGTTCTTAAAAAAAAAAAAAGACTCTATGTGCCCCCAGGCTTGGTCAACTCAGCAGGCAGGGACACTGTGGCATTTTAATCTTCCCCCCTACTAAGACCGGCTGAGCTTTGGGGCGCCTGGGTGGCTCAGTCGGTTGAGCATCTGACTCTTGATTCCAGCCCAGGTCATGATCCCAGGGTCATGGGATGGAGTCCCGCATCAGGC